TTAGTTTAGGCTTGAGGGTAGAAACACATACAAAAAATATGGATGGCCTTATGCAAATGACACTTGGCATGCAAATCAAGAGGGATCTGGGTCACTGGGACCCGCCAAGTTTCACGGATCGAGTTACTTCGGCACGAAGAGCTTCATCGGACAAGTGTGACTTTGCCAAAATACATTGCTATACTGGGCAATGAAAAAATGTCACGGAAACGACAAAAAAAACTACTTTGATCACGTGAAAATATTTTTGAACATTACCAGGGTTTTTTACACGATCGTTGTCATCCAGATTCAAGATGGAAGGCAAGACGAACACAACGAAGAAAAACACTGTTGAAATCACCGATTACCGTGTATATGTGAGAAATGCTATTTATAAACTGCAGATATACCATACACCACAGGATAACGATTGGTGCCGTGACACATATTATGTTGTTTTTTTTGTTCAATTACACTGTTCATATTCATCACGACAAACGTATTAATTCGTTGTCGTCGGGAGATCTAGAATAGCTCAGAACAAGAACGTCTATAATTTCTGTGTTGGACTGCGTTGGATATATCGTGGACATTCCGCGGTATCATTTTATGAAGATGTGAAGTCGACATGGCAGGTAGGTTTTGAAACCAAAGACCTACGCGTTTGTTGAAAAGTCTTGGAATCGTTTGATAGATATTTATTACCATTAAAACTTACGTCCTTGTTGTCAAACGGCCCACGTGGGTGGGTGTTTACATGACGTCACCCGTTTACGCAATAACCAATGAAATGTGTGTGTTATCATGACGTCTTATTGACCTGTGAGATCACTCGTATAAGCTCCGCCCACTAGAGTGCGGTAGTTCCTACCGCAGATGGGGCTTTAAGCACGAGAAAGCTGCCTTCTGATTGGTCAATCCATTGGTCGGTCAAAGTTCGCGCAAGGTCGGTCTGACGTGAGGGTTACAGGCCGGCAAAGCCACATTTCGAAAATAGATAGCCCAAATTGATGTGGCTCTCGCGGCAATGGTTATGGTTGCGTGATTGTATAATGTGGCTCTCGCGGCTATGCTGTCACAACATGCTTTGTGATTCTAACAGGTTACCGTATATAACAAAACAAGTCTTGTTTTCTCCTTTTTTATTCAACAAGGATAACATATTCATCAAAACTTTACATTGATGAATATGAATAGCATATGAATATCATAATGGATTTAATGTCATTACTGCAGATGAAGGAGGTCGCCCACGTGGTCAGCATATTCAATCTCACTCAGGTGTTGGTTCAGGAGCTGGATCTTGAGGGACGCAATACGTGCATCGATTGCCTTGTACTTCTTTCTTCGTGAAGGTTCTGACCACTGGTGAGAGAGTCTCAGGGCTGCAACCTCTTTGAGTGACTGCTCTCGCTGAAATAGCTTCACTACCTCCTAGATGTTCGGGTAGCACTTCTTGGCAAGTTTCTTTATCTTGTTGTGCCACACTTCAAGGTGATTGTTGGTACGGTGACCTTGGTTTTCGAAATGGTTCCAAATCTCTGGCATGAAGGCCCCTCCTTGAACCCAACTGGTTGTCACGTAGTCCATGAAGGCAGTCACTTTAGGGCCAGCAGGAGAGTCAGCAATGACAAAACCCACACATCATCCACTTTGTCACGAGGTAGTAGAGGGAGGGCAGCAGCTCTTCTCACCAGCTTCTTCACCTCCTCATCTTCCTTATAGTCCATCACCAGATCTTCTTTCTGCACCCTCCTCCAGATACATTGGGTGAAGTGAAAGAAACACCCTCTAACTAATGTCCCAGGAAATACATCAGTCACGGCATTGTGAGCTGCACGTTCAAAGTCCAACTAATGTGGGACACTCATTTAAAGGTATCTCTAAAGAACACCACGCTTAATAATTTAAATGTGGGACACTCATTTAAAGGTATCTCTAAAGAACACCACGCTTAGTAACTTAAATGTGGGACACTCATATAAAGGTATCGGTAATCGGATTAAGTAATTACCCGCTAGAATAGGTGAAATGCACTCAGCTGAAAATGTGGCTCTACCGGCAATAGCCATTTCTGAAATGTGGCTCTCCCGGCTAGACACCGACGTGAGCCCTAATGGGATGTCCTCAGATCTTTGTTTAGCGGTAGCGAGAACTAAGATCTGATTTTAATGAGACTGCATTTATCATCGGAGTGTTTCCGGACATCTCACATCTGTCATTGGATTGGTTCCACATTATCGTCGATTAATTCATGAATCAGCAGAGAGTCAAGATACTTTTTCATTTGTAGAATCCGGAGTGAGTCACAAAATCAATAAAGTGATGCTAAATCTGCCACGTAGACTGTGGTTGTCTTCCGATTACAACCATGGTCAGATCGAACTTTTAACGAATCAAATAGAGATATTATCACAAAGAAAGGTCAAGGCTAGATCACCTTAAAACGATACGTATAGCTCTAGCTGATGCGTGCGGTCTTTGCGGGTTACTGAGACCCATGGCCATCAGTCCGTTTTCCCATTCTGTGACGAGTCTAATCTGTCTTGTTTAGAAGAAGTCTTTGGAAGACGGGCTGCAGCGTTATTAAACGTATGTGAGTATAACCCACGTGCTGTGTTGATCAATGAGAGCAAGGGCCAGCACATGTATGCTGATGGAGTCGAAGGGCAAATCATTACTTGACTAAGATGACCCGATTCTGACAAAGTGATTTGGAAAGTCATGGCTTACCTTGACTATGACATGGGACAATAAAGAAGGCAACAGTAGTAGGGTCCAGGTAACCCCAGAACGCAGTAATGACAAAATGTACGATACTATATCTATATCATGAACGTACATGAACGAATTTCCATTTATATATCATTAAATTTCTTTTAATGAAAATGGCTAAACCTTTCAAAGCTTTTCTATTTCTTGTTGACATCAAATCTATTAGCTTCCGTCTCTTGGCTTTAGGAGACCTACGACAGATAGCGGATCTAACAGCAATTCGTGTCTCAACCGAGCCCAGGCTTGAGCATGGTCTTGACATTCCAGTCTGCTTTTTCATTTCCATGAATATCAATGTGAGATGGGTGCCGTCACAGCTGTTTAACCGATAGTTTTGTGTATTCGTATAGAATATTGCTGACGATGTTTGGCCTGGAGTTTCAGTTTCTGTCGCTGATTGCATGAAGTACACTTAGCAAGCCTGACAGGATGACTGCCTTTAGGGCTTTACTTCCGGTAGATCCGGTATGAGTTTGAGTGCAAGATGAATTGCCTCCAATTCAGCAGTGAATACTGACTGACCATCAGGCAGGCGAACCGAATGTGCTTGTGGTTTGGAGCTGTGGGTATGGATCCCGTAAACAGCACTGTTTGTTGATACGATTCTTGGATTCATCAGTGTATATATGGGGCCAGCTGTCCCAGGTAGTTTGAATTTTCGTTATAGCTACTGATCGTAGTAGATTTCATTTTTAGTGACTTCTGATGTTAAAATAGTGTCAACTTTGGGAGGGTTTTTTTAAGTCCAGGGAGGGTGTAACCTAGACTAACCTCTGGTCTCTGAAATGAACATATTTTACAGAATAAAAAGTTGTTAAATTATATTTATGAAATAGAAGGAGCGAGGACACTTTCTTCATTTCCTGATACTGCAGTAATCTAGACTTGCCAAACATTATAGACTTACATGGGCTGTATTGGATATATTTGTTTCAAGGTCTGTATGACAGACTAGGTCTAACCCTTTGTAGTGACTTTATGGTGGCTGAATGTTATTACAATTGTGACTTCGGATATGAGTTCACGTAATAATATACAAGATGGCTTTAGTGAGGGATTTTTCCTAGCTAGGGTTTCATCACGGGTGTTTTTGTCTTGCCATATCTTTTTCACCACAAACGTATGGGTTGTAATGGAAACAACTTGTCAATATAATAATAAATATTATGATACTAAAACAAAAAGATATAACAATGGTTCTCATCTGTTTACATATCATACAGATCTTGTGGGATAGTCAGTTTAATTTGTTGTTTACTACTATGTTAAGAGCATGATTATCAGAATTCTGTAAGAAATTATGGATCAATGAATTAACACCTGTGATTACTCAAAACACACTTTATAAGATGCTGAATATACCGTTTATGATGGGGGTTTTCCGTCGTGACAATTCGTCTTTTAGTTGAAGACTCAACAAATGTTGATATTCTAAACTAATAATCACTACAAAATATGTGCTAGTTAAAAATATTCAGTTGTAAACCATAGGGATGGGTATTTGATGTTTAAAGTGTATCACAATATTTTCCAGTACACAAGGTCGTATTGCGATGTCACGATATATTGTATAATTTTTAAATCAGCAGCAATCTGATACATCAAGGTGTGAACTGAAGTTCACAAATGGAACAAAACAAGATGCTGGTACAGCATATAATGTTTACTCATTCAATAAATAAGTTTTCAAAACAGTCGCACAAAGTTCGCCGAGGAGGTTGGTTGCTCCAATGTGGCTCAAAGGAGGCAGAAGGGAGGCACAAGCATTGCCGTTGTTGCAGAATGAAGGCACAGTGGTCGCCACATGGTCACCAGGTAATAGATGCGTTCTGCTGAAATATTTTCCTGTCAATCTGGGCGGTGCTTCCCTTGTGCCTCCTTTGGGCGACCAACAGCGTGCATTGAACATGACTGTGGCGACCGCCGTGCCTCCATTCGGCGACCACGTCAACCCATGAGATACCATGACAATACTTCTGCTTCTTTTCTGCCTCCTTTGAGCTACCTGTAGTGCCTCCTCAGCCTTCCTATAAATAGAGGGTTTGTACCTGCAGTGTTTCATTTTGGTTGCAGACGCTGAACAACTCGAGCAGTTACTGCTGAACAACTGCTGGAGCAGTGACATAGAAACATGATTTTCTTGGTTTAAGCAACCAATGAGCGTCCTGGCCAGTTTTTGATCGCTCAAAGGTGGCACAAAGGTCGCAGCCCTGCGTAAAAGGGGCCTTTAGCTTGGTTCCTTCTCTACATGTCACTAGATGACGCAGCGCTCATTGATCAGGGAACCGGTTGGACCGTCGCTTATATCATTAAAAAGGGGAAGTTATTGCCCTTTGGAACAAAATGATCGCCAAAAAAGAACGCTAAAACGAATGGTTAGAAAGGTTTTTGCACTTTCATGAATACTGTTGCAATGTGTACGTCACGGGGTGACCATGCATGTATTGATACCGGGCGCTATATGGTATCTGTCGAAATGTACACAGTGACACACGTGCGTTAATATTTCGTTATGACGGAATCGTAGATACAAAATATATCGTGAGATCACAGGTTTTCGGATGCCATACGTTTTCGGACGGACGTGTTTGTCGCTATTACTCGCGCTATAACGGGGGCTTTAGCATCACACAGACATTGTAAATACTCAGATGTATGGCTTGTTTGTAAGAGAAAATTGTCTTTCATAAGTGAATGAGAAGTTTTACAGTGTTAACGTGAATAATGAAAAAACTACGAATAAAGACATTGTGCAGAGCTACAGATAAAGAGCATATTTGCGTGACACCCCCCCCCCCCCCCCCCCCCCCCCCCGAAATTAAAATATAAACCCAATTACTTTCAATTAACTTGCAGCATACAGAAACGTATGCATCAAATGAAAAACTCAAATATATAAAAACAAGGAACCTTTTTCAGCATGCGTAGTAAGTAGATAATTTCCAAAACACAATTACGAGCTAATTTATTTTCCGAGTCAGGCCTATCTATTTAGAACATTTCTGTACATCTAAAACATTTTTATATATTCTTTTTAATCTTAAAATGTTCACTAATTTTGGGAAAACCCAATAGAGTGATGAATAGGTGAGTGAAAAAATATTGGTTACCCAATGTAAAATGTAATAACCCAATTATAACAGAAACCCTTGATAAAAAACTCAATTGCTCATTCAGAAGCCCTAAGTATTTTTATTCTATTTTTTTATTGGTATTTTATTCTAGGTATGCATAAACATATACAATGATATAAGATCACAATGTACAATGGGCTAATAATAAGGCAAAGTTCATACCAAAGTCAGTATAATAGACAAAAGAGACAAAATGTCACTGGTGTAGTCTTTGTAAGACACACTGGAGATGAGTCAATATAGATCTATACAATGGTTGCTTTCATTGGTTAGTGTTTACAACAGAAGAAGCTTAACAATTACCTTTGTATAAAGTATAACAGAAAAAGCAATGAATTTAACAATATGATTTGCATTAATACTTTCCCTTTGTAACAATTCTCGCCTAGAACTATCTGTAAATGGTCTTAGTTTGAAGAGAAAATGGTTGACAACAGAAGATAGTGAACATCAATTCGTTTTTCAGAATATCCAAACAACACATTTTTCGTATCCAGTTCAATTGTTTCCTTATATGATGTGTCGTTTTGCATTCATAAGAGAACTGAGTAAGGCTTTCAAACTACGAGTTACAGATAGAATTCATATCATTGTCTGCATATGACATCTGGAAAAGTAGTGATTTAGTTGGCAGGATTGTATCTAAGATAGAATATGGAAATTATGTTTATAGCTTCCCATTCCAAACTGTTTGTTGCACATATCAAATCATCTTCCCATTTTGTTTTATAGGGGTAAAGTCTAGTGTTTAGTTTACTTTATATCGAAGATCTTCTACATCCTTTATAGCTTCTGATTATTTCCTGCAAGTTGTATGGTAACAGTGGTGTTTCTAGCTTATTTTCTATTTCTATTTGAAAGGTTTTGCATTAATGTTGTATTGCATGCAAGATGCACTTGTCCATGAAAAGTTCCTGAAGATGGTGAAAAGAAGATGGCTTTCCGTCTTAGAAGCGCTAATTTATCTCCTCAGCTTGGATCTATGGGTAATCCTATACTCCACTCACAAATTGTCCTTCTCGACTTTCATAAACCTTCCCGAATATTTATTTATAACAGTAGTTAAAAAGAATCCTGCTAATTCTATCGAAACAAAATAATAATACAGCTGTCCACTCCACCCACCACTTACAGAATAGACCTCTGCCAGCCTGGATATACTTACCACATTATATATAGTTTCAACTTACCCTGCATTACTCCTGAATGCATTTACTGATGGTTTTTGACAAAAAGATAAAGCGGTGAGCGGTCTAGCTGCAAACCAGTTGTGTGGTAATACCCTCAAATAGCTGCCATGTGACCCGGAAGTGGTGAAGTCACACAAGAGCACATTGCTGCTTTGTCACTCAAAACAACTAGACGTGTTTGTGATTATAAGCCTCTACGGAATTTCAGCATTTTTTGCATGTTATTACTACCATTGGTTTCACTTGATATTGTTGTGTTGTTTATGGTGTGTGCCTTTTGGTCTTACCCATTTGTTATTTGTAATAAATTCACGATTGTTTGTGGATCTCACTCACAGTAATTACAGGCATATTTTTGTTCCAACCCGCCATTTTAAATTTCTCATGCCCTATTGGAAATTCATTCATCTGAAATTTCATTCTGAAAACTGATGAGTTTTTGAGTTATAAATCTTTTCCTGTTGTCTGCTTGCATGATTTGTGAATATGACTTTGCTTAAATTACTGATGTATGCCATGTTATATTAATTGTCATGGCAGGGATCCTCACCCTCTGTGTTTGGATTGCCCGAACCCCTGCTTTTGCCGTCCTCTCTCGACGTAAACTTCTCTCTTTTCTTGAGAGCTGCCAAGAAACGCCAGGCTTGAAGACACCCAAAGATGACCGACTCTACTAAGACTCCATCCACCATGGCTATCTCTGATATACTAACTACTACGGCTGAGTTACAACCTCCCACCACAGCAACTTTGGATGCGACTTCACCTTTGATTCATCACATGCTGTCGCTGGACCAGATGGTCGCGTCTTTTCAGACATTGAGGACTCAACAGGAGAATGTCTTTCTCCAGCCATCGACAACTACATCGATCTGCATGTCTGTCACCTCTCCACTTTCCGAGACGACCTCCTGGAATTGTTAGCGCCAGAGCACTTCAGCCACTACATGGCACCAGCCACCACAGGCACCCTAGGTTAAGGAGCTATCCCTAGCTTACCAGCTGGCACCACATCCGCTCCTTCCAGCATCTGTTGTGGATCCTAACTGACCAATGTCTTCTGCTAGGGATACTGTCTCTCTCAACTAAACAACCCTCCTTTGATGTCCACACCCATGGCAAAAGCCTACAACCCCAATCAACACCAGCTCCTATGTGACAATATAAATATTCTGCTCCACAAGGTGGCCATCAAGATTGTTCATGACCCGGCCCGACGTTTGGGATTTTACTCCCCCATTTTTCTGGTCCCCAAGGAGGATTCGGACAAACTTTGCATGATTCACAATCTTGTCGTATTCAGCCAATGCTACCTGGAATGTCCACCATATCTTCATGTGCCTATCCAAGTAACAGGCGGTTCATCAGGTTCATCTTCTATGATATCCATTACCAGTGGTGGTCCTCCCATTTGGCATTTCCACAGCCCCATGGCTATTTACACAGATCACCAAGCCAGTAATCTGATGCCTTTTCCATCACCTGGTGTGTATTATCAACAAGTCCAAGTCCGATCCCAATCTCTGTCCTTCCATGTCCAATTTATTGGAGGTCTGTTTCTGACTGACCGGCACCTCCTTAAATGTCTCAGGGACAGGCAGTTCTTCAATAATCCGACACTCCGCCAGTGGCAAGTGCTGTTGAGCTTACTCACTATGGCACAGACCTGACATCTAGGGCACGTCTCCAGTTGCCCCCGATCCAACAGTTCCTTGCCCACTTCATCAGGCGCCAGAATTAGTCTGTCTCCATCGTCCTCCCGGCTCACCTGCAACCTTATCTCTGCTGGTGGATAGTGGAGTTGAATGTCTCAGGCGTCATCTCATTGACCGCTCTAAAACTAACTCTCCAATTGTTTGTCAACGCTTCCATGCAAGGGTGGGGAGCTCATCGGGAGGCACAGATGACCTCAGGGCTATGGTCAGGAGAACAGTGTCACTGCCACAGCAACAATCTGGAATTGGAAGCTCTAATTCTGGCTGTGGCGCATTGGCAGGCCATCTTCTGACAAACCAAGTTAACAATCAGCCATGGACAACGTAATGTGGTTTCTTGCAATCAGGGGACCTTACACTCCTCCTCACTGATGATGTTCTGCTTCTTTTGGCTGTTAGAGTATCTCGACCTGCACTTTCTTGTCCAACACATTTTTGGGTGCTGAAACGGATGCCCTGTCTAGACTGGACATTGTGGCTCCCACAGAATGGAAGTTACATCCCAAGTGGAGCCATGATCTGCAAACAGATCGACCACATCGACTTGTTTGCCACCAGTCAGAACTTCCAATTGCAGACCTATATCTTCACCAGTTCCGGACCCACAAGCGAAGGACTAAAAGCATAAACTTTTCTGCCACTTGTCCTCCTTCCCAAGGTTCTACTAAAGATCAGGGACACTCGGAGCCAAGTTCTGATTTTGGTAGTGCCTTGGTGGCTGAAGAGAAGTTGGTTTGTGTCCTCTTGAACTTCCAGTTTGGCCAAACCTGCTGCTCCACCCTACAGCAGGTTACCCCATCTGCTTGGTGTATCTGCAGGTTCCAAGGGCTGCTCATCAGGGGCTTTACTATGACAAGTGGTGACCCTTTGAGGCCTTTTGTAAGGACAGAGGACAGGATCCCACCTCTGCTTCCCGCAATTCCCGGATGAATATTTTCTCTTCCTACAACGCAAATGTCACCTTAAGGGCTCATCCATCTCGCCCTACCTGGTAGCCATTATTTGTCTTAGCCTTTCCGGATGATTGCATGACGAAGATTCCAGAATTACAAGCTTTGCTGCACTCGTTTTGACTGCAAGATCAGAAGGCCAAGTTCAGACCTTTGGCTTTGGATCTGAACCTAGTTTCACCGTTACTCTTTGCGACTCCCTTCGAGCCCTTTCACTCATCATCTTTTTATGACCTCATCAAGAAGACGTTTTTTCTCTTGGGTCATGGCTTCTGCAGATCGGGTCAGCGAGCTACATGCAATAGCCATTACAGTAGTACAAGACAGTGGTATTGTAATTAATCAACCGAACATGCTGAAGACACTTCAGTGTGAGGTTGTTGAAAAGATATAAAGGTCATGCAAAATTGTCACATGTATTGTATGAAATGGGGTGGGGGGGTCTGTCGGCAAAATATAATACAGCTTAATATTCTGAAATGTTAGAATATCCCTGTATTTGCTGCAAAATATGTGGTGGACCTGAGATGTCTTGTTTCAGAGACTGAGGAACTGTGACAGAGAAGGAGATCGCTAGCAGGAAGCCATGGAGCTAGGTCTTGCACTAGAAGATGAGGACATGGGGCAGACACGAGATCGGAGTAACATCCCGACCCTCACATCGTTCAACGCCAAAGTGTGCTCGCCACTGGTCAGTACCTCGACAACTGTGTGGAAGAGAAGGGGTCAAGTATTTGTTTCCTTGTTTGGCAAACCAACTTTGTGGAAAGTCTCAAGTACATGACATGAGGAATACTCCAAATAACTCTGAAACCATCAATATTAGATACACAGTGGGGACCTGGTTAAGAATGTGTCCCTGACACTCTAGTCGGGTGAAAGAGGATTGTATCATTGAACCCCGTGTATGTCTTCAGTCACCAGTTTGCCTGCTCCACATTCAGTTAATTCCAGGCTGATATGATATTTCTTGACAATCTCATTAAGGGCAGATCTTTTACTAATAAGACACCTTACTGCATCAAGATCTGATGACTCCTCCATAGAAAGTCACTTCAAGTGAACCCTGAGTGAACTTTGACCACCCAATCTGAAGGAAGGATACATGAGTTCTTGAGCCAATCAGATGTTAGTTTACTGAAATAATTCAGCTTCATTTTTTACCACCTCAGTTCAGAAATTTGGATGTTAGACAAAACCCTCCTGAACTGAAATATCCCTTTGATAGTACACCCTTCTGCCATGCCAATCAGAAATGACAGGATGTATAAAATATCCACAACAATGTGTTAGTGCTGTTTTAAGTTTTTGCATTCGGAACTCCCTGACTGTGAAGGTGTCGTATTGTTGTGGAGTAAAAGATCTGATTTTACTGATATTGTGGCAATGGGATGCTTGGGACCTATTTTATCCAAGGTCCACACAACATCTTCCATAGAAACCATATCAGGCTTATGAAGAAAACATTATGCATTGATAATCCTAAATTAATAATGTCATAAAATATAGAAATAAACTTCAAAATCCATTTTAAACATACCCACATGTTTCATGTTTCAGTGGTTCGAGTCCGAACTGAACCTGACAGATGACAGTGTGTCCGAGACAAACTCTCAGTTGCTGAAGTTCAGTGGAGACCTTCACTATCGCCATGGCAACTTTGCATCAGCAGCTGAGATGTATTCAAAGTCCTTCAGTAAGAGATGTAACTGTGAGAGAGCTAGGGTCTGGCCACACAGAGATGCATGAGAGAAGTCACCCAATTAAATTGATGCCAGGATGTGATAATACTGAGGATAGGATATCTTGTGGCACAGCTGTCCCCTTGGACAGAGTACATTAAACTTGCACACATATCACTGTACCTAGTGAGTGAGTGAGTGAGTATGGTTTTACACCGTTTTTAGCAATATTCCAGCAAATATCATGGCGGGGGACACCAGAAATGGCCTACACACATTGTACAGATGTCGGGAATCGAACCCGGGTCTTCGGCATGACGAGCAAACACTTTAACCACTAGGCTACCCAACTGCCCCACTGTACCTAGTATGTTGAAATGAAATCAATCAGGGCTTCTTTCAATGGTGTTCAAAATGTAGGAACTGTAAAATTAGTCCTTTGTGGACAGAAATTTGAAATAATTCTGGCATGACAGTTGCTTCTGCTATCCCATTCGGGTTTTTCAGCAGAGTACTGTGTATTCGTTGTAAAGGCTGTAAGGCTGAATGAAAAGATAATCAGACAGTTGCAGTGTGTAACCATTTTACATAATTTATGTGCTGGTTGCAAGGTTACCTCTGTTCTGTCTAATGTTCTGGTTTCAAGGTTTCCTGTGTTTTGTCCAATGTTCCTGTTACCGGGTTTCCTGAAATGTTCCATGTTGCCAGGTTTCCTGTGTTCTGTCCAGTGTTCCGTGTTGCCAGGTTTCCTGTGTTCTGTCTAATGTTCCCGGTTGTTCTGTGACAGAGGTACTGCCCGGACACGCCCAGGCAACCCGACTAGACCTCCACCAGTCCATGACAAGATGCTACCTGAGACTGGGGCGTGTACAGGAGGCAGCGGACACCGCACAATACTTGGTGGGTTGCTAGTGTGACAGAGGGTATGGTACGTTGGGTTGGGACAGGTGATTTGGGGACTCGGGTTGGGTGGGTACTGAGTCGGACCCAGGTACCCTCTGTAATTACCGTACCCATGATTAGTCACGTGAAAAAGTGACAAAAAATCTCTATAGCTCCATGTTACACGACAAGTCATGATTTCTTCTGACTTTTATGTGTTTGAATATATATATAACACATCAGTCAACATCAATGTATGCATGACCAGATTGTTTTATATGTGTATCTAAATACTCTTTGACAGGGCTCCAGTAAAACAATTCCCAAGTAGACATTTTGTACCCAACTCTTGAGACCTACAGGGGGTACCCAGGTTGGGTCGGGTACCCAGGTAGTAAATTTGGACTCGTCCCAGCCCTAGTGGTATCTCAGATCTTCAGCAGGGATGTGCAGTGGGGGACATTTTATATCGATTTAGACATTCATACCTCCATATCTTTTTTTACCAACCTTGAATATTGTCAAACTGAAGACTGTAAATGTTCTTCTGGTCTTTTTGTTGTGCAGTGATGTACTGTCAGTGTTTTGTTTATTTGTTGTTTGACGCCGCACTGAGCAATATGGTCGGTAAATAATCGAGTCTTGACCAGACAATCCAGTGATTGACATCATGAGCATCGAGATATTGGATACGCTGACATTCATCAACTGAGTCACTGAGTCTGACAACCTGATCCCGTTAGTTGCCTCAAGGGAGGTTGCTGAAGATCACTTCTAAGACGGATCTTCACGGGTTTCTGTCAATGAAAGACATGTCCTATAGTAATGGTTTGGTGGTGACTGAAAGGCAGTTAAGGAAGCTGATGTCATATTTTAAACGGTTATCAAATAATATTATTGGCAGTTCCTTTTGAGGCCCAAGGCAAGTTGTAGCCATAGTAAAGACACATTTTAGTTGGTTGGCTATTCTGTTCAGGCATCATGACATAATGTTGTAGGTCATGTCACATGTGGGGATGCTTGGGAGGAAATGCCTGTCTTAAAGGCAAGCTATTGAAGATCAGGTGGTTACTGTGTGTGTCATTGTGCTGGACTGAGTGAATTGTTGCTCATGATATCAACCTCTGGTTGTCTGACTCAGACCACTGTGATATAGCGGAAATATATTACTGTGCCTTAAATCAGCCTTAAGGTTGGACCATTCACTTTGAAGGGCCATAAACTCCCGCCTCCGTGGCCTAGTAGTAGTGCATCCGCCTGGGGAGCAGAAGGCCCGGGGTTCGATTCCTGGCCGCTTCATTCCAAGAGACGTTAAAAGATGGTACTTGTTGTTATCCTGTCTGGCGCTCGGCATTAAGGGGCTAAAACAAGGACTGGTCGGTTCGGAGTCCGTATTCTGTGTCTGAGTGGGGTATATGTTAAACTGTGGCATGGTATCATTGAGCTAGCACTATAAATCGGCATCAGTCCGGACTAGTACAAGCAGCCACACAAACACACAAATGTGGATGCATGTCGCTTTATAAGTTCAATTATCTTTGATGCAACGTTAAACCCCATTTCACCTCACCTCACTTTGAAGTGCCAATAACTCCCTGCTATTGAGACATACTCATGTTGCATGGACTGATCTGTGAGTTCTCCTGATTGCACCATGTTCTTTTGTAGGTGGAAACAGCTCAGAATATTGATCAAAAGAAGCAGAGTTACATTCTTAAGTCTGAGGTTGCCATAGCAACACATAACTGGCAGGAAGCTGAGAGTTGTCTCCACTTCCTGATTGGTCAACAGCCACACTACACTCACTTCTGGCTGCAGCTTGCACAGATCTGCCAACAGGGGGCACTACATGACAGCCACAACCACCAGGGTGAGCTCATGGTAGAAGAGTGTAAGCGGATGAAGTTGATCACATGCTACCTCCGAACAAAGTGAGTTCTGTGATGCTGTCTCTACAACCCTCACTATGTTTGTCAATCAGTGCCTGAATGTTCAAAAAATGTTGGCGTTGTGATGTGATTTTTTGCCTTACTCATTTACCTGTTGTTCCTAACCATTGCTTACAATCCAACTGTGTGTCTAAAGTTAGTGTAATTATGGTCATATAAATCTATTTGAACAAATATGAATCATTACAGAGATTTTATGAACAAACATGGCTGATCCAAAGTGAATGAACAGTGATCAGAAGTGACACACAATGACTTGTTTCAATCTTGCATCCAATGTTGAAACAACTTGATTTCAGTTTCATGTGTGAATAGTGGGATGTACGGGGTTTACAAGCTAAATGGACACCTTTCAGGGATTTATCTAGACCTGCTCAGAGGCCGATATTTGGCCCCGAGTCTGCAGAGCAAATGTCATTAAAAAATTCCCCAAAAGGAATGTAAAGTTGCCCAATTTATGTTAATATATAAAACAAGTGGCTCATGTTATGGCTTTGTAAAATTACATGTACTTCACTGATAACAGGATGAATACATAGCAGGAGTTGTAATGCTTGGTATATGTCATTGCATTGAGTGCAAATCTCAAAATACCATGTTAGAAAAGGCCTACCTCTGAAATTGGAATAGAAAATTGTTCCCACGATAGAGTTACATTGGGAATCTTTGTTCCTACTGGAACTAATTCCATTTGGAACGGATCTCCACTGACATCAGCATTCAATCACACCCTGGTTTTATATTTATGAAGCTGGAACAGCTGGAGGTCTCCCATGTTTCTTTGTTGTTTAGGGGCAGTCGAGTAGCCTAGTGGTTAAAGCGTTCACTCATCACGCCGAAGACCCGGTTTCGATTCCCGACATGGGTACAATGTGTGAAGCCCATTTCTGGTGTCCCCCGCCGTGATGTTGCTGGAATATTGCTAAAAGCAGCGAAAAACCATACTCAGTCACTCACTCACTTTGTTGTTTAACACCAAACTCAGCTGCATAATATTCCAGCTGCATAATGGTGGTCTGTAAATAATCAAGTGATTGGCATGACATTGATCTACGTAATTTGGATACTCTCATGTTTGATAGACCAACATGAATATTTTGCAGACTGCTACTTCAGAGTGTGCACCGTAGTGTGAGTGAAGTGATCCGTCAACGTGATCAAGCCCTTCTGCAGCAGGTACATGTCATCCAATAATCTTGCACACCCGCCCTACCCACCTCACAACCAATTTCTTCCATGCCCTACCCACCTTCCACAGCATTACCCCTTTCACTCAGACCCCAGTTAATCTTGTTTGATATTAGTTCATGATGCTGGTTGTTGATGTTGCTGGTTGTTATGTTACAGTGGTTGATGTTGCAGTTGTTGATGTTGAAGTGGTTTATCTTGCAGTGGCGGATGTTGTTGGTTGTTGATGTTGCAGATGGAGGAGAGGCTGGAGGAGTTGGAGGTATCTGAGGAGATAATGGCTCGGGGGTCGGAGGTAACGTCCTAATGCTTGAACGCATGCCATCAATAAACACACCTCCATAAACAGAAATACTTACTCAAAAAATATCTTAGACATTATATTTTATTTTTTCTTCACATTTTTAATAATACAGTGAATCAGTTTGCATTAACAAGGAAATAAATACTAAGGAATGTACAGCAGTCCACACATCCCCTCAGATAATCACCATGATATACAGTAACAAGATGGTTCTAGAGAAATATTTGTCTGACATACAGCCCAGTAGGAAACATCCTCTGTGTGTTGCCTACCCCCACAATCCCAGAGTCTGAAATGATGATGGAGCTGTTAGACACTGTTGTTCAACAGCTGCAGTACCAATGTGTTTCATGTTTCAGTTTCTGGGGCGGGACATTCGTCTGGAGAAGTGGGATGGTGATGATCTTGAAAGCAACAACCCTGACAAAACTCTCGACAAAACATTCAAGGTCAGAAACTTATCACACATAGTGGATGTACAGACATGACACCAACCCTGCAAAGATATGCAGTCAATGTTCATGATATTTGCTTTTTACAAAAAGAAGTTCAAATACATATGTATATATTCCTCATAATCATCACTGTCCTTTTATTGCAGCTTCCCGTAGGGGGGCGGGAGGACTTCAACATTCGATGGTTTGCTTGGTCCTCAGTTACCTCCCCTTCCGACGACAAAGTGAAGGTCAACACATGACAACCATTCCAGTATTGTCAAGTGTGTAAGACCCAGATTCCGTCACATCATATTGACCTTAGCTCTGCTCCCGAGGTCCCACAGAGACCTTGGCATCACATGACGCGTGTCTAGGTCATCTTGAGGCACACTATGGGGAAGCCGTCACCCTTGTGTCGACTGACCAGGTCCAGCATGGTCTGTTTCTTGTGCAGCGCACGTGAGGACTCCAGCTCATACAGAGTGCACAAGTTGAAGAGGATGCCCTCGTGGAGGTTGTTGGCAGGGTCGCGGTGGACGAGGGACTCCAGCGTGTTGAGGGCGTCTTTGAGGCGGCCCAGGTACAGCGAGCACACCGCCATGTTGTTGACAGCCTAGACAGGAAAGGGGATTCTCATATGACATGTTTTGTTATTAATAAAATTCTGTGCTGGTATAAAAGCCTCTCTTTGTAAATTAGATTTGACCACATTGCATTATGACATAACATGGAATGTAGACTGCTGCTAAAATATTGCATTACATGGACCATAGTTTCAGTGTAACTGGAGACTTGCCACCTAATACATTACATTACATTACATGGACCATAGTTACAGTGTAACTGGAGACTTGCCACCTAATACATTACATTACATGGACCATAGTTACATTGTAACTGGAGACTTGACACCTAATACATTACATTACATGGACCATAGTTACATTGTAACTGGAGACTTGACACCTAATACATTACATTACATGGAACATAGTTTCAGTGTAACTGGAGACTTGCCACCTATACATGACATTACATGGACCATAGTTACAATGTAACTGGAGACTTGCCACCTATACATTACATTACATGGACCATAGTTTCAGTCTAACTGGAGATGTAATATTTTAGTTGTCACAGGCTCTCCTACAACAACCTTTGTTAATAGTGTAACCAGACATCACCATGGTAACACATGGCGTCACAACTTACGCATGTATTGAGTGGTTCCAACTGCACAGCTAACTTAAAGTGACCATACGCCTCCGAGAAGTTGTTCTGACACATGGAAGCCAAACCCCTGAAGACAAACATGAGTGAATTGGGTTTAACACCGCATTTAGCAGGATTCCAGTTATATCACAGCTTGACATGGAAGGGAAGCCCGAGGTGATACAGGTCTCAGGTTTTTACCACCTTAGTGGAACCCGTCATCAGGGTATGGAGCTGACAAACCCATAAGCATAATCGGGGTGTACCTATATTGAAACCAACAATCATTGATTGCCTAACGGATGCAACTCTGCACATCAAATTGCGGCGCCTTAGACAACTGGGCCACTCTTGCCCCCAAGACAAACATGAAGGGAGAGATTCAATATTTTTCACATATCATTGCACACATAATTTATAATGATGTCATTTGCAGCTTGGGTCATTTTGTATTGGATGAAAGGTTGAGCCCGTTTCCAGCACTTTTTCAATGCAATCAAATAAATCTTTATGAAACAGCAACTTTTGCAAGGAGATGGGGGAAATGTCCTTATGTTTCTCTCTTGAACCCTCCTCCTACATTACCTGTTGACAGAGTTCCTGCAGCTGGTAGTGTTGTCTCCCTTCTCAGACTCTGCTTCCAGCTGCTTGAAGATTGTCAGGGCATCCGGAACATTACCCATCTGTAACAGAAGATCAGATTATCACCTCATGACCCTTGGTGGTTTGGAGGCCAGGACTCTAAAGTGCTGCAATTCTAAGTGCAGAGTGGTGTACCTTAGCCATGCCAGGATCTGCTTATCCTCAGGTTGAATCCTAGATAATGACTCTTCATGCTTGTCAGCACCACCCCACTGCTGAATATGCAGTTCACAAAAATGGTAAGATTCTTCAACCTGAACAATTTTTGGATTTCAGCCAACACTGAAACAACCCTGAAAATATCTTGATTCTATGTCACCATACGCCATTATGGGCCATAGCTCTTATTGCTGACAGCAGAGTAAACAAGCGTATAGTTGACAAAGTCATCTATATCCCCCGCCCATTTTAACACGTTATGGTCCCAAACCAGGTAACTGACCCAACATTTCTCTTAGCCCATGTCAAAATAGCTGCAATGGAAATTCTACAATAAACATTTCTGAAACTCCTTAATATCAAATGGCACTAGTTCAGAATGTGCTTTATAGATAGACATGCAATGTTTGGCAAGGAAATATTTAACAGTTTATTTGTTATACTACTTAAGTAAACTAATCCTATATTAAAACTTAAATCCAACTTCTTGTCATGAAAACATAAACAATTAATATTTCTAAAAGTGCCATATATCAAAAGGCACCAGTTCAGTATGTGCCTGGTAGACATGCAAAGTTTTGTAAGAAAATATTTAATGGTTTTACACTCTGGAAAAGAACACCACCACTGTAGAAACTAAGTCCAACTTATTGCCATGGAAACGTGAAAAATAAAAATTTCTAAAATTCCTAAATAGCAAGAGGCACCAGTCCAGTATGTGTCTGGTAAACATGCATAGTTTTTGTTGGAAAGTATTGAATGGGTTTTGAGTTACGCTCCGGAAACGAACACCACCCTTATAGAACCTAAGTCCAACTTGTTGCCATGGAAACGTAAAAAATAAAAATTTATAAAACTCCTAAATAGCAAAAGGCACCAGTTCAGTATGTGTCTGGTAAACATGCAAAGTTTTGTAAGACATTATTTAACGGTTTTTGAGTTACGCACCGGAAACGATTAGCACCCTTATAGAACCTAAGTCCAACTTGTTGCCATGGAAACGTAAAAAATAAAAATTTCTAAAATTTCTAAATAGCAAAAGGCACCAGTTCAGCATGAGTCTGACAGACATGCAAAGTTTTCTTTGGAAAGTATTGAATGGGTTTTGAGTTATGCTCCGGAAACGAACTCTACCCTATAGAACCTAAGTCCAACTTGTTGCAATGGAAACATAAAAAATAAAAATTTATAAAATTCCTAAATAGCAAAAGGCACCAGTTCAGTATGTGCCTAGTAGACATGCAAAGTTTTGTAAGAAAGTATTTAATGGTTTTTGAGTTACGCTCCGGAAACGTACACCATCCTTATAGAATTTAAGTCCAACTTGTTGCCATGGAAACGTAAAAAATAAAAATTTATAAAATTCCTAAATAGCAAAAGGCACCAGTTCAGTATGTGTCTGGTAAACATGCAAAGTTTTGTAAGACATTATTTAACGGTTTTTGAGTTACGCTCCGGAAACGAACAGCACCTTTATAGAACCTAAGTCCAACTTGTTGCCATGGAAACGTTAAAAATAAAAATTATAAAACTCCTAAATAGCAAAAGGCACCAGTTCAGCATGAGTCTGATAGATATGCAAAGTTTCGTAGAGAAATATTTAACGGTTTCTGAGTTATGCTCTGGAAACGATTTCCGCACGCACGCACGCAGAACCCATTTCTATATCCCCCGCCAACTTCGGGGATAAAAATAGTCTTTCATACAGACCCTGAAATGAATATATTCAATACAGCCCATTCAAGGGTATAACAACAGGCTAGTCTAGATTACTGCAGTTTCTGAAAATGAAGAGAATCTCCAGGATCTTCTTATTTCATCAAGATAATTTGACAACTTTTTTTTTTCTGTAAAATATTTTCATTTCAGAGACTAAATGTTAATGGTAAAACAAACAACAAAATCTACCTGCAGATATATTCGCCCAATGCCACTCCTCAGAGACTCCATGTTGTCCTTGACCTTCTCCTCCAGAGACTCGTAGACAGAAAGAGCAGCTTCGTAGTCCTGGGGAAAAGTTTAGCATGTAAACATGAAGTAAAGGCATGTTCACGAATAACAGCTGACACTACCTAGTACATATTTTCTGAGCAGACCTTCTTAATAACATGACCTGTGAAGACCTGGGGTAGAAAAGGTCTTCAGCAACCCATGCTTGCTGTATAAGGAGACAATGCTTGTCATCAGAGGCGACTAACGGGATCAGGTGGTCAGGCTCACTGACTTGGTTGAGGATGCATGTCTGCGATCCCAAATGCGTGGATTAATGCTCAAGATGTCAATCACTCGACTGGTCCAGCCTCGATTATTTACAGACCACCGTCACATACCTGGAATATTGCTGAGAGTGGCGTTAAACAAACTAATAACATGACAGTTGTTACTTATAAACCTGTCACCTACCTTTACGAACACCATGACGCCAGCAATCTTGTACAAAGTCTGAACCTCCCGTTGACGCCACAGTTCCATAGACTCTGCAAGAAAGCGAGTGTCATCAATAACCTGTAGAGACCTTTATATATCTTGACACACATTCACACACATGCACACTTTCACAGTTATGTTTTTTACAGGGTATTGAGGTATGTCTCAAAACAAGGTATTAACATATATTTTCCTTCACTGAACTATTGAACTGCTCCCTAACACAAACATACCCTAGGGGGAGACATGTTGAGACATGAGACTTGGTTGATGCATGTCATCTATCCCAATTGCATGGATCGATGCTCATGATGTCAATCACTGGATTGTCTGGTCCAGACTTTATTATTTACAGATCGCCATCATATAGCTGGAATATTGCTGAGTGCGACATTAAACAACAAACAACAGACAAACAAACAAACAAACAAACAAATGCACCTAAAGACATCTGTGGACACAGAGATTATCTGGGACTCCAAACTAAGTACCTCTGTCTAAAATTAGTTCTTAACTTCAGAGGCTATTAACATTGTCTATAAACATTACATTTGACGCAATAACGTAAACATGAAAGCCTCTTCTTCTTCATTGGTCCTGTTGTTATCAGTGGGATACAAGTCGTCTCGACCAAGCCATCACATTAGTTATAACAATACATAATTAATCAACTGTTCAGAAGAATGTTTTTTGAAATGCAGACAATATTTTGTATTAACCAAAACACTGAAGCCCATCCAATAGATATGGCCATGTGTCCTCCCAGGTACGGTGTACTCACTGTTCCTGCTGTCTGCTGACATCTCCCACACACTCCCATCCTCCGCCAGCCCTGTGTCCAGGTTACACAGCATCTAGCAACACAGATCACACATGCCAAAGCATAGACCGGATATAACGTACCACAGTATAGGTACCACAGTATATGTGGGCTATATCACACATGCCAGCATATACACGACATATCAAGTGTCATAGCATACACCATATTTATCACACAGGCCACGGTGTTCTTGGGCAAAATGTATGTCATACAAGTCATAATGTACATTATACATTGGACATACCATCTTCCTGAGGGAAGGCGTTAACTGACTGCAAGAATCCAGTTTCCACCTTTGTCGAAATGGCCTGAATTTCTGAGCTCGATGATAGTGCCACCTGTGACTATTATGAGTTATGTCCCTCCTTTTGACCACTCAGATTCCACCTCTCATATCACTTGTATTAGCTTCAAATAAAATCGTGTCACCCAGTGAAAATAATCCGATTGATTTTAAGATGTATATTGTAATAAAACATGTCTTACTTCACAAAGTGTGTCTCATCACATGAGCACCTTGATTAAGAACATGAAAAGATTTGAACAATATCTGTTGACTCTAGGTTGTCTGTACACATGCTTTACTTATCATGCAATCAATCAATATGTGCATGCCAGTTGTATGAACCGGATGTCGATTTCGATACGCGATACTGATTGGACTATGCAGCTGAAATGTTACTCCATAATTTCCAGCCAAGTTCTGCAAGCATGGAAACTGGACTTCTATGGTCAGTTAACTCTGCTGTCTCGGGAAGATGTGGTCATACAGGGATCCCACATGCCACACAATAGACAGGATATAAGACACATACAACATTATTGTTTCATCACTCACCCTGTTGATGACAGCCAGCACGTAGTACAGTTTGTCCAGAGCCTCCTGATTGCGTCCAAGGAAACTTGGCAGCTCGGCATGCAACAGCCTCATTCCGAACGGCACCATGGAGCCTTGAATACAAACACCAGGAGCATAAACACCATCTGTCCACACACAACACAGGGTGCACTGCAGGGTTGACATAGTGTAGGGGGAAGGAGAGGCCACACACAACACAGGGTGCACTGCAGGGTCGTCATAGTGTAGGGGGAAGGAGAGGTCACACACAACACAGGGTGCACTGCAGGGTCGACATAGTGTAGGGGGAAGGTGTGGTCACACACAACACAGGGTGCACTGCAGGGTCGACATAGTGTAGGGGGAAGGTGTGGTCACACACAACACAGGGTGCACTGCAGGGTCGACACTGTGTAGGGGAAAGGGGTGGTCACACACAACACAGGGTGCACTGCAGGGTTGACATAGTGTAGGGGGAAGGAGTGGTCACACACAACACAGGGTGCACTGCAGGGTCGACATAGTGTAGGGGAAAGGGGTGGTCACACACAACACAGGGTGCACTGCAGGGTCGACATAGTGTAGGGGGAAGGGGTGGTCACACACAACACAGGGTGCACTGCAGGGTCGACATAGTGTAGGGGAAAGGGGTGGTCACACACAACACAGGGTGCACTGCAGGGTTGACATAGTGTAGGGGGAAGGAGTGGTCACACACAACACAGGGTGCACTGCAGGGTCGACATAGTGTAGGGGGAAGGAGTGGTCACACACAACACAGGGTGCACTGCAGGGTCGACATAGTGTAGGGGAAAGGAGTGGTCACACACAACACAGGGTGCACTGCAGGGTCGACATAGTGTAGGGGGAAGGAGTGGTCACACACAACACAGGGTGGACTGCAGGGTCGACATAGTGTAGGGGAAAGGGGTGGTCACACACAACACAGGGTGCACTGCAGGGTCGACATAGTGTAGGGGGAAGGGGTGGTCACACACAACACAGGGTGGACTGCAGGGTCGACATAGTGTAGGGGGAAGGTGTGGTCACACACAACACAGGGTGCACTGCAGGGTCGACATAGTGTAGGGGAAAGGGGTGGTCACACACAACACAGGGTGCACTGCAGGGTCGACATAGTGTAGGGGGAAGGGGTGGTCACACACAACACAGGGTGGACTGCAGGGTTGACATAGTGTAGGGGAAAGGGGTGGTCACACACAACACAGGGTGCACTGCAGGGTCGACATAGTGTAGGGGAAAGGGGTGGTCACACACAACACAGGGTGGACTGCAGGGTCGACATAGTGTAGGGGAAAGGGGTGGTCACACACAACACAGGGTGGACTGCAGGGTCGACATAGTGTAGGGGAAAGGGGTGGTCACATGGTTGGTGACCACACATCTCTCCCTCCAGAGCAAACATGGCACAGGTAGTACTGATCACCTCTCCTATCAGGGCTAAAGGTTTGGGCAGCACTGATGACCTCTCCTGTCAGGGGTATTCAGGGTAGCGCTAAATAGTGGGATGGTGTCAATCACTTCTCCTATCATTTATTCAGTTAGCACCATAGTAACTCAAAACAAATATTCGGGGCAAACATGCGATTCTATACGGAATGTGCCATAAACAAATCTCTCTTATCACTATTTTTTTCCCTATCTGCTACATAATCATGGTTACTAGGCATTGTCTAAATATGCACTAATTAGAACAGTGTAGTACTTAGCACTTCTATTGCACCTGTAAACGGTAGTTAGAATTTCAATTTTCAGTTTGTACTCCTGAAATGAGGACCAGCAATCTTTGCTGTGGGATAGTGTCAGTGAAAGGTAACTAGCTCCCCCAGCCAGGAGGACCAGCAATCTTTGCTGTGGGATAGTGTCAGTGAAAGGTAACTAGCTCCCCCAGCCAGGAGGACCAGCAATCTTTGCTGTGGGATAGTGTCAGTGAAAGGTAACTACCTCCCCCAGCCAGGAGGACCAGCAATCTTTGCTGTGGGATAGTGTCAGTGAAAGGTAACTACCTCCCCCAGCCAGGAGTACCAGCAATCTTTGCTGTGGGATAGTGTCAGTGAAAGGTAACTAGCTCCCCCAGCCAGGAGGACCAGCAATCTTTGCTGTGGGATAGTGTCAGTGAAAGGTAACTAGCTCCCCCAGCCAGGAGTACCAGCAATCTTTGCTGTGGGATAGTGTCAGTGAAAGGTAACTACCTCCCCCAGCCAGGAGGACCAGCAATCTTTGCTGTGGGATAGTGTCAGTGAAAGGTAACTACCTCCCCCAGCCAGGAGGACCAGCAATCTTTGCTGTGGGATAGTGTCAGTGAAAGGTAACTACCTCCCCCAGCCAGGAGTACCAGCAATCTTTGCTGTGGGATAGTGTCAGTGAAAGGTAACTAGCTCCCCCAGCCAGGAGTACCAGCAATCTTTGCTGTGGGATAGTGTCAGTGAAAGGTAACTAGCTCCCCCAGCCAGGAGGACCAGCAATCTTTGCTGTGGGATAGTGTCAGTGAAAGGTAACTAGCTCCCCCAGCCAGGAGTACCAGCAATCTTTGCTGTGGGATAGTGTCAGTGAAAGGTAACTAGCTCCCCCAGCCAGGAGTACCAGCAATCTTTGCTGTGGGATAGTGTCAGTGAAAGGTAACTACCTCCCCCAGCCAGGAGTACCAGCAATCTTTGCTGTGGGATAGTGTCAGTGAAAGGTAACTAGCTCCCCCAGCCAGGAGGACCAGCAATCTTTGCTGTGGGATAGTGTCAGTGAAAGGTAACTAGCTCCCCCAGCCAGGAGGACCAGCAATCTTTGCTGTGGGATAGTGTCAGTGAAAGGTAACTACCTCCCCCAGCCAGGAGGACCAGCAATCTTTGCTGTGGGATAGTGTCAGTGAAAGGTAACTAGCTCCCCCAGCCAGGAGTACCAGCAATCTTTGCTGTGGGATAGTGTCAGTGAAAGGTAACTAGCTCCCCCAGCCAGTTTGATTTTTGACATTGTCATTCACTGATAATATCGATCACCAGGTGTCAGGTATTCTGGTTGTGATAAGGGAGTGTGGTAGTATTGATCACAATTTCTTTCAGAGTTTCTGTGGTAGAGAAACAGGGTGAGGTACAATTGGACACTACTGTTTCCTGGGTATGGACGAGGATAAAGACGGATGTGGACTATTACTGAGCTTCACTACAGTGGGTTTACCTCTCCTGCCCGGGTAGAGATGGGGGTAGAACTCATAGTAAAGGTCCGGTGTGTCAAGGGTCTGGAAGCCACGCAGCTCTGTATCAGCAACATCGTAGAGACGAAGACGAACCAGCAGCGACAGACGGCAGAACCACAGCTGTTCAAAAAGAAGGTACAATAATGGACTCAACCCAAAAAGGTACTAGTACTTTATTAAGAAAGTGTTATCCCAAGAATAACATTTGCTAAATTTGACCATTTTCTAAATGGCATTGAGTATTCAAAACCCATTTAACCTCTTGATGAGAGTAAGCAGTCCATTCTAAAGTCACAAGTGAAGGCTACAACGCCTGGCAAGAAAATTTCTTGCACTTCACATAGCTTCCGAGAATAGTGAGGGGGCAATTTTCTCAACACAGCTGCGGAAGACAGCCACAATGTATTCACAAGTCAATATTGAAATGGTAATACATGTGGCAGAGGACTACATTTGTCAGCCCTTGGTGCAGACTTTGTATATTCGAATCCTGCTAGCGACACATTTTGAGTGAAATTGTTCTATCATCAATACAAATGACAGGAAAAAGTTCCATATGCATCAAGTGGTGCTTAACTAACAATTTAGTTTAATTCATGCACAATCAAAGAGAGCCATGGCTTAATTTGTTTACCGTCATTGAGATAACAAATGATAAGACCGGACAAAGAGTGCAGACAAAGGCTTCTAAAACAAGCATGAAATACTCATATCCCCCGCCAATATGACATGTTCGGTTGTGTGCAATGCATTAGCTCCTGTGAACTATGTTCACTGGGCCTTTTTGTAAATGGCCTAAATGCAGCACTAACAAGTCCAACTTGTTGCAATGGAAACGTAAAAAATAAAAATTTCTTAAATTCCTAAATAGCAAAAGGCACCAGTTCAGTATGTGCCTAGTAGACATGTAAAGTTTTGTAAGAAAGTATTTAACGGTTTTTGAGTTACGCTCCGGAAACGAACAGCACCCTTATAGAACCTAAGTCCAACTTGTTGCCATGGAAACCTAAAAAATAAAAATTTATAAAGTTCCTTAATAGCAAAAGGCACAACTTCAGCATGAGTCTGATGGACATGCAAAGTTTCGTAGAGAAATATTTAACGGTTTCTGAGTTATGCTCCGGAAACGAACCGGAACCCATTTCTATATCCCCCGCCAACTTCGTTGGGGCGGGGGATAATTATCATAAATGATTACCCACCCCCATGGTAATCTCAGTCCCTGTGTGTATGCATACATGTATCAGTAAAGACTATCAAGAAGGTGGGGTGAGGTGAACATGGTGAAATGGGGTTTAACATCAAGTTCAAGATTATTGCACTTATATAGCGATGTGCATGCACATGTGTGTGTGTGTGGCTAAAAAAAAAAATAGGCTTGGTTCTCAGGCACAGCCCACATCATCATAAAGTATGCCACATGTTTCGTTTTTATTTCCAATTTTAACAAAAATAAAAACATCCTAATACTTAAAAACAATGCGATCCAAAAATAGCATGCTGTTACTTCCCTCTACACGTGCACAGCATTACTGCACATCTCATGTTACGGTCATGCTGCAATAGGATTTTGTATGCTTGTTTCTGTAGGGAGGTCCTTTCCCAGGTTGATTTACACAACTGTTTATCTGGTTACATTCTAGTTTGAACAAGCCAAAAAAAAAAAAAAACACCACCCACCCGCACTTTATTTTCAAAAGTAATTGCAGGAGAACAAATACTTTCTTTTTTTTAAGCCTAATGCCGATTTTATAGTGCTAGCGGACTGAGATTCCATGCTGCAGTTTAACATGAATACCCCACTCAGACACAGTATACTGACTTGAGACGACCAGTCCTTGTTTCTGCCCCTTAATGCCGAGCGCCAGGCCAAGTAACAACAAGTACCAGCTCTTAATGGCATTTGGTATGACGCGGTGAGAATCGTCCCTGCACCTTCGATTCCAGGCAGACGCTCTACCACTAGACCACAGAGGCAGTCAGACTATTAAGGATCTCCTTGTACCTGCAGTGTGTACTGGGACTGCTGAGTTGGCTCCCCACCAGTTGCCTCCCCTTGTCCAGCATCAGCCAACATCTTCCCTGTCAGATCAACAGCCGCCCTCAGACACCCTGCAGACTGAACATAGAATACACCCATAACAACGATTGAGTTTTATAACTTTACAATATTTTGACACAGACTTTAGGGATTTGCAATGCAGATTGGTCAGTTGAAGTGATCACACTGCATCATAGTTAAGTGAGTGAGTATGGTTTTACGCCGCTTTTAGCAATATTCCAGAAATATCATGGCGGGGGACACCAGAAATGGGCTTCACGCATTGTACCCATGTCGGGAATCGAACCCGGGTCATCGGCGTGACAAGCGAACACTATAACCACTAGGCTACCCGACCGCCACTGCATCATAGCTAAGAACAAAATCCATAGATCACGATGTCACAACTAAACAATATTATGTCATCTGAACAAAGGACTGACTTCAGATTTCTTTTTTAAAACTTTAGGTTGACATTTTGTATATTTTCTAATTTTTACTTCTTAAAACAACAATGAGTAACATACAGAATAACAAACTCAAAACTCGTAATGATGGACTATTTGTGCCTCTAGTGATATAATTCTTAATTGCTCACTGCTTCTATGATCGCAGTTTCAAAATATCATACAGTTTAAGTCCCTGGTATCATACATGTGATTTCCAAGAATTGTCTCACACAACAGTTAGTTATTTGAATGCTTAAATATTACTAAAAATCAAAAACAATTATAATGTATATGACAGGGATGGAAATTAACCATGAATGCCTACTACTCCGAATGGTGATAATGAATAGCAATACACCCAAAATGTTTCAAATTCTACTAGCCCTTAAGATATGTTTAACATTAACAAAACTGGTCCAGGCTAGCTGGATACATCTAATTTCCATCCCTGTATGATACAATCTGGTTTATTGTTTTGTTTGTTTGTTGTTTAATGCCACACTCAGCAATATTTCAGCTATATGACTATAATCAAATCTGGACCACTCAATCCAGTGATTGACATCATGAGCATTGATCAATGCAATTGGGATATGATGACATCCATCAACCAAATTAGCGAGCCTGTCCACCCGATCCCGTTAGTCGCCTCTTTCAACAAGCACAGTCTCCTTTTAGGGCAAGCATGGGTTGCTGAAGACCTGTTCTACCCCGGATCTTCACAGGTTGAGTTCGCTTAATAACACCAAAGTAGGCAATGATCCATCTTAATCAAAGTGTTTGTAAATGATCAATGCTCATCCAGGAAAACCAGTGATTGATTGAATAAATGACATCTGTTTCCTTATGTGACAGCCACAAAATGTCAGAGGTCTGTGATGGGATTCAAACCACAGACCTTATTATTCATGGTCAGATACATTGTCCTCATGACCAAAGAGGTTAACATGGTCAGCAAGTTGACAAAGTAAGGATGTGGTGTCTGAAATAGCTGCCTGTTCGCTGTCTTGTGGATGGTAACATTTCTATCTGGATAGGTGAAATTTATTCCTACATGCCCGACTAGCTAGTAGAAGTTTTATCACTTATGATTCTATTTATGTTGACAGTCAGCGTAGATATACTGTATTTAAACACATTTAGTGCAAATCATAACTAAATTTCATTCCAAATTGTGCATTGCCTCATTATCAGCTTCTGTGAACTATGAACTGTTAAAGAGTGCATCTGATTGGTTTATCTTGGGAGGCCAATCAGTAGCAGTGGGACGATACACTGATGCATCGTGATTTTTTACCGCTCAATACAAGTATCAATCACAGTTGCAGACTAAGTAAAAAATAAAATTCTTACCTAAAACATTTTCTTTAATAATTGTTACACCCAACACTAATTAGTAGTGAAAATTAATAGTGAAAATGTTCATCTATTGTGCCATACTTGACATTGCCAACTGTAAATCGTCAGCGTGCCAGGTATTTGGCCATCTTGTTTATGAAAAAGAAGCCTTACGCACCACAGATAACAGCACATGTAAGTATCATGATACGTATCTGATCATGTGCAAGGTATCATGATATGTATCAGATCGCACAGTTGGTGTATCGTCCCAGCCCTACCAATCATAGTAGTGAAGAAAAATGACAATTTGTTTGTCATCAACTCTGGTATGTATTCACAAATGCAGGCCTGCAACTTCAGGACGGGCAAGTTATCCTTATGATTCACCACCATCCCTGGCTCGTTGGGGGTCCTGCTACACTTACAATGAGATGCTCCAAGCCAGCAAAGTCCTGTGGCACAGATAGTGACGTCAGTACTTTCCGCTTGACCGATTCCTGCTCCCCCATGTAGCGGTACACCAGGTCACGCACCGGATCTCCCTGCAAATTTTAAACTCAGAAATGTCTCTTGGGGCAGATATACACTTGAAAAAATGTATCAATACATTTGCAGATAGTTTTGTCATTTAACTGATCAAGTTCAGGATAGTATGCTATGTTGTCTGCTAGTCCTGAGAAAGTGAAAGTATTAATGGACCACTTGTTTTCTCCCTAAATCTAGTTACGTTACTTGTAAGCCACTGAAATGAGCTGAGGACAGGTTAGATTAACTCATGGTTGTTCAGCAATGTTCCAGCTATATGACGGCGGTCTGTAAATAATTGAGTCTGGACCAGACAATCCAGTGATTGACATCATGAGCATTGATCTAGGCAATTGGAATACAATGACATACATCAACCAAGTCAGCGAGCCTGACCACCCGATCCCGTTAGTTGCCTCTTACGACAAGCATAGTCACCTTTTACGGCAAGCATGGGTTGCTGAAGACCTATTTTAACCTGGATCTTTATGGGTAAGCTGACAACGTAAGGTTGCCATCTGTGTGATGACTCCAAACTCTTCTTCAATAACATATAAGTGAGTACACTCATTATTGACCTTTATCAGTCAAACCGTCGGTCTCCTACCTGGGGCTCACTGCTCATCACTCTAGGACAACTGAGGTGTTCAGCTGGTGGAACGTAGCTTCCAGGAGCACTGGTTGCCATGGTCACCAGAATATGTCGTGTGGCATCTGAAGGCAGCCATGCATCATATCTGCGGTCAGCATCACTAGTGGAGAGACTGGATGTGAAGGGGTCATCAGCTCCATCTGTGAATGTAGAGAAGGCTGGAGGGGTAGTGGTGGCGGGGCCGTCAAACTGGCGGAATGGGCTCGGAGGGGCTGAGGGGACAGACGTCTGACGGTCAAGACCAGGAGGCTGGGAATAGGAGTACGCCCCTGGGGACTGCTGTAGTGGAGGGGCACTTGTTGCAGTCTGGTGAACCGGAGTTGACAGGGGAGACAACTGTGTGGGTGTTGTTCCTACACTCGGCGTCTGATGAGCCTGTTGGTACCCTGGAAACAGCATGGACTGCTCAGCTGTCTTCAGACTCGACTCTTGATTTGATGCCTTCATCATCTCACCGCCATCTCCACATGGACCAAGAGTTTCCTCCCCTTGTGCTGTGAAGGATTCAAATCCACTTTTACTGAGCAGATCCTCACTGCTACCTTGCAGCTCCCTAGGTGCCAACAGTGTCTCCCCCTCAAAGGGAATGCTCTCCGGCTCCCTATGGATGGGCTGGGTATCTGAATGAGCTGCTTCCTGCACCAGATCTACTTCGGGATCCTCCAACTGTGACACCTGCAAATCTGACTGTTCCATCTCACTCACTTGATCCCCTCCTGTCAAGCTGTCAAACTGACTCTCAGTGAGAGCTTGCAAGCCGGATGTGTCAGCTTGAATAATGTCTGACTGATGCACAGTCTGAAGCCCAGGACTTTCAGGTGGACCTGAGATAGAGTCAAAGAAGTCAGTGGCATCAGTATCCCCAATAGGACTGTCAAAGTAGCTACTGAGACTTGGTTGAGGTTGGTTTGCAGTTTCCTGATTCCCAACCTCGACCTGGGAGAAGGTGTCAGTGATGTCAGTTATCTGCTGCTCATTACTCAGTGTTTCACTGGTGGGAGACGTATCATTGGATGTATTGAATGTGATTGGCCCTTGTTGGTCACTCTCAGCATCATTTATTCCATCAGTCTTTTCTTCACCATCATCCTCGTCAGTAGGCGAAGGTTCCAAGGCCACAGAGTCCAGGGTGTCTGTTGTTGGGGAGTTGACCAGTGTTGCAACGCGACTCGGAACACCCAGGACCTCCACTGGAAGTGCTCTGTCAAGATCATCCTCAAGGATGTCTGTCATGTCAGGGGACTGATCATCCATAGCTGAATTTCCTGCTGGTAAATAATGGGAGTGAGACTAAAGTAAAGTGAAGACTTAAAGTACTACACAACCTATGTACGAGTAGGTCATATCAAAATTAGATAAAATCATGAAAATGTTCTAATGCCATTTTTCTGCAGCAAATTCACTGTTGTACAGTGCCCTGAGTTTTTCCTAAATATTTACACAGCGTATTTTGTTACACAGAGCGTACACTCAGGCAATTTGTAATGGGTGCTCAATGGAGATTGGAAAATATATTCATTTCAGTCACACTTGAAAGACACAGCATATCTACATGAAGTTTATGCAAATACTGATCAGCTGATGTGGTGTCTGAGCAGAGGGGTAGAAGAAGGGGTACTTCTGTCATAACTATTTCATCTACCCTCGCTTAATCTTAATTTGTGGATATAAGGAAAGTGCACTGACATTTGTGGTTCAAATGTACAATTTCATTTTGAATACTCACTGATCAATAATTCATTTATACAACGAAAAGAAAATGCCGAAGATTTGTCACTGAAATGTTTGTCTACTGAAGCCATAAGTATTCACCATCCATTCATGTGCACACAAAATGTGACGCCACCTTGATTCCTTGAGTAGGTAGTAGTAATGTTTGTTTGTTTGTTGTTTAACGCCGCACTCAGTAATATTCCAGCAATATGGCTACGGGCTGTAAATAATCAAGTCTGGACCAGACAATCCAGTGATTGACATCATGAGCATCGATCGATGATGACATGCAACAACCAAGTCAGCGAGCCTGACCACCTAATCCTGTTAGTACAACACCCCAGTACAGTTAGTGTGTAATAATTAGACAAGCAGATAACAAGATGCTGGTGTTACGGTATCTATTTTATTTTACTTTTTGTGAACATAAAATTTGATATTAGTGATCTAGGGTTATTTATTGCAATGTTGGACTTTTTTTTTACATTACTTACATGTAATGCAGCAATTCGAAAATGTTTTGTCAGCAAAGTGTGGGAGTGTGTGTACATCAAAAGTACGGCTGTGTGACGTCATTAAAGACGGAGCACCTTTAGAATACAGTACCACAACTTCTCGTGAGGACGTGACTTTAGTCTACGGACACATACGAATGACCCAGATGCCATTTGGCACTCTTGTCCCATTCCGTAATCTACAAGACACCAAGTGCTGAGGAATGATCCGATATGGCACAAAATGAAAATGGCTCTAGGCTCCAGGCGTCGGACATCAGACGTCGAACTCGCGAGTACACATGAATGACATGGTATTTAATAATTTGTTGGGTGATTTTTGTGACAGAAAAGTGTGGTAGGGAACCCTGTAAGGATGATGTGGATAATAGTAAGGAACTAGGGAGTCATGAGCAGGGCTAGTGACGATGCAACAGTGAGTTCGCTTTTGAATCAGTACTGAAAAAATGTAGCCAGTGAAAGTGTCTTGTGTGAATGTTCCACGACAGTTTCCAGTAGTCAAAATATTCGACACAAACCATTTCATCCTTTATACTTGTTGTTTTTGTGTGAAGAATATTAGGAGCCGCTATAGAACCTGTAATAGCCACTTACGGGTACCTAACCCTAATGATCATAAACGGGTGATTGATCGTAAAGGGGATCCAAGGGCTATGGATAGAGTTCGGGGAATCTAATAGCCTCCAAACGGGTACCTAACCCTAATGATCGTAAAGGGGATCCAAGGGCTAAGGATAGTTCAGGGTAACCTACCCTAACACTGGCGACATTTGGATGTGTTCAGCGCCAATATAATATCCCTAATAAACTGCATTCTTAGTAAACAAATATTCAAAAACTCTCAACACCGCTGGGTGTATTCAATGACATTGCGTGTAGAGATGATAGATCACTGGGAGGAGCTTATGCACACTCGATGACCCCTGACGTCACAGGGCATTGTTTCACCGGTGAGACTGGCAACAAAATACTACAAATTATGTCATAGGGTATTGTCACGTGTTTGAAACGTTTGTGGTACTGTATTCTAAAGGTAAGCCAAATTTTCATATTAGTGATCTGGGGTTATTTATTGCAATGTTGGACATTTGGTTTTACTTTACTTATATGTAATGCAGCAATTCGGAATTTTTTGGTCAGCAAAAAGTGGGAGTGTGTGTCAATCAGACTTACCGCTGTGTGACGTCATTCAAGACTTAATTTACGAGATATCACAATAATAATACCGCGATCAACGAAGCAGGTTATCCACGAATTTAGGTAACTGCATGCTCTGTACATCAGGACTAGTCTATTTATTTGATTGTTGTGACATACACAACACCCTGACAAATAAAAGGGGAAATAAGAATGTTTAATCATTTTCGAAAACCTGTCTTTTGAACGCCCCTCCCCGTAAGCTAACTAACAGGAATCTGACAGTGAGAGCCACTGAACTATGGTCGTATTGACATTCACAGGTTTAACAAATTATCGTTCGAGCCAATATACCGTATATGTCTGATTGCAATAATATAGGTGTAAGGTGCTACCACTAATTTTGCATCATGGTGTATTTAGTGAAACAAAATGTAACGCGTAACAGAACATAACACGAAACAGGTGTATTTACCGATCAATGCTCAGCTCTTGGCGAAGATTAACTGGGTTATCAACCATTGATATCTAACAGGCTAAGTATACAATTGCGTCTGCGTATTATAACAGCGGTGCCAGTTTAACGATGGTGTCGGGGCACGGTGCCATTAACAGGTCGCATTTCCATCGTCTGCAACCAAAACGACTTTCATTTATGTGGGTTTTTATGTTTATTTGTTTATGTTATGTATACCAGAGGACATGTCCTATTTGCCTCACGTTTGTCGTCTTTTAAAGTAATTGATTCTTAAATATTATGAAGTATTCTTAAAAACAAACTTTTACGACAAGTGTGCAATAGGCCTTGTGGCTGTCTGCTTCAATTCCTTCAAATCTTCATCATCATGGACGAGGAAGCACCGGTCATCTACGGGCTTGAATTTCAGGTGGGACGACAGTATGTTCATGAGATGGATATGACGCTGTCTTTTGAGAATAAAAGAATCTACTTTTTGACTGAAACTTTTCAAATCGGCTGTATTTGGACAGGCCTTACACACATCTCTGTCATGTAGCTTGCTGAATTATCGTTTTCACTAGAAAATGATAAACATTCACTAGATCATATCATGCACCGTAGATGAGTTCATGCGTATGCTAAACAAACTCCCCGTATCCTCTACTAACATACTGCGACTAGTTTTAATCGGGTCACTTAGACACTGTCGATATAAGTAGGAATGGTGAGTGCAGTCAATGAATATTTGGCAACAATGCAGTTAACACCTACCAAGTTGGGCACCACTTGCTAATCAAACACCCATTTACGATCCCTGTGAGGTAGCGTACGGGATACCTATCTCCTGTGACGAATTAATCCAATGTACTGTGAGGAAAATCTGAAAATAATCAAGTCTGGACCAGACAATCGAGTGATTTACATCATGAGTGATCCACGCAATTGAGATACGATGACATGCATCAACCAAGCAGCAAGTCTGACCACTCAATCCCATTAGTTGCTTCTTAGTCACAAGATTGACTGATACTTACCATGTTTATACTGTAATGTAGGACAGATGTTTCAACCCTTAAATGTAGATATACTACGTATAGGAATTAGATGTTTTAATTATGGGTTACTGATTGAAGGTCCATCTTTCTTCAAAGTAATGCTGTTTCTCCCACCCTTCAGGCCCGGGCACTGACTGCACAGACAGCAGAGACAGACAGCATACGCTTCCTGGTGGGCACACAGTCACTTAGAGCTGAAAACCAGGTAGGGAGTGCTTATAAAGTTACATTGATCATTTGCTTTGTATCAGCTGTAGTACTAAATTATTTCTATTTGGAAAAGCAAAGTTTGAACAGAAACTTCATTCATCTATTGCAGCAGGATTTTGGATATTTCCATCGAAAAATGTGAATATGATAACTTGGGGCACAGTTGGCCTGAGAGGACAAAGATGAAGCAATTCACTGTAAAGGGTTGCGTTGCTTAGTCATTCCAGGATTTACTGATCATGGGTTCAAATCCCAGATTCACCCTGAGTAAGAATTAGTGATTATGAACCTTGGTTTGACAGAACGACTGCACCATGCCTGTACTGTACTAAAAGGGTTTACCATGATATAACGGAAATGCTGTTCAAAGCATCATAAAACAAAACTTACTTTCTTACGTATTATAGTTAGTTGTACTTGACTCTCAGATATAGTGACTTCTGATGTCCATGGAGTTATTTCTATATAAAAAGGCTGAGACATTCAACATAACGGCACAACACAGAAATCTTTGTTTATGGGGTTTCGATCAAATGGAATATCAAGGTGCTCAAGGGATCCCCATTTGTAATTCCCTTTACCTTTAATAACTATTCATTTCATACTAAATTATTAGATCTAGTTGAATAACTGTATGAATGTTTCTGATTATAATAATATTATTTAATGCAAAGATTTCCATCATATTCATTGGCCAAGAAGAAGATGCATGTCATTCGATAGAAATGCATACTGTAAATCTGGAAAATTTTGCGACACCCTGTTGATGAGATAACCAAAGATCAAAGCTACTTCTGCACATCTTTTTTTTTTATATGTGGGAAGTGGCATTATGAAATGGTAACTCAGGGTCAGTCAGTGATTTTAAAACTATAGATACATGTGTTGTACTTGACAAGGAAGGTTGGAGTAGCGTGTTTTTCTAACAGTATGGAAACATAAGCGAAAGAAATGTCTCCGTTTGTTGGAACTTTTGTCTCTTTATTATAATAAAATAATATTGTCTTATTTGTGCTTTATGTTCAACAGATTCACCATATTGACTTTGATGATGAAAACAATCTTATAAACAAGAATGTGTATGTCCACCGTGAAGGAGAAATCTGGTCTATGAGCGCATCAACATTTGACAAGACTCTACTGTCAACATGTTACAATAACAGTGAGTCAGTATTTCTGGTCAGTGAGAATGTGGACATCATCACTTTGGTTTTATTAATATTTCAGTTCCAGTTTAATGGTAGACTAGCGCTTAGTCTCTGAAACTATATATTTTTGATGGAAGCAAAAAACATCTAAACTGAAAAGGAGACCCAGTGAGATGGGAGATTCAGAACCTGATGAAAATCTATACTTGCTTCCTTTGGGGCTTTTACATTACAGTAAGGGCTGGGCGGAAGGCCAAATAATATGGTTCAGGACTGTAAGAGACTAAAACTGTAGGGCTATATTTTGTCACTTTGTCATGGAAAATCCTGTGTTTGTTTTTCATACTTAGAGCTGCAAATGTGCTTAATTTTTTTATGAGATAACCTATTCAAGTATTTGCATAATTGATAATTTCGGGAATTCCCCATCAGCTGCCGATGCAAAGTCCGAGATGCGGGCTGCAGTATGGCAGCTCCCGGACAGCTTCAACTCAAGCAATGTTGTTGATGACCAGTCCAACTCCCATGAGTCATTGCAGCTTGTGTGTCACCTGGACACCAGTCAGTTCGGAGATATCAAGGGGTGAGGTGTTTGTTTTTAACAGGATGCTGTACCTGTGTGTGTGAGAACATGGACAGATGAGGTATTGCCTATCAATCTATTATCAAGGGTGCTTGGACATTCCTGTGACAGAAGTGTCTGCTTAAATCTGGCAGTTTCCATATTTTATCCAACTATGAATGAAAACAATTTGTTTACAGTTATGTTCATGTACTGTATTGTTTTATATAAGTTGTATCCCAATAGTGCAATAAGTTCCCCCTGGTATGCAGAGTTCATTCAGAGTGTCATGTCAAACTTCTGAAGAGCTGTGTTAGAGCACGGCCTATTCCATTCTAGATCAGTGACTCATTGAACAGAGTGTCAAAATGTTTTGTTTTCTATGTAGAACAGCTAAATGCATGAAAAGCTCCAAATGTGGACTTTCACAAGTCTCTAAGACAATAATTATTAGTTTAAATGATAATTTTTAGATTATATAAATAAGAACAAGTTGTCCCTATAAAAGACTGGCATCCTTGGACTGTCTGCTTATCTAGACTTGCTTGTTATAATGATAGAATTACCATACATCCATGGACTTAATATTCAGTATAGCCCTGGAGCAAGGCTACTCCTTTGCATTGTACTTCCTGAGATAGTTTTACTTATCAATGATGAATTCTCAGAATCTCAGAATTGCCAATCTTTTTCTTGTCACCATTTAAATACAAGCCTATAATGCTGACTGCAGCATGTTCTGATGACTGACTGTGTGTATCAGGACGCTGTGGCACCCAGCGGGGGAGAGTCACACGGTGGTAGGGGTGATGGACACTCACATCGTACAGTGGGATCTCGACACTGCTGCATCCACAGCCAAGGTAAGGCATCTGACAGAGTGAGTGAGTTGGGTTTCACACTACTTTTAGTAATATTACAGTAATGTCATGGTGGGGAACACAAGAAATGGGCTTCCCATTGTACCCATGTACGGAATCAAACCTGGACTTTCGACGTGATGAGAGAAGTGTTTCACCACTTGTCTCAGTCTTCCAGTTTACTGGTAATTACCAGCTTTTACCAATTAGATTAAGCTTGGACAGGTAATTCATGTGGATACTATTCCCTGTGGACCGGCAAATAAAGTACTGTGGACCAGCAAATAAAGTACCTTATAAATCTTTGTTGTTGTACAAGACATCGGCGATAGTCATATTATTATACGAAGTCATCTTGTCTGTTACCATCAGGGTAGAACTTGGTGAACAATTTCTGTACCAATAGGAGAGTCGCAGTGTGAAGTTTGATTTCAATATTTGGATTTTCTCAAAAATACAGCTATTTTTCACTTTTTGACAAAGAATGTTTTTGCTTAAATATTTGTGCGACCTATAACTTGAAAACTACTGCATGGATTCCTTTCAAATTTAGGGACCAGTTTCCATGCTAATAGAAGAAGGAGTCCAAAGTTTTCAGAGCAAATATAAGTTTTTACTTGTTTTGAACATAGAATGTTTTTTCTTCAACATTTGTGAGACCAATAACTTAAAAACTTCTTCATGCATTCTTTTCCAATTGGGGGTACAGTTTCTTTTCCAATATGAGAGGTTCAGTGCAAAGTTTGATTTCAAGAAGTGGATTTTCCAAGAAAATATTGCTTTGTTTTTAATCTTAGAATAATTTTATACCCCCAACCTAAAAGGGAAAAGCTTGCTGATGATGTACCAGTGCATATTTGAATCATGCCATTACTTTGTTATATTATTGTGCTTTTTAAGAAAAACTAGCTCAGTCATTAAGGCATCAATATATCATTGATTGATTGATTGATTGATGTGCACACTGAGTTTTCACGCTGTTCTGTAGTTGATTGGATCCACCATTGTGGAGGGGCGTGGCCATCCAAAGCTGACGTGTGGGCGATGGAACCCACATCACAACTGTACTCAGATAGCCACAGCTAACGACACGTCCATCCGAGGCTGGGACCTCCGTTCAATGAAGTAAGTTGTAAGGTGGAGAGTGTGAGTGAATGTTGTTCAGCAATAGTCCAAGTATTTCATGGCAGACTGTAACTGATATAGTCTCAGTCAGGCAAGCCAGTGGCATCTTCCCGTGGCAAGGGAGCTAACTGAATATATAAGTCCAGTTTCCATCCTTGCCAAACAAGGCTTGAATTATGGAGTTATATTTTGGCTGGACTGATGAGTCTATGCATAGTCCAATCAAAATCACATAACGAAATCAACATCCAGTTCGTAAACTGCCATGCGTCAACAGATATTTTCAAAATCTTTCATGCTTTTAATCAAGGTGCACACATGATCTTATGCACTTCGCGAAGTAAGACCAATTTTATTGCAATGTAATTTTTTATTATTGATCAGATCGTCTTGGCTTGGCGTGGCCATTTTTTTTTTTTGGAATCTGATTGGTCAATAAGAGGGACATAGAAGGGACATAACTTGTAATAGCCACTGGTGGCACTACGATCAAGTCTAGAAATTCCAGCCAAGTTTTAAAGTCTTTTACAGTCAGTCAACTCCCTTGCCGGGAGGATGGGCAAACTGTAAATAATCTAGTCTGTCAGGCAAGCCTGTGGTTGTTTCCATGAACATCAATTCACACCTTAGAGGTACAATTACAAACCAGGATCATACTGTTATACTCCATCCTTGTTTTAGTCAGTTATTAAGTTACCAATTTCTTATATACAAAATACATGTCAAATGTTGGTGCCTAAATTGACATTAACTCTAAATAAAATATATTCAGTTTTACTACATATGGTAATAATTTCTTTCATGTGCCTCGAAACATGTTAAAGATCACTGAAAATTTTTGAAAAATAAGCAGAAATGTGGTGCTTGAAACTGTTCAGTCCCTCAATGTAATGCAATGTGTCATCGCCATTCGCTGTCAACACTATACCCAGGTTAATGGTTTGCACCAGGTGGTGAACCTTTAGACCTGCATGAATTCAGGCGTTCTTCCCATGTTAAGGTGACATGCCGTGAGATAACTGGAATACTGCTCATTAACTCACTGTGTGCTCCACCCGCAGGCAGGTGTACCACATGGAGAACGCCCACGCCCAGCTGGTGCGAGACTTGGACTTCAACCCCAACAAGCAGTACTACATGTCCACGTGTGGGGATGACTGTAAGGTGAAGTTCTGGGACACACGCAACACCACAGAGCCACTCATGGTCCTCTCCGAACATTCTCATTGGTACGTACTTCGTGGTAGTCAAGTTTCCTGCCTTTGTTAGGATACCGATCAGATGACACGACAGATCAACTTATGGTCTTCTCAGAACATTCTCATTGGTACGTACTTCATGGTAGTCAAGTTTCCTACCTTTGTTAGGATACCGATCAGATGACACGACAGATCAACTTATGGTCTTCTCAGAACATTCTCATTGGTACGTACTTTGTGGTAGTCAAGTTTCCTGCCTTTGTTAGGATACCGATCAGATGACACGACAGATCCACTTATGGTCTTCTCAGAACATTCTCATTGGTACGTACTTCGTGGTAGTCAAGTTTCCTGCCTTTGTTAGGATACCGATCAGATGACACGACAGATCTACTCATGGTCTTCTCAGAACATTCTCATTGGTACGTACTTTGTGGTAGTCAAGTTTCCTGCCTTTGTTAGGATACCGATCAGATGACACGACAGATCAACTTATGGTCTTCTCAGAACATTCTCATTGGTATGTACTTTGTGGTAGTCAAGTTTCCTGCCTTTGTTAGGATACCGATCAGATGACACGACAGATCAACTTATGGTCTTCTCAGAACATTCTCATTGGTACGTACTTCGTGGTAGTCAAGTTTCCTGCCTTTGTTAGGATACCGATCAGATGACACGACAGATCAACTTATGGTCTTCTCAGAACATTCTCATTGGTACGTACTTTGTGGTAGTCAAGTTTCCTGCCTTTGTTAGGATACCGATCAGATGAAACCACAGATCAACTCATGGTCCTCTCTGAATATTCTCATTGGTACGTAGCGCTTGTGATAGTCAAGTTGTCTCCCTTTGTTAAGATATGGATCAGATGACACCACAGATCCACTCTTGGTCCTCTTCGAACATTCTCATTGGTCACATCTCGTGATAGTCAGGTTGTCTCCCTTTGTCAGGGTACCCGTCAGACAAAAAAGCTTCATTTATGGTCGTCCCTCTGATCATTCTCATTGACTTGTATCTCCTGACAGTCAGGTAATCTTCCTTTGTCGGTACACTTATTTTGGATTCTCTCCCTTGGACAAGGAGTTGTTGGTAATTATTATGACATTTAAAACCTACAACAGCAGTCAAGTGGGGACTCAAAGCTGGGTCTTTGTTGTGACAAGCATATGCTTTAACCACAAAGCTACAGCAGTGGTACACACCCACTATTATGGGTGGGGGTTATATGGCTAGTGATGTAAGATTGACAGCTGTAGTGGGTGGGGTTATATGGCTATTGATGTAAGACTGAAAACTGTAGTGGGTGGGGTTATTAGACTAGTGATGTAAGATTGACAGCTGTAGTGGGTGGGGTTATATGGCTAGTGATGTAAGATTGACACCTGTAGTGGGCTGGTTTAAATAGCTACTAATGTAATCTTGACACCTGCGAGGATGGGTCTGATTAGCTTTTTGGTGTAAGATTATCAGCTGTAGAGGGTGGGTTTCTGATGTAAGATTGACAGCTGTAATGGGTTGGTTTGTGAGACTGTCAGCTGTGGTTGGCATGGTTTTGCAGCTGCTGATGTAAGATTGACAATCACTGTGGATGAGATCACGTAGATAGAGATATAAGACTGACAATCACTGGATGAGATCACGTAGATAGAGATATAAGATTGACAATCAATGTGGATGAGATCACGTAGATAGAGATATAAGACTGACAATCACTGGATGAGATCACGTAGATAGAGATATAAGATTGACAATTACTGTGGATGAGATCACATAGATAGAGATATAAGATTGACAATCACTGTGGATGAGATCACGTAGATAGAGATATAAGATTGACAAATATGGTGGATGAGATCACGTAGATAGAGATATAAGATTGACAATCATGGTGGATGAGATCACGTAGATGGAGATATAAGATTGTCAATCGCTGTGGATGAGATCACGTAGATAGAGATATAAGATTGACAATCACTGTGGATGAGATCACGTAGAAACAGATGTAAGATTGACAATCACTGTGGATGAGATCACGTAGATAGAGATATAAGATTGACAATTACTGTGGATGAGATCACGTAGATGGAGATATAAGATTGTCAATCGCTGTGGATGAGATCATGTAGATACAGATGTAAGACTGACAATCACTGGATGAGATCATGTAGATACAGATGTAAGATTGACAATCACTGTGGATGAGATCACGTAGATGGAGATATAAGATTGACAATTACTGTGGATGAGATCACGTAGATGGAGATATAAGATTGACAATCACTGTGGACGAGATCACGTAGATTGAGATATAAGATTGACAATTACTGTGGATGAGATCACGTAGATGGAGATGTAAGATTGACAATCACTGTGGATGAGATCACGTAGATACAGATGTAAGATTGAAAATCACTGTGGATGAGATCACGTAGAGAGAGATATAAGATTGACAATCACTGTGGATGAGATCACATAGATGGAGATATAAGATTGACAATCATGGTGGATGAGATCACGTAGATAGAGATATAAGATTGACAATCACTGTGGATGAGATCACATAGATGGAGATATATGATTGAGAATCACTGTGGATGAGATCACATAGATAGAGATATAAGATTGACAATTACTGTGGATGAGATCATGTAGATACAGATGTAAGATTGACAATCACTGGATGAGATCACGTAGAAACAGATGTAAGATTGACAATCACTGTGGATGAGATCACGTAGATAGAGATATAAGATTGACAATTACTGTGGATGAGATCACGTAGATGGAGATATAAGATTGTCAATCGCTGTGGATGAGATCATGTAGATACAGATGTAAGACTGACAATCACTGGATGAGATCCAAGGATACAGATGTAAGATTGACAATCACTGTGGATGAGATCACGTAGATAGAGATATAAGATTGACAATAACTGTGGATGAGATCACATAGATAGAGATGTAAGATTGACAATCACTGTGGATGAGATCATGTAGAAACAGATGTAAGATTGACAATCACTGTGGATGAGATCACATAGATGGAGATATAAGATTGACAATTACTGTGGACGAGATCACGTAGATGGAGATATAAGATTGACAATTACTGTGGATGAGATCACGTAGATGGAGATATAAGATTGTCAATCGCTGTGGATGAGATCATGTAGATACAGATGTAAGACTGACAATCACTGGATGAGATCACGTAGATAGAGATATAAGATTGACAATTACTGTGGATGAGATCACGTAGATGGAGATATAAGATTGACAATCACTGTGGACGAGATCACGTAGATTGAGATATAAGATTGACAATTACTGTGGATGAGATCACATAGATGGAGATGTAAGATTGACAATCACTGTGGATGAGATCACGTAGATACAGATGTAAGATTGAAAATCACTGTGGATGAGATCACGTAGATAGAGATATAAGATTGACAATCACTGTGGATGAGATCACATAGATGGAGATATAAGATTGACAATCATGGTGGATGAGATCACGTAGATAGAGATATAAGATTGACAATTACTGTGGATGAGATCACGTAGAAACAGATGTAAGATTGACCATCACTGTGGATGAGATCACGTAGATAGAGATATAAGATTGACAATTACTGTGGATGAGATCACGTAGATGGAGATATAAGATTGTCAATCGCTGTGGATGAGATCATGTAGATACAGATGTAAGACTGACAATCACTGGATGAGATCACGTAGAAACAGATGTAAGATTGACAATCACTGTGGATGAGATCACATAGATGGAGATATAAGATTGACAATCATGGTGGATGAGATCACGTAGATGGAGATATAAGATTGACAATCATGGTGGATGAGATCACGTAGATTGAGATATAAGATTGACAATCATGGTGGATGAGATCACGTAGATAGAGATATAAGATTGACAATCACTGTGGATGAGATCACATAGATGGAGATATAAGATTGACAATCATGGTGGATGAGATCACGTAGATGGAGATATAAGATTGTCAATCGCTGTGGATGAGATCACGTAGATAGAGATATAAGATTGACAATCACTTTGGATGAGATCACGTAGAAACAGATGTAAGATTGACAATCACTGTGGATGAGATCACGTAGATAGAGATATAAGATTGACAATTACTGTGGATGAGATCACGTAGATGGAGATATAAGATTGTCAATCGCTGTGGATGAGATCATGTAGATGGAGATATAGGATTGACAATCACTGTGGATGAGATCACATAGATGGAGATATAAGATTGACAAATATGGTGGATGAGATCACATAGTTGGAGATATAAGATTGACAATCATGGTGGATGAGATCACGTAGATAGAGATATAAGATTGACAAATATGGTGGATGAGATCACGTAGATAGAGATATAAGATTGACAATCACTGTGAATGAGACCAAGTAGATGGAGATATAGGATTGACAATCACTGTGGATGAGATCACATAGATGGAGATATAGGATTGACAATCACTGTGGATGAGATCACATAGATGGAGATATAAGATTGACAAATATGGTGGATGAGATCACATAGTTGGAGATATAAAATTGACAATCATGGTGGATGAGATCACGTAGAGATATAAGATTGACAAATATGGTGGATGAGATCACATAGATGGAGATATAAGATTGACAATCATGGTGGATGAGATCACATAGTTGGAGATATAAGATTGACAATCATGGTGGATGAGATCACATAGATAGAGATATAAGATTGACAATCATTGTGGATGAGATCACGTAGATAGAGATATAAGATTGACAAATATGGTGGATGAGATCACATAGTTGGAGATATAAGATTGACAATCATGGTGGATGAGATCACATAGTTGGAGATATAAGATTGACAATCATGGTGGATGAGATCACATAGTTGGAGATGTAAGATTGACAATCATGGTGGATGAGATCACATAGTTGGAGATATAAGATTGACAATCATGGTGGATGAGATCACATAGTTGGAGATATAAGATTGACAATCATGGTGGATGAGATCTATGTACAAGAAATCAATGTGGCTGAGACTTCCATGGTTTCTCTTTCCATCAGGGTGTGGACTGTCCGCTACAATCACTTCCATGACCAGCTCGTTCTCACATCGAGTAGCGACAGTCGGGTCGTCCTCAACAACATTGTGTCCTTGTCCTCTGAACCCTTTGGCAGACTGGTTGAGAAGGATGATGAAGACAGTGAAGACGAGGATGATGCAGAGGACAGGTGAGAAGGGATAGGAGCTTTTTCACAGGTAAAAAGTGGATGGGCTTTTTACAAGTGATATGGGGGAAGGGCTTTCTTCGGGTGACAAGGGGAAGGGAATACAGGGGGGTATACAGTGGGGTTATTAAGGCAAGGGGAGTGTCTTAAAGGTGAGAAGGGGGGAATGTTTTCTAAAAATAGTATGGGGGTAGGGATTTTCTACAGTGATAAACGGAGGGGCCTTTTAATATGCGAGGAATGTTCCACAAATGGGGGAGGGTATTGTTGCTGGTGAGAAGGGTGGAGTTCTGAGAATGCAATGGAGGATGGGCTCTCTCATCACAGGTTCACGGGTCGTCTTTTTTTGTGCAGACCAAGGGAGCCCCCCAAGGATGGAGTAATATCTACATATGAGGAACATGAAGATAGTGTTTATGCTGTCGATTGGTCAACTGCAGACCCCTGGGTATTCGCATCGCTCAGCTATGATGGGCGTCTTGTCATCAACCGAGTACCTCGCACAGAGAAGTACAAGATCCTGCTGTAGCCTGGGGAGGCACCACAGCGCACAGCCACGTATACGTGTGTATTATACATATGTCAGCACATTCCACGGTGGTTTTGTTTCACCATCAGAATGTCCAGAGAAACAGTGAGAAATACCTGTGATACACATTTCTGTATGACAGAGGACAGAGGACAATATCGCCAGGTTGCATTGTGCTGCCTCATCACTTGTGTGGCATCAATCTTTGGAAACAATACAGAATATCTCCATGTATCTTTTCTGGACAAGTTCTTTCACTGTAGTGTTGCTGTTTGTATATTGTACATGTCTATTGTATAGAAACAGGGCTATTTTACCTTGGATGAAGTCCTCTTTGTTCTAGATTTACTCATAAATGTAAAGTCTGTAAATATATGTATATGCCCAGGATATTAAAAAGGTTGGGGGGATAGACACTTGTTCATGAAATGTCTTGGAATAAATCTTCTAGCTGTCATGTATTGTGGCTGCCATTTGTTTTGGTTGGATAACAGGTATGTCATGTATCCAGTCTATTTTAACATGCACTGCCATTCTTCATGGTTTGGTAAGTGCTGTGCACTGTTCGATTACTCCATGTCAAGTATAGTCACATACACTCTATAGGGTTCAGATCTGGGCCCCTGGAAACCAAGCCGTAATGTTCATACTTCAGCATTGTCCTGAAATAAAAGTCCATTTCTATGTGCATGACTTTCTACATGTTGAGTGCGGTCATCTCCATGAATTTTGTTTCTTTCAACCATTAAGAGTTTTCAGTATAGTCACATGATGCACTTAACAGTTGTAAGAAATACAGCTACAGATCATAACTATTGAAACAGTTGGACACCCGGACCAAATCTCCTCCTGATGCAGCAAGGGTCAACAGAAAGAGAGCACCTCATGGGGATTCCAGTTGAGAACAGGCCCCCAGCAACCTATGGTGATCATAAGAGGCTGCCTTTGGGTGGTCAGATTTGGTGACTTGGTTAATAGCATAATTCCCTCATACCCCAACAGCGTGGATTGATGCTCACAATACCAATAACATAGTTGATGCTTGTCATCCTATGCCAATTCTGTGGGTTGATGCTCATGATGTCAATCACTGGATGGTCTGGTCCAGACTTGAATATTTACAGACGACCGTCATACATCTTCCTGAGGCAAGAGAGTTAACTGACTGTTAAAGTCCAGTTTCCACCCTTGACAAACTAGGCTGGTATTATGGAGTTACATTTTGGCGGGACTAACGAGTCTATGCATAGTCCAATCAAAATCTCGCAATGAAATCTGGTTCGTAAATTGTCGTGCAGATTTCAGTCGATTCCAGGATTTGTAGAGCATGTGCACCGCAAACTCATTGTCAACAGATATTTTCCAAATCTTTTCATGTTTTTAGTCAAGGTGCTCATGCGATTTGATGCATTTTGCGATGTAAGACCTTATATAGACAATATAGACCTTGATTATCATCAGATTGTCTTGAGTGGGAGCCACTGTTTTGTTTGAAGCAAATGCAAGTGATACGAGAGGTGGAATCTGCTTGGTCTATAGGAGAGGCTTAGAAGGGACATAACTCGTAATAGCCACTGGTGGCGCCACGATCGAGCCTAGGAATTTCAAGCCTAGTTCGGCAAGGATTCAAACTGGACTTTTAAAGTCAGTTATTTCCCTTCTAAGCCTCTCCTATGGACCAATCAGATTCCACCGCCCGTATCACACAAAATGGTGGTGCCCAGTCAGGACGATCTGATCGATAATCAAGATCTATATTGTGATAAAACTTGTCTTACATCGCGAAATGCATCAAAACACGTGAGCACCTTGATTGAAAAACATGAAAAGAGTTGGAAAATATCTGCTGACAACAAGTTGGCGGTGCACATGCTTTGCAAATCCTGCAATCGACCGAAACCTGCACGACAGTTTACGAACCGGATTTCGATTTCTTTGCGCGATTTTGATTGGACTATGCATAAACATACTAGTGGCGCTACGGTCGAGTCCAGTAATTCCAGCCTTGTTCGGCAAGGGTGGAAACTGGACTTTTAAAGTCAGTTAACTCTCTTGCCTCGGGAAGATGCTGAAAGACGGCTAATTACCAAAAATTAATTGTTTTCTTTCTTCGAATGGCTATAAAGTCAATATTTGGGTGGTTTTGATATATTTTACGTTTCCAAGCGCTTTCCATATAATATATCCTATAACACGTGGTGCGGTCAGAGACCAATAAATAATATGGTCTCTAGTACATTTTCCGCAAGAGGTCACGTTACCAGCCCCTAATGCATTATGGTCGGAAATTGTTTGAACCCAATTTGGACGTGCTGAAGATGTATAGAGCGTGCTTGTGCAGCATGATGGTCAATATTGTGAGATCATAAAGGTAAAACAATATATGTTTAAACCTGCCTTCTGACCAGTCATGAATGCTGCATATATTCCATATTCACATATAATCTATATGGTATGGATTTGTGTTTGTTTTTTATATATTTTCTTTTGTATATTTCACTTTTCACCTGTCTGGGTTTGCACCCTAGGCACGCTGGGATATATGCTCATAACTGTGAATAAAGGAGAAGCACCCATTGAAACAGACACACATAACAACACATCGTGTTTTATAACTGTTGAGTTCACACTCAGTAAAATGTCATAAAGCAGGCTTCTAGCATTATCGATTTAAAAGATTTAGTAGCTCACGATTCAAGCTGTTATTATTCCAGTATTATCATGTTATCTGATATAATGTAAGTACTAGGTAAATGTAGTAATATGTTATGGAAAACTTCAGGTAATACATTATCTATCTGACATCAAACTTTTGAATTGCTCCTTTTGTTTGTTGTTTAATGCCAAACTGAACAATATTCCAGCTATATGACGGCATCTTCTCGAGGCAAGAGAGTTAACTGACTTTAAAAGTCCAGTTTCAACCCTTGCCGAACTAGGCTGGAATTCCTAGGCTCGATCGGGGCGCCACCAGTGGCTATTACGAGTTATGGCCCTTCTAAGCCTCTCCTATAGACCAATCAGATTCCACCTCTCTTATCACTCGCATTTGCTTCAAACAAAACAGTGGCTCCCACTCAAGACAATCTGAACGATAATCAAGGTCTATATTGTCTATATAAGGTCTTACATCGCAAAATGCATCAAATCGCGTGAGCACCTTGATTTAAAACATGAAAAGATTTGGAAAATATCTGCTGACAACGAGTTTGCGGTGCACATGCTTTACAAATCCTGGAATCGACTGAAATCTGCACGACAACTTACGAACCAGATTTCGATTTCATTGCGAGATTTTGATTGGACTATGCATAGACTCGTCAGTCCAGCCAAAATGTAACTCCATAATACCAGCTTAAAACTCTCTTGCCTCGGGAAGATGTCTTTCAGTAACTCCTTATACTACAAGACCAATGTCGAAAACCCCTGAAAGAGAAGTCCATTTGCATATACATTAAGCTGCTGAAAATTTGCTCGTAAATTTTCCCAAAGTTCCAAATACATTTTGAAGGTCCTTAGGGTATAACATCTGTGACTGCATACCAGAAGGGTTAGAATAAGTGTTCCAGAGGGAGAGCAAACCCAAATGTATGTTGCAGGCAGTAATATTATCTGAGAGAGGATTTTGATATTTTAAAAATACTGGACATGCCCTTGTTGCCATAAAAGACGACGATGCTTGTCGTAAGAGGCGACTAACGGGTAGTCGACCCTAATTCCAAAAATATGTGTTGTAACTTGTAACCCCGGTCTGTGCTTAGGATGTAGACACAAACTGATAAATGAGGAAAGGATGGAGGGATACGGTACGGTAGGTACATTTCCCTATTCACTCCAAAACGTCGGCACATCAAGGTGCATACATAGATATACTATTATGTGCAACAGATTATTCCACAATCAGGAATATTACGTATTTCCCAGTATACTGCCATGCAAATCTATTTTACGAAGGGGAAAAGTAAGGGAACGCATACATCACAACTATTGACGGGTGACTGCAAAGAAACTGCTACAATTAGTGCGACAAACGCAGCAATGACACTTCCGTGCACGTGGAAATCGTGCCAACGGTGTTGTGGACACAAACAGACATGTGCAGGGTCAAACTTCGAGTGTCGTGGAAACAGCAGACAAAGCGTTAGTTCAGTACAGATAGCAGTTTATTGGTAGAATAAGGCAGACTGTCAGCCGTCTGTCAACGTGGCATCACGACCGTGGAACATCTATAGGCAAACGACGCTGTGATGAGACGTGATCATGGACGGAAGCTCAAAACAACCCCTCGTGACGATCGCGAAATAAGGCTCGTTTCAATACGGGATCGCATTCAGTCCTCTTCTCAAGTGGACCCGTGAAGATTCCGGGGTAGAATAGGTCTTCAGCAACCCATGCTTGCCGTAAAAGGCGACTCTGCTTGTCGTAAAAGGCGACTCTGCTAGTCGTAAAAGGCGACTCTGCTAGTCGTAAAAGGCGACTAATGTGATCAGGTGGTCAGTCTCGCTGACTTGGTTGATGCATGTCATCGATCCCAATTGCCCGGATCGATGCTCATGATATTAATCACTGGATTGTCTGGTCCAGACTCGATTATTTACAGACCGCCGTCATATAGCTGGAATATTGCTGAGTGTGGCCTTAAACAACAAACCAACCAACTCTTCTCAAGTGAATGAGTGAGTGAGTTAAAATTTCACATCGCATCGGCTATATTGCAGCCATATCGCGATGTCTCAAGTGAAAGTTCAGAGCAAGGACAAACATCAGACTTATAGTGACCGCGCCGTCCGAAATCGTCTCAAATTGACGGGTCTCAAAAGTCGCTGTCCTGTAGGTATCAGAATGGTTCTTTGGTTTGTTGTTTAACGTCGCACTCAGCAATATTCCAGTTATATGACGGCGGTCTGTAAATAATCGAGTCTTGACCAGACAATCCAGTGATAAATATCATGAGCATCAATCCACGCAATTGGGATCGATGACATGCATCAACCAAGTCAGCGAGACTGACCACCCGATCCCGTTAGTCGCCTCTTACGACAAGCATAGTCGCCTTTTACAGCAAGCATGGGTTGCTGAAGACCTATTCTAACCCGGATCTTCACGGGTCAGGCATCAGAATGACCAATGCATATACTGACGTTAACGTTTAGGGTGGATATGGCGTCAGAGATCTGCGCCAATGATGTCATATACCAAGTTCAGTGATGAGTCCAGGTACCTTCTTGAGCTTTCAGATGCCCGGGGTCGCGTTTTGGGATGGTCCATGAACGTTACATGCCAAGCACCAGCAAACAGCATGACAGTCATGTTGGGGGATTCGTGATGGTGTGGGGTGGAATCACGTTTAACAACAGGACTGGCCTCATTCGCCTCGGGGGTAGGGTGACTGGTATCCGTTACTGTGACGAAGTGTTGAGGCCAGTCGTCGAACCATTCGCCTTGGGGAGGGAGCTACTGTTTGAGTTTCATGAGGACAACGTCCGTTCATTCGACTCGTGAAGATCTGGAGTAGTATAGGTCTTCAGCAACCCATGCTTGCCGTAAAAGGCGATAAACGGGATCGGTTGGTCAGGCTCGCTGACCTAGTTAGTATATGTCACCGTATCCCAATTGCGTGGGACCCGTGAAGATCCGCGTAGAATAAGTCTGTCAGGCTCGCTGACTTGGTTGATGCATGTCATCGTATCCCAGTTGCGTGGATCGATGCTCATGATGTCAATCACTGGATTGTCTGATCCAGACGCGATTATTTACAGACCGCTGTCATACAGCCTGAATGTTGCTGAGTGTGGCGTTAAACAACAAACAAACAAACGATACGATGTTGAAACTCATCATGTTTATGAATATTGTTTCGGTATGTGTCAATCGTTTTGACAGAAGCAATTTCAGAGGTCTTTCTTCTCACTTATTATGACTATACTGGCAATGAAGTGTTTGGTTTTCGTCGCTTCGAACTGTATAACAGTCATATCATTGCGTGTCAGCTTGTGGAAGCAAAGACCGAAACGCTGCAGGTCCTAGATGTTTACCACTTTGTTGAAACCTCCGTGAGCGCGTATGGTGCTGACTAACCAAAAAAGAAAAGTCAAGAAGAATCTGGGATTCGAACCCACGATCATAGGTTTCTGGCATGCCGTGGGACGCAAGTCAGCACAGAGCGCTAGACGACCAGGCCATCCGTGCCACCTGTCCATGAAGAGTGAGTGAGTGAGTGAGTGAGTGAGTGAGTGAGTGAGTGAGTGAATATGGTTTTACGCCGTTTTTAGCAATATTCCAGCAATATCACGGCGGGGGACACCAGAAATGGGCTTCACACATTGTACCATGTCGGAATCGAACCCGGGTCTTCGGCGTGACGAGCGAACGCTTTAACCACCAGGCTACCCGACCGCCCCCTGTCCATGAAGAGACGAGCGGAGATATATATATATGTATATATATATATATATAGCCGGTTTTATAGTGCTAGACCACTGAGATACCGTGCCACAGTTTTACCTCACTCCGGCACAGTCAACTTACGTATACTGACTCCGAGCCGACCGGTCCTTGTTTTGTCCCCTCGATGGCAAGCGCCAGGCAGGGTAACAAGTACCATCTTTTAACGCCTTTGGGCATGACTTGGCCGGGGGTCGAACCACTGACCTTCCGAGCAGACCTCTTGACCACGAAGGCGGTCGGCAAACGTATGGTACCTTTAGTATAGTGTATTAACTGAAAGTGGGTGAACAGTGTTTTACGTCACAGGCAGCAATAGTAAAGCCATATCCAGGAGGCATGTAAATAACCGAGTCTGGGACAGGCAAACCAGTGATTGACAGCATGAGCAACAATCTGCGCTAGCAGAGAAAAATGACAAAATCTTCCAAGTCACGTATTGTAACCACGTGACCCGATTATTCCAGTTGGGTTTTTTTATTTCAGAATTCGTGTTCCAGATGATCAAACTTGTAATTCCACTCAAATTACAGCCACAGACATTCTGTGGAGAGCTACTGATGGGAGAAATGGTGAAGTCACTTCCTGAATATTGCTATGGTGGCCAATGGGTCCAGGGTATTTATCATAATAGAACCGAGTCAACACCCGGGTTAGAATAGGTCTTCATCAGTCCATGCTTGCCGTAAAAGACGACTATGCTTGTCGTAAGAGGTGACTAACGGTTGATGCGTGTAATCGTGTCCCAATTGCGGATCGATGCTCATGATGTCAATCACTGGGTTGTCGATCTGGTCCGGACTCGATTATTTAAAGGACGACCGTCACATAACTGGAATATTGCCGTGTGCGGCGTTAACCATCAAAACAAACAAACTTTAGCATCAGGGATATAGATATAGATTCTGCTAAGGGAACCCGAGTGTATATGCATCATTATATAGACTAAGTGAATCTTATATGGACCCCATTGTGGCACTGAAATCAACAGCTATTGAAGACAAAGCAACATGTCATTTGTCGAAACTCCGACATCGCCCCTGAGAGGGCTAACTGTACACTGTCGGGTTACATAATAGCGTGTTACAAGGACTTACCGTGAGGATAATTCGAAGGATAATTATTATTTGTCACAATTATTGATCATTTTCACTCAATCGAAAACTATTGAAATCAGAATATTTATTACCGTACCACATTTCGAAACCGCATAACAGTGAAATATACACAAGTGTCGGTCAATTAACAAAGACTCGGTTTCCAATATGTGTACAATACAACAGGTGCGCGTTGCAGGCACATGTTTGCTAAATGTGTGACTGTCGTGATTGTGTTGAAGATTGTAGGTTCAACAATGTTGCAACTTGTTTCTGGCGCGACCCCTCATTAGGTCGAGTAACAGTTATTGAGAAGTATCCGTCAGCCTCCCTCTCCATGAAGTCGGTACCCTGACAAGACAAAGCACGCCACATATGTCCCCGTTATCGATCCGGCACGCGACAGCTGGCGACTGACACGCGCTAACAATCAGCCGCCATTCATTCGAACTTCCAGCCACGCAACTTACTCAGTGAGCATGCGCACTTCTGTTGATATTATGGGATGTGAGCTTGCCGCAGCTTTGTTGAAACTTTACAGCGCGGGCTGAAATGCCCGACTTCGAACGGCACATTTACGCACTGATATCTAGTGGATATGGATCTTTGCACAACAAGCATTTCATGAGGTATGGCGATATGTTAACACTAATATATCTCATTCGGATTTATTGCAGCAATTTGAACATGATGTATTACACGCGGAGCTCACTGTAAAAGTTGATCATCGTGCTTGTTGCCCATGTTGGCAGATCAAGTTGATAAATACCGCGAATCAATGTGCGCCAACAAATATAATTATCAACGGCTTCCTTAAAAATTATGTAGAGTTACAGACACAAAACAATATTTCCAGGTGAGCGCTGAAAAGTGGTGTTGAATATTGCTGCGACTGTGACGCTTGTCGCTTTCAGTCCCCAATGTTTACAGTAGACAGCTCGTGCTATAACGCGGAATGTCACGTGATCACAACATTGGCACAACTCGGAGGACATTGTGTTTTTCCACAATTTAGGGTAGAATGGAGTCCGGTGGACCTGTAGAAAATAAACTGTTGCCACCTACTTGTATGTATGTAGATCTACTGTATTCCTCAGGTTCGTAGGCGTTTTTTTTAATTTCAGGACTAAAACTAATATATGGTAATTGGAAAGTGGTGAATGCAATAGTTAGCATAGGCCTACAGTCTGACCTGTGTTATACACACATAATGAATGCTGAGAAAGGAGTTGTTGGTGGCCATGTGGTTTAGTGTTGGTTCTCAACCTAAAAGACTGGGTTTGACTTTCAACATTATTACATTGTATGTGTGAAGTCAAATTCTGATGTCACCTTCAGTAATATTACTGGATTGTTGCTGGAAGTGGCATGGAACCATACTCACCCATAGACTACAGTCCATTGATTCCATTTGAGACCGATGAATTGCTCACTAACTCAAAATCTAATAATTGCAACAAAACCAAAATGTGCACAGCGACATGAATTGGACAGACCAACTCTGATGGTTTGTCTCATAATTTTGGACACCCGAATAAACAAATTGTTTAACAAACGATCATCATATTGTTGACATTTTTCGCCATCCCATACCAGGGAGGACCAGTCGCTCATGGAACAGCCAGGTAATGAACAAGCATGTGCACCGTATATGGGGGGGTCATCTCTAAAGCCGTTTTGGGTGTTCAATCGGAGTCACTGTTGCAGGTTTCTGAAGCAGTGACAGTGCATTCGGAATCGGTGTCGCTGTTGTCCGAATCGCTATCGCCGCTGTCTGAGTCTACCCTGATGATCACTGGCTTGATTGTGGCATGGTCCAATCCACTATGATCCCAATAATGTCTCTCTATTTCATTCTCAACTTTCTCAACACACTTTTGCCCAATTCCTGCGTGATGGTGTCTATTGATTGTTGAACCGGTTTCTGTACATCCCGCAGTTTGAATGTTGTATTTTTCCTGGCAACATCCGATTTAATGATACCCCAAATTAGTTCTATTGGGTTTAAATCGCAATGATAGGGCGGCAATCGCAAAACTGAATGGCCATGTTCTTTAAGATACTCGTCAACTTTAAAGACAGGTGTGGTTTTATTAGACTTTATAATATCATGCAGAACAGGTTTCGTTGCTTTTTGTGGATACGGTATTGCTTTGTGTGTCAACCATTCTATCATATCGCCCTTCCTACTGTTAGACGTTGGGGCTTTTGTGTTAGGTACCTGAACGCCATGATATGGAGCATTGTCCATGACAACCAGGCTCTTGGGGGGCAACACCGGTACCAGTTGAGTTTTAACCCATTCTAGGAATACCGCTCCGTTCATTTCGGTAAGATAGTCTCGGTTGTCCTTGGATTTTGCCTTGAAGACTAGCGAACAGCCTGGTAGGAATCCCCGACTCTTGCAGCCAGCATGGAACACAATAAGCCGCTCACCCTTGCCAAGTGGCAATTTCCTGGCACAGAAATCAGAAGAGTGTTCCTGTGGTATGGGAAGCGTTTACCCACGTTTCGTCCAAGTATACAGGCTCATAACCCTCGTAACGTTTTTCTCGTATTGTGCGTAAGAAATGGTTCCTTAGTTGAACAATATCAGACCTCTCGCATAATGCATGTCTATTTTCGGAGCCTACATTTTTGTAACGGAAACCAAATTGGTGTAGCAATTTCCATAACTGATATTTTGAAATGGTCAAAGAATGATTTGTCTCCATATATTTTTTTAGAGTACGGAGAGAGACATAGATATTTTGTTTATACAGAGTCTTAATGGCGTTTCTAACCATCTCTTGTTGAAATGAATCGACTTTAAAACATCGCTTGGGTTTTGAGATGGTCCCCTCAGGTGTGTCACTGCAGGTTGAATCAGTACACTTTTTTAACATAGTTTTTAACTTCCCTTCTGTTATCCCAACTGCACGTGCAGTTCGTAAACAATACTTTTTCAAAGCATATAGTGGTCTACTTCTTTCACATTCTTTTTAAAAAAAATTGAAGACGTTGCAAATTATTGACTTCACGTCGAGTGATGTTCTCATTGTTTCAGGTATAGCAATCACGCATCTATGGTTTGCTCAGCAAGCCTTACGTCACTTTCGCACATGAAACTCGCCCACCTGGCTGTTCCATGAGCGACTGGTCCTCCATGGTATGGGATGGCGAAAAATGTCAACAATATGATAATCGTTTGTTAAACAATTTTTTTATTCGGGTGTCCAAAATTATGTCCATCAGAGTTGGTCTGTCCAATTCATGTTGGAACAGGAATATCTTTTTGATCGTATAGCTGTATTATAATTTATATGTAGCGTCCACAACTGAGCGTAATATCTGGAGGGACTCTTCTCAATGCATGGTTCTCTGTTGGAAAGCATCTATCCCTCTGTAAGTCTTTGCTGTCTCAGCAAAGGTTAGTACTCACACTTGAAGGATCTTCTATAGTTTGTCTATCATGTATGGGCTAGCTGGGAAATCAAAATGGTTAAGAATGATACTTGAATCTTGATGAAGCTGGCTTATAGACTGGCGCAGGTTTATTAGCTCATCAATCAACGTCCATATTTTACATTTTTAACTTCGACCAAATTTGGTTTTTGATGTTTGTTACTGTAAAGGTGTTCAAAATTGTTAAAGACATCAACATTGGAATTTCAGTATGGCCATCTTTAAAATTGATATATAGAGGTTATCACGAGAGTGTGTTTGGGGATGGTAAATATCCTACATTAGGAATAAACATTGTATTTGGCGAGCTAAATACATAGTGTTTATTCCTAATAGTACACACAAGCATGATAACCTCTTTATCATATAATGTCATTCTTTAATTCTGTGCTTGAAAATCGCTTTCCCTCTCTCACAAACATTACCGAAACATTGCAAGTTTTCCTGGAATGCCCGCATTAATATTTATTACGTCACAGAGTAAGTGATGTGTCAGTCGGACAGTGACAATAGCCAATATAGCTCCAACTAAAATCTGTTTCTTATACAGTGGCGAAGCAACATATACGCAAAACAGTGTTTTTACTTGACTTTCGCAGCAATCCATCAGTCTGTCCACTAGAGTAACTGCCCTTTGTCAAAGGGAAGCTACTCTAACCCTAGTCTATGAGAAGTCACGGCCACAGTCAGTCGTTGTTGACAGAGTCGGCCTGTCCTGTCTTAACGTTACGAAGTGCAGTCAGATGTACACACAGTGACAACAAAGTAACAATTCAAACATATTTCGGCCAAATCAAACTATTTTAAATTGTGGAAAAGGTTTCAAGCCGCAGAGGTCGACAAGCACAGATATGGCTACTGATCCAGCTTAGCTAGGCCTAGTGCCCTCTCAAAATTGTTTCGAAATTTATATCTCCAAAGTTGCCAAAAGTTATATAATGTCTTACCTACATCACAGTTAGACACTGATTTTCAGTATATTAGACTGTTCTTTTGATAATGATAGCAATTATCCCTTTAGTTTATCCAGGTTACCGATGGTTAATTCTGACTCGATCGCCGAATGACAAGGGCGACGCCATGTTTGTTTGTAAACACTGAAAGTAGTCCCTACTTGACCTTTGATATTTGCAATTCTATCCGCATATGACACCAACAGATATCGTTTTTATCCGTTGGCTTTATCCTACTGAGAAGCCTACCCATTATATGATAAATATATATACCTGTATGTCACATTTTGTTTTCCGAAGCAGAACTCCGAAACCTTAAGAGATAAGTTTACAAAACTTGGTACACACATTCACCATATACATAGTGTAGATGTGCTTTTTGCTATATTATTTCCCCCAATGAATCATTTTAGACTTGTATTGAATGGGAGGAATCTTAACCAATTTACCTCAGTTCTATTATTTACATCTCTCCGAGGCAAGGGAGTTTACTGACTATTATAAAAGTCCAGTTTCCACCCCTTATTATGAAGTTATATTTTGGCTCGACTAATGAGTCTCTGTATAGTCCAATCAAAATCGTGTAACGAAATCGATATCCGGTTTGTACACTGTCATGCAGATTTCAGTCGATTTCAGGATTTGCAAAGGATGTGCACCGCCAACTCGACATCAGTAGATATTTTCCAAATCTGTTCATGTTTTTAATCAAGGTGATCGGGTGGTTTGATGCACTTTGCATTGTATCACCCGTTATATCACAATATAGATCTTGATTATTGATCACATCATCTTGACTGGGTGCCGCCATTTTGTTTGAAGCAAATGCAAGTGATAGAAGAGGTGGAATCTGATTGGTCAGTAGGAGAGGCATAGAAGGGACACAACTCATAATAACCACTGGTGGCGCTACAATCAAGCCCAGAAATTCCAGTCTAGTTTGGCAACTGTGGAAAGTGGACTTTTATAGTCAGTTAACTCCCTTGCCTCAGGAAGATGGTTATTTACTTCTCAATGAAACTTTGTACAATATCAGTCTAAGGCTGTTGTGGAGTCTTTGTTCTGTGGAGATTTTTAAACAATTCTTTTTTCTCAATTAAATGAGGCACCAGTAGACACTGCAACAAACAAAGCTGTCAAAGGATTCATTTCATAGTAGATGTGTTAGAAATTCACCAGGTTTTGAGGGGTCATCATTCTCACAACTTTTGTACCTTATCTGTACTGTGTACCTTAATCTGGTAACTACCCGTGAAGGGTAGGGCTGTAGCAATACCTGCCTGTATAACAATGCTGTACAATGCATTTCATAATATCTAAATGAATGAATTGTGCACTGCTCAATGATACAAAATATTCTCAAAGATATTTGGTGTTTGTTTAGTTAGTAGGTGGACTTGACACATATGTTCTGTTTTTCGCAATAATATATATTTCTGCCTTGATTTGACCATTTAGTGTTTGGACTACAGTATATCTTCTCATAATCCCCCAACATGCACGTTTGCACTGTAAACATCATCTCCTCAGGAAGTACTGATGCAGTATTTAGTTGACATTTCACAGACTTGTTCCCACCAAAGATGACAACCGAGGATGTTCAAGGTCATATGTGGGCATTGCACCGTTATTCAATGGTTGGTCTGGATCCTGTTTGCCCCAGTTGTGTTTCTAGGTCTGTCTGCACCATACCTGTGCTCGTGGGTTTCACCAAAGTGGTAAATGTCTGAGACCCGCATTACTTAGGGCTTTCCACCCACATTAGGGACGGTCGGGTAGCCTAGTGGTTAAAGCGTTCGCTCGTCACGCCGAAGACCCGGGTTTGATTTCCGACATGGGTACAATGTGTGAAGCCCATTTCTGGTGTCCCCCGTCGTGATATTGCTGGAATATTGCTAAAAACGGCATAAAACCATACTCACTCACTCACTCCACCCACATTAAGCTGACATGCCCTGATATTACTGAAATACTGTTGACAGAGGCATTAAACCCAACTCACTCACTTACTACAGGTCATACCCTCAAAAATGTACCATGTTCACAATAGAGGTAACTCAAGTGTTCATTGTAGTAGGATATAATTTGGTACATTTCATCCATAGGGTGTGGCATTGAAGTGGTAAGGTTTTGAATGACCTTCTCTGAAGGTCATGGTCACTGGAAGGACAATATTAAGGCAGTTCAAATTCATTAAAATCAAATCTTAATGCATCAATTGTTTTTCCTGATGCAATGCCTCTGTGAGAAGACTTCCCATTATGTCCTTCGGAAGTCGCGTGAGGTGGACTTCCTAATCAGCCAATGAGCATTGATGCTTCTAAATTCTCGGTATGAGTAAGCAGGGTATGTGATTTTCTATATCTTGAAATTGAAGTTAAGAATACCAAAAAACCTGCACTATTATATTGTTGTGGATGTGTTATGGATCCTGTCGTTTCAGAGCGCCATGGCATCTGTACTTAAAAGGGTGTACAATCAAGTGTATGTTTGTGTTCTGTGGTGGTTTTCTTTTGGCAAATTTCTGAATAACCTCAATTCAGAAATTTGCCACAAAAAATAAGCTGTGTAATTTTCTGAAAGCTGACATGCTTCAGATTGGTTGGTCAAAGTTTACTCATGGTTCACCTGATGTGACCTCCCGTGGATGTGACCTCCCGTGGAGGTGTCCTTAGACATGTTAAGTCTTCTCTTAGAGTGGTACCATATCAGAGTAAAAGATCTGATTTTAATAAGATTGATTTTAGTTCCATTTCATTGTGTACTGAACTGTTCCTCTGTCATGTTTGTTAGAGCTTACATCCATGTTTTCAGCAAGAAATAATCAAGCTTGTTATTAGTTGAAACTAAGGGTCAAGGTTTTCGACCAGAAGTGTATTAGTTTTTATTGGCATGGGACTTTCTGTTTTTAAGATGTCATATTTTAGACAAAGCAGAATTGCTTATAACTTTCTTGTTATCATTGTTTTAAGTGTGTATACAACATTCTTACCACGCTTGTTGAGATACCTGGAGGAGTAGGACTTTCTGTTGTCAGTCAATGGCATGTATCTTCTGAAACCAAAAGTTATGTCATCAGCTGGTATTGGTATCATTACTGTGAAAATGCCCTGAACATGTTGGGGCTCTTCATTATGGCAACTTGAGGCAAGGTGATTTAACGTTATTTAATCTGGTATGAGGTTGTAGTACATGTAGTTGGTAATGATATCACACTGGAATTGTGGGGCTTATCATGCTTATGGTATGATTTGGGTTTCTCGTTTATTTTTTTTGCAAATTCTTGCAACAAACATTTTTCTTGTTGAAAAAAACTATTTACAGCCATTAATCAACCTTTTTGTTCAAAAGTAATACAATGTGGTATATGTTTAGTTTTTAATGAAACAAAACTCATATGTTGATCTGTTTTTCACAATATCTTAAAAATGTTTTAGTTCTATAAAACAGCATTATGTTATCTCTCTGAACTGCTGAACACTGCCGCAGTTGCGAGATGGAGGAAACATGTTTTTTTCTCCTTCTTAGGACGTCATATTTTGTTCAACATTTTTACATGTTTTTAAGGATTTTAGTTCTCAGTATTTATACAGAAAATATTTAAATATCAATGCGGACCAGCTGAAAGCACCTTTTGTTAAATGCCTGTCTTCCTAGATTTGATACTGTTGACTAAATAGCCAGATGGGCTGGTACAGAACAGTGGCGCTATTTGTACCAAAGAATTATAGTTTGATCTTCATTTGACATGGTGTATGTATTAACAGTCTTACACATGTATATATCTGAACCAGGTAATGCATGACATGAGACCGCTATCCACTGTATTATTTTTATCTTTCTGTTAAGATAAATACACCATAGCTTTGTTTTGAATTCATTTTGATGGCAATGCTCAAACTCGCCATCCACTCAAATTACAGCCACATACTTTCTGTGGAGAGTTACTGATGGGAGAAATGGTGAAGTCACTTCCTGAATATAGCTATGGTGGCCAATGGGTCCAGGGTATTTATCACAATAGAACTGAGTCAACATCCGGGTTAGAATAGGTCTTCATCAGTCCATGCTTGCCGTAAAAGGCGACTGCTTGTAGAAGAGGTGACTTAACGGGATCGCGTGGTCAGACTTGCTGACTTGGTTGATGCATGTCATTGTATCCTAGATGCGCGGATTGATGCTCATGATGTCAGTCACTGGGTTGTCTGGACAGAGATTTAAATGTGTGATACTATTCAGCAGACTCAGAATTTATTACTGGTCACACATGGTTGAAAGTTTCAGATAGTCATTTTAGAATTAATAAAAAGGGAGACACCAGTGGTAATATCCAACTAGTCCGCAGCTTGTTGTGGACTAGTGTTTATGTAAAATAACAAACTTTTGGGATAAAACAACTAGTATGTCTACATTATTACTAGTCTCAGATGAAAAGTCTAGTGGTCGTGTCTATCCCTGAAAAATTGTTACTGTTATTTAGATGCGATCCAAGTGCTTATAACCACCATGCCCATGGTGACAGTGTGCATGCGACTCGCTACAACACTGCAGAACTTGTAATGATCTCTACAACAGTGTGGGTTTCAGTCTCAGCTAACTGTTTCTGTACATTGAGCATGTTGAAAGAGCAAGCCTCAGGTCGGGGATCCATCAGGCAGGCAGATTATGTTAATCAATAATGAGAATAACTGTGAAGTTGCCCAGCTCCTCGAATTCCCTTTGTGTGAAGCAAAGCAGGTGTTCCCTTTTCTGTCTCCAGCAGCCAGCACACCTGGTGTCACCTGTCCATTAGGGGATCACTGTCCCTTGTATTACTGCCTGAAGTAGAGCTCAGCATGCTGCATGCTGTCTGCTTGCTTGCCTGCCCATGGTTTCAGCCAATCACATCGCTCAGTGCCAGACAATGGTCATTTTCATAATTACTGGTGATTCTGTGACTCCAAAGTGCGTGGATCAATATCTGTGAGCTGTGGGGTGGTGGAAGTGACCCCCACCCACCTTACCCATCCTTGTCCCCCACTTGGCTTCTCCAAGGAAGCAGCAAGTCCCACCAAGTGATTATGTTAATGTGTGGTGTGACAGCATTGCAAGCCTGGCCCACAGTCAGTGTCAGATGATGATGCTATGTGATGAATTATTTATGTGTTTGGAGGTTGTCTACTAGTTGGCTGTCTGTCTACTGCCACCCATTCCACCCAGTGCGGAGTGGCTTATACCACCCTGTTCCCACACACACCGGACTAACCCATGTGACACAATGTTTCAGCTGACAAATCATCACCCTATCCAACTTGGCTCTATCGTCACTACAACGTAGACACCAGTCATGTCGGCAAGAAAAAAAGGTAATTTAAATCTTCTCAACTTATTGAAAAAATTACACTTTGGAAAATAGCCATGTATAATGATACATTATTTTGTGAGAGTGCATGGTCCTTGTACGGCAGTACACTTGCAATCCTTTGCGTGTTATGGGAGGAAGGGGGTAAGGATGCTGCTATGTTTACACTTATGTAATAACTGAGTGGATCAATGCTAGCTGGCCAGGGAGAGGAGAGCAGGTGGTTCAGCAGCCACAGTCAGACATGCCGGCCATGGAAGGCGGAATCAATCTGACACTTGTACAACAACCAGTGCTGTCGGCATGCTAGTGCCGTAGTGAAACACAGGCAGGCATGGATAGCTGGGGAGACCCAGTAGAGACTTTTAGGGTGAAGTAAGCAGGTGGTGGTGGGGGTCAGACGGAGACAGGTGGTGGTAGGGGCCAGGTGATGTGTGAGGAGAGATGGATAGACGGTAAGGGATAGACAGGTGATGATGGAGGGAGAGACAGGTGATGGTGGCGAGACACAGGTGATATGAGGGACAGGTGATGGGGGGGGGAGGGACTGAGAGGTGATGGTGGGGAAAAAATGATGTTGGGGAACAGGTGATGGTGGGGGACAGGTGATGATGGGGGAGACACATGTGATGGTGGGGGACAGGTGATGGTGGGGAGATACGGGTGATGGTGGCGAGACAAAGGGGATGGTGGCGAGACATGGGTGATGGTGGGGGATAGGTGATGATTGGGGAGACAGGTGATGATGGGGAGACACGTGATGGTGGGGGACAGGTGATGGTGGGGAGACACATGTGATGGTGGGGGACAGGTGATGATGGGGGAGACACAGGTACTGGTGGGGAGACAGGGGTGATGGTGGCGAGACATGGGTGATGGTGGGAAATCATGTGTAATCAGAAGGGGGAGACTTGGTTGATTATAAGGGGGAGACTTGGTTGATCATGAGGGGAAATATGGTTGATCATGAAGGGAGACTTGGTTGATCATGAGGGGAGATATAGTTGATCATGAGGGGGAGACTTGGTTGATCATGAGGGGAGACTTGGTTGATCATGAGGGGAGATATGGTTGATCACGAGGAGAGATATGGTTGGTCATAAGGGTGAGGCTTGGTTGATCATGAGGGGAGATATGGTTGATCATGAGGGGGAGACTTGGTTGATCATGAGGGGAGATATGGTTGATCACGAGGAGAGATATGGTTGATCACGAGGAGAGATATGGTTGGTCATAAGGGGGAGACTTGGGTGATCATGAGGGGAGATATGGTTGATCATGAGGGGAGATATGGTTGGTCATTAGGGGAAATATAATTGGTCATAAGGTGGAGACTTGGTTGATCATGAGGGGAGATATGGTTGGTCATTAGGGGATATATGGTTGATCATGAGGGGGAGACTTGGTTGATCATGAGGGGAGATATGATTGATCATGAGGGGGGACTTGGTTGATTATGAGGGGAGATATGGTTGGTCATGAGGGGAGATATGGTTGGTCATTAGGGGAAATATAATTGGTCATAAGGTGGAGACTTGGTTGATCATGAGGGGAGATATGGTTGGTCATTAGGGGATATATGGTTGATCATGAGGGGGAGACTTGGTTGATCATGAGGGGAGATATGGTTGATCATGAGGGGGGACTTGGTTGATTATGAGGGGAGATATGGTTGATCATGAGGGGGAGACTTGGTTGATCATGAGGGGGAGACTTGGTTGATCATGAGGGGGAGGCTTGGTTGATCATGAGGGGGAGACAGGTGATTATGAAGGGGAGACTTGGTTGATCATGAGGGGGAGACTTGGTTGATCATGAGGGGGAGACTTGGTTGATCATGAAGGGGAGACAGGTGATCATGAAGGGGAGACATGGGTGATCAAGAGGGGGAGACATTGGTGATCATAAGGGGGAGACATTGGTGATCATAAGGGGGTGACACAGGTGATCATAAGGGGGAGACATTGGTGATCAAAAGGGGGGACATGGGTGATCATAAGGGGGAGACATGGGTGTTTATAAGGGGAGACACAGGTGATCATAAGGGGAGACACAGGTGATCATAAGGGGAGACATGGCGGATCATAAGGAGGAGACATTGGTGATCATAAGGGGGAGACATGGGTGATAAGGGAGAGACATGAGTGATCATAAGGGGGAGACACAGGTGATCATAAGGGGAGACACAGGTGATCATAAGGGGAGACATGGGTGATCATAAGGAGGAGACATTGGTGATCACAAGGGGGAGACATGGGTGATCATAAGGGGGAAACATGGGTGTTTATAAGGGGAGACACAGGTGATCATAAGGGGAGACACAAGTGATCATAAGGGGGAGACATGGGTGATCATAAGGGGAAGACATTGGTGATCATAAGGGGGAGACATTGGTGATAATTAGGGGGGACATTTGTGATCATAAGGGGGAGACATTTGTGATCATAAGGGGGAGAAAGATGATCATAAGGGGAGACTTGGTTGATCATACGGGGAGACTTGGATTATCATAGGGGAGACACAGGTGTTGATAAGGGGAGACACAGCTGTCCATAAGGGGGAGACACAGCTGACCATAAGGGGGAGACATGGTGTTCATAAGGTGGAGACATAGTTGATCATAAGGGGAGACACGGGTAATTATAAGGGGAGACAGGTGATTATAAGGGGAGACACAGGTGTTTTTAAGGGGAGACAGGTGTTTATAAGGGGGAGACATTGGTGATCATAAGGGGGAGACATTGGTGATCATAAGGGGGAGACAGGTGATCATAAGGGGGAGACAGGTGTTTATAAGGGGGAGACATGGGTGATCATAAGGGGGAGACATTGGTGATCATAAGGGGGAGACATTGGTGATCATAAGGGGGAGACATTGGTGATCATAAGGGGGAGACAGGTGATTATAAGGGAAGACAGGTGTTTATAAGGGGAGACACAGGTGATCATAAGGGGGTGATCATAAGGGGAGACACAGGTGTTTATAAGGGGAGACATGGGTGATCATTAGGGGAGACAGGTGTTTATAAGGGGAGACATGGGTGATCATAAGGGGGAGACAGGTGTTTATAAGGGGAGACATGGGTGATCATAAGGGGGAGACAGGTGATTATAAGGGAAGACAGGTGTTTATAAGGGGAGACATGGGTGATCATAAGGGGGTGACACAGGTGAATATAAGGGGACACAGGTGATCATAAGGGGGAGACATGGGTGATCATAAGGGGAGACACGGGTGATTATAAGGGGACACAGGTGATCATAAGGGGGAGACATGGGTGATCATAAGGGGGAGACAGGTGTTTTTAAGGGGAGACCTAGGTCATCATAAGGGGGAGACATGGGTGATGTAAAGAGGGATGATGGGGGGCAGATAGGTGATGATACAAGAAGTACAGGTGATGATGGAGACAGGAGATTTTGCTCATGTATATGTTTCTTACTTGGAATATGCACTTATATGCCAGTATTGGCAAGTATTGAATCAGGTATGTTTGCACCATTCTTAGAAATTTGTCATAAAAAAAACCCAAATAGGTCTATCTTTTTCACGAGACTGGTGATGGCTTATTGAAGAAAAATAGTTCTTGTGTATTCTGTGTCCTTGTCAACATTGTTTTTTTGTTTGCAGCCAGTGCAGACACATCTAACACCCAACTTGTCCTCACCGAGATCAAGGTAAGTGAACTTCGTCATGAAGCGTATTGAGGTCGAAAGAACATTCTGGCACTTCAATTGTGAACATCTACCTGAGGCAAGGGAGTTAGCTGACTATAAAAGTCCAGTGGAGTTATATTTTGGCTGGACTAACGAGTTTATGCAGAGTCCAATCAAAATAGAGTAATGAAGATGAATTGTGAACAACAGATGAAAGAATTGTGAATACACAATGCCATTTAGAAAGTGGTCAAATGTAACAAGTGTTATATTTGGGATAACACTTTCTTAGTAAAGTACAGATTCTTGTACTTTTTTGGGTTGAGTCCTAGACGGTACTCAACCCAAAAAAAGTACGAGATTCTGTACTTTACTAAGAAAGTGTTATCCCAAATATAACATTTGTTACAGATGAAAGAATTGTTCAAGACCTGTCTGTCACTTTATATCAATTCAACTGTTTGCCTTTTTCAAAGACTATTCAAATGTTTTTGTTCTATTCATGAATGACTGATTTAATCACCTGTGACTTGTTCTATTGCAGGTAGAAAATGGAGAATCAACAAAGAAGGACATTGTCAAATCTGGTAAGTTTATTTTATGATAATCCATATATGAGTCACTGTTTAGAAACTTTTAGATATATATGGCTGCAGTTTAGGTGTCACTGGTAAATTTTATCGGCATGCGCACAGTTAGAATTACTTCTCATTACTTTGTACGGCTTTGGTGTTGCTATGGATGGCAGCTGGAGGATGTTTGAGGTTGGGGTGGTGCAATATATGCAACAGGGTGGGGCATTGCTAGGTATGCCTGAGTGGGGTGTTCCTATATATGCTAGAGTGGGGTGTTCCTATATATGCTAGAGTGGGGTGTTCCTATATATGCTAGAGTGGGGTGTTCCTATATATGCCTGAGTGGGGTGTTCCTATATATGCTAGAGTGGGGTGTTCCTATATATGCTAGAGTGGGGTGTTGCTATGTAAGCTTGTTTGGGGTGTTGCTATGTAAGCTTGTGTGGGGTGTTCCTATATATGCCTGAGTGGGGTGTTCCTATATATGCTAGAGTGGGGTGTTCCTATATATGCCTGAGTGGGGTGTTCCTATATATGCCTGAGTGGGGCATTGTTAGGTATGCCTGAGTGGGGTGTTCCTATATATGCCTGAGTGGGGTGTTCCTATATATGCCTGAGTGGGGTGTTCCTATATATGCTAGAGTGGGGTGTTCCTATATATGCCTGAGTGGGGCATTGCTAGGTATGCCTGAGTGGGGTGTTCCTATATATGCCTGAGTGGGGTGTTCCTATATATGCTAGAGTGGGGTGTTCCTATATATGCCTGAGTGGGGTGTTCCTATATATGCCTGAGTGGGGTGTTCCTATATATGCCTGAGTGGGGTGTTCCTATATATGCCTGAGTGGGGTGTTCCTATATATGCCTGAGTGGGGTGTTCCTATATATGCCTGAGTGGGGTGTTCCTATATATGCCTGAGTGGGGTGTTCCTATATATGCTAGAGTGGGGTGTTGCTATGTAAGCTTGTTTGGGGTGTTGCTATATAAGCTTGTTTGGGGTGTTGCTATGTATGCTAGTGTAGGGTGTTGCTATATATGCGAGAGGGTTTGGAAGTGTTCTGCCAAGCGACAGCGACCCATTCAACGTAAATACAGGGGGTCAATTTCAAAGCTTATTGGGCCACATCATTCATAGGTTATTAATGCAGAATTACCATCTTAGAGTAACGTTAGCAGTACACAGGATGTTTCGCTTGCCATCTTTCTCAGATGCAATGTATTGAAGCAACATGTTTGTTTGTAATGTTGCTGGCGTTAGCATCTCTCATCAGTGTATTAGTTCTAAAGGTTGAATGTAGTTTTGTTGTTGAATTAGATTTCACATGATTTATACAAAGCTGACATATTCATAGTTAACCTGCATCCATGTAGTCACGAGCCATGCTCACTGAGAGTTTCTCAGTCTGTCACCATGGGACCGCCTCCGTGGTCTAGTGGTAGAGCGTCCGCCCGGAGAGCGGAAGGTCCGGGGTTCGATCCCCGGCCGCGTCATACAAAAAGACGTTAAAAGATGGTACTTGTTGTTACCCTGTCTGGCGCTCGGCATTATGAGGCTAAAACAAGGACTGGTCGGCTCGGAGTCAGTATACTGTGTCTGAGTGGGATATTCATGTTAAACTGCGGCATGGTGTCTCAGTGAGCTAGCACTATAAATCGGCATCAGTCCGGACTAGTACAAGCAGCCACACAAACACATACACGTGCATGCGCGTCGCTATATAAGTGCAATAATCTTGGACGCGACGTTAAACCCCATTTCACCTCACCTGTCACCATGGTCACTATTAGGTGCGCCATTCAAAATACTCTGTATCCCTGACATAACTTGTGTATCCCTGATATACACTCTGTGTATCCCTGACATAACTTGTGTATCCCTGATATACACTCTGTGTATCCCTGACATAACTTGTGTATCCCTGATCTACACTCTGTGTATCCCTGACATAACTTGTGTATCCCTGATATACACTGTGTATCCCTGACATAACTTGTGTATCCCTGATCTACACTCTGTGTATCCCTGACATAACTTGTGTATCCCTGATCTACACTCTGTGTATCCCTGACATAACTTGTGTATCCCTGACATAACTTGTGTATCCTTGATCTACACTCTGTGTATCCCTGACATAACTTGTGTATCCCTGATATACACTGTGTATCCCTGACATAACTTGTGTATCCCTGATATACACTGTGTATCCCTGACATAACTTGTGTATCCCTGATATACACTCTGTGTATCCCTGACATAACTTGTGTATCCCTGATATACACTCTGTGTATCCCTGACATAACTTGTGTATGCCTGATATACACTGTGTATCCCTGACATAACTTGTGTATCCCTGATATACACTCTGTGTATCCCTGACATAACTTGTGGTCAGCGATTCTGCAATACTTGGGTCATTTGGAGCAGAATCATCATTTGGCATTATCGGAACTATGATTACTCTATTTGCAAAAATGTGTCAACTCGATTCTGATTGGCCCATTTTTTACTTTCAACCAATGAAAGGCATTGATAGTTATTTCAGACACACAAGGCAATAAAAATCACAACGTTCACATTCAATAAAAGAAGCAGCTGTCCAAGGGGTGTAAACTGTGACAATTAGTGTCTCACATTATTATCATGATTATATAAAATAAACCCATTTACATGAATGCGCTCGATGTCCCATTGAGTGTAAATATCATGCGCCAATACGATCAATTATTGGGAGAATCCAGGGAAGCGGCTGTCTCGGCAGAACACTGGTGGGGTGTTGCTATATACAGTAAACTACATTTATAACCTGATAACGAACTGACGGATAAAACAAAACATGTTTAGGTCCCCACCATTCGCTGTTGATATATGCTTATAATGATCTATGTTTATATAGAACTGAAATCAGTGGTCCCTTTGAGTTCGTTATAACCATAGTTTATTGCATGTGCTAGAAGGTGGGGTGTTGCTATATGCTAGAGGGTAGGGTGTTGCTATATGCTAGAGGGTAGAGTGTTGTTAACCCCAGATTGGTAGGTTAAGACCTTTTTAACCCGTGAAGATCCGGGATAGAATAGGTCTTCAGTAACACATGATTGCTGTAAAAGGCGAATATGCTTGTCGTAAGAGGCGACTTACGGGATCGGGTGGTCAGACTCGCTGACTTGGTTGAAGCATGTCATCGATCCCAATGTTCATGATATCAATCACTGTATTGTCTGGTCCAGACAGCCATCACATAGCTGGAATATTGCTGAGTGTGGCGTTAAACAACAAACAAACTTAGAACTTTCTCCAGGTTGTTTTAACTCTTTTCATTTGTCCCCACAGCTGCCAGCCCCAATACAGACACTGCAAGGTATGTCCCACTTTCCATGGATACACGATCATGTAGAGACTTGTCTAGTGATCGAAGAATGTAACTTGCTGTATAGAGTTTCACCCCTTCGCTACACCAGGATCAAATTATTGTGGCTTTCACTGAAACGATGAGCATCTACCGCCAGTATCTCTTCGATGCGCTTACCCGACATGACACAACTGTAATCCTGTTTAAAACACCGTTAAACCGTTTTAACTTGCTTATTGTAGAGATTGGAACCTGTGTTGAAAGTGCCATGATTACACGTCACTGAGGACACTTACATTCGGCCTTACACATTACTGAGTGCTTGTAACTGTTTTTTAGACATTAACGGACAGTTAAAGTAATACTGTGATTGAATTTTCTAGGTATATACTGACTGAGTTGTGACAATGAATAAATATTTTTGGGAATGTGACATGAATATTTTTCATATGCATTTCAGTTTTGTTGTCACTATCACTATTTGGTATTTTGTTTCAGTGCTGATGCACCTAAAACTCTAGTCAACTGTACATTCCCAGGGTGTGCCGGGCAGGGCCACGTTACCGGCAAATACGCTCGCCACAGAACGTAAGTACAGACAGGACCACTCTGTCTTCTACTCCCATTCTGTTATTTTTCAAAAGGCATTTCTTTTTTCCCCATCAGTGTTCAATATTATACAGGAAAGTCAAGGGGTTCTTGTTATAACACTAATATTAAGAATTCTAGATTAATGGGGTATCTAGATTTGAATTTGTGAATAAAAAATGTAATAATTTCATAAGTCATGGGAAATATTAGTAACTGTGTAAATAATACCAAATATCAATATTTGTCAAAAAGTATTGGAATAATATGTTGATACTTCATTTTGCAGTATTTCACTCTGTGCCAAAAACTTCCCAGACCAAACATGGCACTTGGTATCATTTTTAGTAGATTTTATGTAACCACATGGACTATTGTTTGTTTAAGAGCTTAAGAGACTGAACAGAATTTTACTAGACACAGGCTTTGGACAAGTGGTTGAGTCGCAGACTGATGTGATGTATTGTTAAATTCTCCACCCGATGTAGATTTAGCACCAGATTGCTTGTTTCCCCAGGATCATGGCGTGTCCGCTGGCGGCCAAGAAGAGGAAGCAGGAAAAGGAGGATGGCCCAGCTGCCAAGAAGAGCCGGAAGACTGGCAGTGTGGGGCCAGCCGATACCCCCGACAAGATGGAGACCGTGGATGATGGGGACGAGGCCCAGGGTGAGGTGGAAGAAGATGTAGATGAGGTGAAGTTGGAACCCAGTGAGGAGCAGGACAGTCAGACAGGTTCCATTACAGCAGCTTCCACAGAGGAAGTGATGGATGATGAACAGAAATGTTTCCGTGAGGCGGAAAGGGCTCTCCGCAGTTTGTCCGGAGATGACTCTGCCCCATTCCAGTACATCTACTCAGCTTCCTCGGACTGTGAGTCCACTGAGCCCTCGAACATGGGTCAGGAGGAGGTCACAGAGGCAAAGGTGAAGGACGAGGATGATTCGGCTGACTCTGAAAACAGTGAAAATATTGACAATGCTTCTAGCTGCTCATCAGCAGATGATGCAGACATATTGCTTAAGATCCAAGAACAGTGTGCCAGCATTCAGTCTCAGGCAGTCACCGTGCCAACGACTGACTTGATCATGGCGAGGGGTATGTGTGAAACTGCTGGTTTACGGGAAGGGAAAGAAGACACCTTCGGGGTGACCAACCGAGTTGTCAGTGACCTGGCCCAGTCGAGTGACAATGGTGAGGCACAGAGTGGGGATGCCACGCCCAGTTTCACTGTTTTGGCAGAGTGGAGTACGGGTTTAGCTGGGAAGAACAAGGACACGGGTAGTGATGGCACCAGTGATGAAGATTCTGATGGTGGCAGCGAGGACACCAATAGGAAAGGTAAGATCTCCTTCAGGTAACATATCTGAAAGAAGGGAAGAATGATGAATACTGTTAAACATTGTTATTTTTACCTTATTTTGTCACAGTGTGCTTATGTCATGGGTCCAGTTCAATCAACTTATCAATATTAACTTCAAAATGAGCATGTTTTAGGAATATGTGACCACAAAGAATGATTTAGTGCATTTCATGGCAAGAGCATGTTCATCATTTTCATAGGCTCCTGTACTACATTGATGCACCGTTGAAGAGAATGTTATGATGCGGTGATATAAAATTTGCAAATTACCATGTTCAGTTCCAGGTTAAGGAATGAAATAAGCTTGGCGAACACTGCACACTGGTATCTTACTCAGTACACAGGATATTCAAAGTCCTTTTACACGCGCTTCAGTGACTTTGCCCACGCATGCGAACAACCAGGTCCTGTAGTAGGAATTGAAAATCCACATTCCAAAAAAAGTCACCCTGACTGCTCATGTAGCCTTTTGAAGGGCAAAATAAGTAATCTAAAATGTCTGTTTATTTTTGTATGCATTTCCCACCAACTTGCAATTTTGTTTTATATAACAGATCTGGAAGCCAGGACTGTAAATCAAATCAAGTTTTGCTTTGTGAGGAAACATGATTATGTTGTGTTCCCTTTGGCCTGTTTGGCACTTGAACATGTTGAAATTCATGAATTTGGTTAAAAAACCTTGTCACCAAATCACATTTTAATTGGGTGACCTTTGGTTACTAGTTGTAGTCATGATGTTTGTTGGTCAGTCACGTAGCCTTGTGGTTAAAGTGTTCGCTCGTCATGACCAAGACCTGGGTTTGATTCCCGACATGGCTACAATGTGTGAAGCCCATTTCTGGTGTCCCCCTCCATGATATTGCTTGAATATTGCTAAAAGTGGTGTAAAATCAAACTCACTCACTCATGATGTTTGTTCTGTTCTGGGATTTATCTTGACCTGCTCAGAGGCTGATATTCAGCACCAAGTCTGGAGCAATCGTTCGTAAAAATTCCAAAATCAGAATTACAAAATTCCTATCACATGTTAATTTGGTTATGACTAATTATTGCGATGGCTTGGTCAAGGTTGTATTCCATTGATAACAAGAACAAGAAAGAAGAGGCTTAATTTTTTATTTTATTGAATGCAATGTTACAACGTAATAGAGTAACTATGAAAATAAGTACTCTAAATAATCAAAATAACTATTTTTTCCCAATTTACCTGCCAAGGACATTTAATTTTGAATCATTGATAAATCCCTGCTGTTAAATCTTGGATATATTTACTTACATATGTATGAAAACAGAAGTATTCCTGTAATTTTGGATTCAGCCAACAATGTTGTGTCAGTGAGTGAAATGGGTTTAACGCCGCTTTTAACAGTATTACAGTTATATAGCAGCGTGTCACCTTAATGTGGGAGGAAAGCCCGAGGTGATGCAGGTCTTAGAAATTTACCACTTCGATGAAACCCACGAGCATGGGTATGGTGCTGACAAACCTAGAAAAATAATCGGGGCGAACCGGGATTCGAACCCACAATCATAGGTTTCTGGCGTGCCCAAGGGACGCAACTCTGCACAGTTAAACGCGGCGCCTTAGACCACTGGGCCACCTGTGCCCCCATGTTGTGTCAGGAGTGCCAAAGGGTTAAGTTTTCATTATCATGCAATAAAGCAAGACACATTCATGACATAAAGCACAACTGATATTAAGACGTTTGGTAACAAGCACTAGCTACAGTGAAACTGCTGATGAGTAACCAGATTATTGAACGGTCTTAACGTGCCCCATCCATGGATTTGTAACTTACCAGACTGTATCAGCTGGTGTGGCCGTCTCATCAAAGACTTCTCTTTCAGACCCGTGAAGATTCCGGGGTAGAATAGGTCTTCAGCAACCCATGCTTGCCGTAAAAGGTGACTCTGCTTGTCGTAAAAGGCGACTAATGGGATCGGGTGGTCAGGCTCGCTGACTTGGTTGATGCATGTCATCGATCCCAATTGCGTGGATCGATGCTCATGATATTAATCACTGGATTGTCTGGTCCAAACACGATTATTTACAGACCGCCGTCATATAGCTGGAATATTGCTGAGTGGGGCGTTAAACAACAAGCAAACAAAACAAAACTTCTCTTCCAGCCGCCATATTGTATACCAGGGCTCCAGATAAGCTTTTGGTGTTGTGGGTATTTTACCCATGCATTTTAAAGTCATTGGGTATCAGTAATTCTATCTGGTTATTCAAATTTCTGTTACCCACTAGTTTCTACACATGTGGGTATTTAAGTTAAATATTTAAAAACACTATTCATCTAGTCACTGCAAACTGGTGTCGTGTGGGTTCGAGAGCTTTATAGGACTCAAAAATACCACAATACTTCCACAAGAAAGTGTGATGGCAAATGATCATGATGTAACTGTCATCGTGGAGTTTGGCAAGGTTGTTGACGGAATGCCTGTTTATAATTTCAAAATAAGTTGCTGATTTGCTAATATTTTGATGATACGCACAAGTTTAATTTTTGTAGCGTATCTGTAATGTTCGTTGCATATTTGATACGCTTGGATTTTATTTTACTGCATATTTCTGCATTGCTGATGCGTATTTTACGCAGATACGTAGCTTATCTGGAGCTCTGTATACATTTCGGTGAACACATGGATATGTTTCAGGTGGTCTTGTATTGTTACATATGCAATGATATGGGCATGAGATATGTTTCAGGTGGTCATGTATTGTTACATATGCAATGATATGGGCATGAGATATGTTTCAGGTGGTCATGTATTGTTACATATGCAATGATATGGGCATAAGATATGTTTCAGGTGGTCATGTATTGTTACATATGCAATGATATGGGCATGAAATATGTTTCAGGTGGTCATGTATTGTTACATATGCAATGATATGGGCATGAGATATGTTTCAGGTGGTCATGTATTGTAACATATGCAATGACATGGGCATAAGATATGTTTCAGGTGGTCATGTATTGTTACATATGCAATGATATGGGCATATGCAATGATATGGGCATGAGATATGTTTCAGGTGGTCATGTATTGTTACATATGCAATGATATGGGCATAAGATATGTTTTTATTGTCCATAGTTGATGTTTCAGGGATCCTTTGGGATATGTTTCAGTGATCACTTACTGACCCCATTGGATATATTTCAGTGCCCTTGTGATATGTTTCAGGGTATGAAACATAAAATTCTTATTGGAGGCAAAAACTAAATATATCCTGTGTTAAACTTAATGAGTTCACAAGATTGTCATCCATTCATGTTCCTGTTCCAGAGAGCAAATGTCCAACTCCTGGCTGTGATGGAACTGGGCATATAACAGGCCTGTACTCCCACCATAGAAGGTAACTAACCACTTGTATATCACAGGCCTGTATTCCCACCACAGAAGGTAACTAACCCCTTGTATATTACAGGCCTGTATTCCCACCATAGAAGGTAACTAACCCCTTGTATATCACAGGCCTGTACTCCCACCATAGAAGGTAACTAACCCCTTGTATATCATAGGCCTGTATTCCCACCATAGAAGGTAACTAACCCCTTGTATATCACAGGCCCTTATTCCCACCATAGAAGGTAACTAACCCTTTGTATATACAGGCCTGTATTCCCACCATAGAAGGTAACTAACCCCTTGTATATCACAGGCCTGTATTCCCACCGTAGACGGTAACTAACCACTTGTATATCATAGGCCTGTATTCCCACCGTAGACGGTAACTAACCACTTGTATATCATAGGCCTGTATTCCCACCGTAGACGGTAACTAACTACTTGTATATCATAGGCCTGTATTCCCACCGTAGACGGTAACTAACCACTTGTATATCACAGGCCTGTATTCCCACCGTAGACGGTAACTAACCACTTGTATATCATAGGCCTGTATTCCCACCATAGAAGGTAACTAACCCTTTGTATATACAGGCCTGTATTCCCACCGTAGACGGTAACTAACCACTTGTATATCATAGGCCTGTATTCCCACCATAGAAGGTAACTAACCCTTTGTATATACAGGCCTGTATTCCCACCGTAGACGGTAACTAACCCTTTGTTTATACAGGCCTGTATTCCCACCGTAGACGGTAACTAACCATTTGTATATCACAGGCCTGTATTCCCACCGTAGACGGTTACTAACCCCTTGTATATTATAAGCCTGTACTCCCACCATAGAAGGTAACTTAACCTGATTGTGTAATAATGGTCTAACTTGCTTATTTCAGTACAGATCTTGTTGACATGCTATTTCCAGTGTTACATGTCAGCAGTAATGTCTTTACACTGGGAAAAATAATCAAAACTCACTGGCTGCATGTATTGTGGGACCCCCCAAAACACCCTCTACCATATCTAGACAGCTGTATTTTTGTATATGATAAACGGTAACCATCCCCTCTGCTCTCAGAATGTTGTAGTTACCCGTGATGATCCGGGTTAGAATAGGTCTTAGTCTGTCATAGAGACCCTGTAACAAATATATCCAATACAGCCCATGCAAGTCTTGATTACTGCAGTATCTGAAAATGAAGAAAGTCTCTGGGCTCCTTTTTATTATATTTTATAACTATATGTTAACAACTGTTTTTTCTGTAAAATATGTTCATTTCAGAGACTAGATGTTAGTCTAAATAGGTCTGTGCAACCAATGCTTGTCGAAAGAGGCGACTAATGGGATCAGGTGGTCAGGCTTGCTGACTTGATTGATGCATGTCCTCATATGAGTCATATCCCAACTGCATGGATTGATGCTCATGATATCAATCACTGGATGGTCTGGTCCAGACTCGATTATTTACAGACCGCTGTCATACATCTGGAATATTGCTGAGGGAAACAGAATACTGTAGTAAAATAAGGGTTTCTGGACTGCCTATTTTAAAGCCTACAGCCAACTGTTGTTTCCCTTGCAGTTTATCAGGATGTCCGCGGAAAGACAAAGCAACTGCTGAACGTAAGTGGGACATTGACTGGCACAGATTGGTATTATTGACTCAAATAAGTAGATAATTTAATGTTCCGACATGGTGTGGACTGCCGGCGTGGTCTAGTCAATAGTGCATCTACCTGGGGAGCAGAAGGTTGGTGTTCAAACCCAAGCAGCTTCAAACCAAACGATAAAATATGGTACTTTTTATTTATAAGGGAAGGGAATGAACAAGGACTGGTCAGTTCAGTCTGTCTGTTTCTCAGTGGGCTAGCACTATAAAACTGTCATTTGTCTGGACTAGTACAATCAGCTACACATGTGTGTTGGTCACGGTATAAGTGCAATAATCTTGAACGCGACGTTAAGCCCTATTTCACCTCACATGCGGTAATGTCTGATGGAGGTAGACTGAAAGTTGATGTGTGTGATGCTGTGGTTGAAGACGTCACTGTAGATTCCTTTTCTCTGTTTCAGTCTTGGCCCTTCAGGATAATGTTCTCAGGTAAGTCAACAAACTTGAAATCTATAAGTATCTTATCTCGTGTCAAGTAGTTACCTTTGTAGCTATCCATTGGGATTTAGAATATGTCCCCCATAAAGCTAGGATTGGCGGTCCAGCTCAGTGACTTGGTTGAATGAAGGTCATCACACCCCACCTTTTGTGGGGATTGCTAATAATAATGTCATCACTGGTTTGTCTGGTCCAGTCTTGATTATTTACAGTCACCGTGTGACTGCAGCGTGAAACAAAACGTCTCAAGTAGTAGGGTACCTCAGTTATACATATATATGGCATTGCAGTGTGTGGATGATGTGGTACTGTGTCAACATGTTGCAATTGTTTCTCCCTGTTTCAGATGTCCCACACCGGGCTGCAACGGCCGTGGTCACATCAACAGCAACAGGAACTCACACCGCAGGTATGCAACATTTTCTTATTGAGAAGAAACACTGAATCAATAGAAGTGCCAAGAGTCACTTTTGGTGGTCTCCATTGAGGTGTTGACCTGTGGGTATTTCCACTTATAATAGAATTCTACTTTTTGTAAGAGCCATCTAAACTAGAGATTGGGTGGTTGAGCTTTCCTCGTGGTGTTGATCAATGTTCATGTCTGCAGTCACTGGTGTGACTGGTTCAGACTTGGTTATTTACAGACTACCATGATGAAATATTGCTGACTTCAGCATTTAACAACATTCACTCACTCACCACACTAGTGTCCTGTCAAGTGTATACTAGTTTAGTGTCATGAGTAACCAGAAATTAGTGTCATGATGTGTTCCATTGCCTTCTGTCAGTGTGTTCCGTAGGGTTCTGTCAGTGTTGCCTGTTGGTTGCAGTTTGTCAGGGTGCCCTATTGCTGCCATGGGGAAGCTGATTAACACCCAGAACCAGAAGAAGCAAGGTATTGTCAATCTGTACACCACATCACTTTGAGCTCTATTAATCATTTGCAATTACTTACAATTCAATTGCTACTAACCGATTAATCTTTACCATTTCAACAAAACTAAAAATGTCAACATTTCATGTTATATTTGTTTATCAAAAACCGTTTTGTTTGTGAATGTGTACAATGACAGCTGATAGCTTGGTCCAGCATCAAGCAGCATCCACCTTGTACATGACCTTGAACTGGCTTCCTGGCAAGTCCCCCTTGTACCTCTGTCCCTCCTCCCACCTTTGCCCTTCCACCTACATTTACTTGCAACTTATGCTCTCCTCCACATAGCGCAGACTTAGTGGTGAGTACTGTGTTCTGACTTCATTTCATGCTCTGTTTACTGCCATTGTGAGCTGCATGAGATCTGGAAGACTCTGTTAGTAGCCAACAGATATGTTACAGCCAGCCCAACAGGGGGATCTACAGAAGGCTTGGGCTGTGATGGTAACACGCCCAGTGCATTTCCAGGCGAAGACAGGCTACAGGCACCTACACAGACATTAGTTGGGACAGAGCCGCCAATCACCCCATCTCCAGGGGGTCTCACTGAAGGTTAGAATACAACAGCTCTTCTTGTGCATGTCCAAGTGATATATGTGACCTGCCCCTCTACTGCCCTCCTGACTGTCTGTCCTCTGTCTGTCTCTCTCTCCTCTGTCTGTGCTCTGCTTCTCTTTGTGTATTTAGTTGTATGCTTTTCTGTTTTGTTGTTCCCTCTGTGGACTTGCCAGAAACATTTATGGTGGTGAAGGCAGTGCGGACCAAGTTAGCAGCTGCTTGACATGCTCATTGGCAAGTTGAGCTTTGGTCATGTGACTTGTTTCCTTGTGGCAGGACTCCACCTGGTGGTGCTCCCGAAGAACGGCGACCCAAACCGAGCCGTGCTGGCGGCATGCAGTGAATCTGAGCTGATCAAGATTGCAGCCAAGCAGTACTGTGACACTGGTCCGTACCTACACGTTTCTCTCTCACCTTTCTCCGTTAGCTTTCAGTTCCGGTGTCAGCTATTGTGGGGCCAACTTTTATGTTGCTGCCATGCTCCCTCTCTCAGTACATTCAGTTGCTCACATTATTGTCTTCTCATGTGTCAGTGTTGTTGCTCACACAGTTGATTTTTTTTCTAGATCTATATAATGATATATATATATATATGTGTATGTGTACATAATTTATATATTTCTATACATATTTAAAAAAAACATATTTTGGTGTATCTTTGTAAAATTCTACCCAGTATATCTCCCACCTTGTATCACCTGACCCATATCTCCCGCCTTGTATCACCTGACCCATGTCTCCCACCTTGTATCACCTGACCCATATCTCCCACCTTGTATCACCTGACCCATATCTCCTACCTTGTATCACCTGACCCATATCTCCCACCTTGTATCACCTGACCCATATCTCCCACCTTGTATCACCTGACCCATATCTCCCACCTTGTATCACCTGACCCATATCTCCCACCTTGTATCACCTGACCCATATGTTCCACCTTGTATCACCTGACCCATATCTCAGATCTAATATCATCTGACCCATATCTCACACCTCCTATCATCTGACCCATATCTCACACCTCATATCACCTGACCTTTATCTCACACCCAATTTCACCTGACCCATATCTCACACCTAATATCATCTGACCCATATCTCATCTCGTATCACCTGACCAATATCTGCCACCTAATATCCCCTGACCAATATCTGCCACCTAATATCACCTGACCCATGTCTCCCACCTTGTATCACCTGATGCATATTTTCCACCTTGTATCATCTGACCCATAGCAACCACTTTGTATCACTGACCAATATCTCCCACCTAATATCATCTGACTCATATCTCACACCTCCTATCATCTGACCCATATCTCCTACCTCGTATCACCTGATCCATATCAACCACCTTGTATCATCTGACCCATAGCAACCACTTTGTATCACTGACCAATATCTCCCACCTAATATCATCTGACTCATATCTCACACCTCCTATCATCTGACCCATATCTCCTACCTCGTATCACCTGATCCATATCAACCACCTTGTATCATCTGACCCATAGCAACCACTTTGTATCACTGACCAATATCTCCCACCTAATATCATCTGACCCATATCTCACACCTCGTATCACCTGACCTTTATCTCCCACCTAATATCACCTGACCTATATCTTACACTTCATATCATCTGACCCCTATCTCCCACTTCATATCATCTGACCCATATCTCATACCTCCTATCATCTGACCCATATCTCATACCTATCATCTCACCCATATCTCACACCTAATATCACCTGACCCATATCTTACAATTCGTATCATCTGACCCATATCTTCCACCTCCTATCATCTGACCCATATCACATACCTCCTATCATCTGACCCATATCTCACACCTATCATCTCACCCATATCTCACACCTAATATCATCTGACCCATATCTCACACCTCCTATCATCTGACCCATGTCTCACACCTAATATCACCTGACCCATGTCTCCCACCTCGTATCACCTGACCCATATCTCCCACCTTGTATCTGTACCTCCTCCATCTCCCATCTTGTGTTATTTTCCTTAATAATAGAGTGATTGGTTAAAAAAGTACAAGGTTCCTTCAATGTTAGTTGAGGTAAAAAAAACATTGTACTTTTAAGGGAATGACAAGTCTAAGGATTACATCCCATACCTTATGGCCATAATTTAAGTGTTTTTTCTTGAAGGAAAGACAACAAATCTAAATTATTATTTTTCCCACATTTGTAAAATTTGAGGGTTAGTGATCAGTAAACCCAGTAATTAAAATTAATATAAAGGGACCAAGAATAGCCCGGAACTTATGTTATCCCAATTTATTTTGACCGTAAATTGGTTATGTTGTTTCTTTATGATATTTCTTTTCTGTGCACAGGTTGTGATCGTGTCCTTCGACCAATGATTCTAACGAAGCAGCTGGACCTCAACACATTTGACTACCCACCTGTGGTTTCTACGACAACGCCCCGTAACAATCTAGCCAAGGAGCTGGAGAAGTACAACCGACCAACTACTGATGTTGGTCAGTCAGCAGCCAAAGCAGCTCACAAACCCAAGCCTGTCCCTAAAATCAAAGACACTGCCCCTGACAGGCCCAATATTCTGAGCCGACGCCCTCACTATAAGCCCCAGTACAGGTACGACCCCAGTCGGCCGACCTCAACAGCTTCAACAACTGTGCCAGTGCCATCGCCAAGTGCACTGACAGTGTCTGCTTCACTGAACCTGGGCAAGGGAGGGAGTGGGGCAGTGCAGACAGTAGATCTCAACATGCCCGTCACGGCCCAGCTAGCAGCCCAGAGGCCTGCTGCCACTGCTAGTGCAAGCTTGCTCCTGGCTGGGCGGGGCACAGCGCTGAATATCCCCCAGCCAAGTGTCAGCAAGGCTGTGAGTCTCAGCTCAACACATGTGACAGCAGTCACCCACAGCATTGCCCCTATACAGCAGGCACCTGCCATCACACACAACATCAGCAACATCAGTAACATCAACATCACCACCTTGAACAACGTCACCTCCAACACTACCTACCAAGAGAACGGTTGCATCACGGCTGCTCCAAGCAATGGGTAGGTTGCACTGACTCTCTGTCCTAATACCAGGCAGCTTGACGGGTTCTGGTCAGTTGAATGGTAGACTCACTGCCCGCTGGCCACTGTGGTCCCTCGAGCCTGCTGGTCAGGTGACAGGCAGCACCCGCAGTTGGCTCTGCACCCAGAGGGTCACGTTGAGAGAACCAGTACTTGGACAACTGCAAGGCATCACTGGTGGAGTTATGTGACAGACTCAATGAATATGTTCCATACCTTCTGTGTTACAGATTGTGAACTTGTACTATAAAATATTTGAATAAATGAGATCATTTTATGTGAACTGTATTGAACTGTTTTCAGTGAAAATTAAAGAAACTTGTTTGATTAAACGGTATTTTTCTTGACTTTAGCATGAACAGCACGCAACCCTACAATTTATTCGTGTGAAATAACAGCAATGAATGAGCATGAAGTTAGTGCTTAGGACTCCAAGCCCACCCCTCCCAAACCCCACCCACCCGTATTAACCTGATCTCTCTCTTCTGACGCAGCACGCACTCCGAACCCGACCTGACACTGCTCACTCAGCCTCTCTCCCCCAAAGTGCGGGAGGGACGTGAGCTTCTCACATGCCCGACGCCTGGTTGTGATGGATCTGGTCATGTGACTGGAAATTATTCCTCTCACCGCAGTCTTTCAGGCTGCCCATTGGCTGACCGAGCTATGGTACAGGCCAATCAGGTGGAGCAGAAGTAAGTGATCCTACGTAGGCTGCAGATACAAGCTCTCCTCGTCACTCACACACTCGTTTGGCCGTCTGTCACTCTTCAGTTTGTTTTTGGTTTTAATTTCGCATTTTGATGTTTTCTTTTGTTCAGCATTCTTTTGGTTTTGCATGATTCGATGTCCTATTTTCAGCTTTGGTATCACCATTTTGAGTTTTGCATGCATTCATACAGGTGTCTACAGTGGATCAAACATCTTCCTATGAAATGACCTTGACCTTTCTGCCAGGGAGACCTTGACCTGTTACAAGTTGAACTGTATCACTGTATACATCTGTTTTTGTTGTCAGTTTTTGTTACCATTTGATTTAGTGTTTATTTGTTTTCTAATTTTTTGTTTTTCTTTCTATTTTTGTGTTAACCAGTATTATTTGTTGCAGTTTCTATAGTTTCCTATGTCATTGTTTGTGGTACTGTGTGAGAGAGCACCTGCCGTCCGGCTGGTGCACAAAACAAGTAGGTCTTGTTTCTACTTATTCCTAACTCCTAGATTTAGTCTATGATGTTGCATGGCTATGTAATTTACCATTAGTGTTCAAGAGAGTGTACATACATATCATTGTGATTTGTGCCCAAACCATGGCCAAGAATGACTTTATGCACATTTTGTGATATAGACCCGTTGATTTGTTATATTTGTGTTGTATGTGTATTGTATGTCCCCAGCATGAGCTCCAGGCTCTAGTGGGTGTATGTTGGGACAGTGGTAGGGGCTGCATATAGCCACCAGTGTTGGAACATGTACAGCCTTTGCAACACTGTGTACTTACAGGCTCACCAGAATCAAGGCTTCACAAAACACTAGAGTTGTCACTGAAATCTTATCTGTTCCACTGCTGGTCATTGCCGTCAGTCACGACAACTCATTGTGTTCTTTGTTATGACCATTAAGAGAGGCAGGCATAAGAGAAAGTATTTCTGGTTGTACTCTGGTGAGAGTTAGATTATTGTTTAAGTCCGAAGTAAGGTTTTCAGTAAGTTGTGACCAATCCAAAATGGCTGACTGGAAATCAAGATGTTATGGAACTGGTGAGCCTCCCGCATCTCTCCCTGCCGGCATGCTCCAGTGTTATTCTCTGTTGTAAGCTTCACTTTGTTGATGAGGCATCATATAATCCAGGCCACAGGGTAAGGGGGTCCAATCATCACGTGATCTGCTTTCACTGCGCAGTGTTAACCACTTTAGTGCCCAGGATCCGATCTCATGGGTTCCAATCCCAGATTTGTACTGATTATGATCCATGTCAGCACCAAAGTGGTTAATGTTCTGCATCACACCAGCTTTCCTCCACATTAAGGTAACATGCCATTCTGAAATGAAACACTTTCAAGAAAGGTGTTAAAACCAATTCACTCTCTCACTTAGATATGTGATCAGGGATAGATTGTGAAACCGATGTCAGGGAGGGATTGCAATACCGATATCTTCTGGGTTAAAGGGTGATACCTATATCTTCAGGGTTAAATGGTGAAACATGTGTTTTAAGATAGATTGGGGAACAAAAATCACCATGGACACATCAGGATACCAATATCAGCAATAGATCATGTACTTGTACCTTTTTAGCTCACCTTTCTGAAAGTCAAGTGAGCTTATGGCGTGGCCTGTTTTACATCATCTGTTGTTTGTTGTAAACATTTTCTAAAAAAACAAACTGGACCGATGAAGCTGAAACTTCACATAATTGTTCCCACTAATGATTACCCCTGATTTTGTTCAAGAAGTTTGAATCGGATTTTCAATATGTCAGCCGTTTTGAACAAAATCTTTGTGGCCATTACTTGTCCATTTTTGTTAAAAATATAATGAAATTTGGTTGTTGTGTAGTTAGCATGGTTAGTGTTGGGTGTCAACACATATTTACGACCATGCTCGCAAATTCTCACAAAATTTCCTCTCACTGTAAACATCATCCCCTCAGAAATCACAGGACCGATGAAGCTGAAAGTTCCCATGATTGTTCCCACCAATGATGACACCTGAATTTGTAAACGGTTCAGATCTGTTTTGCAGTATGGATACCATGCCAGCAACAGTGAAAATCTATTTATGGCAGTTACTCAGTTATTTTTGCTGCAAATTGAACAAAATGTGATACATGTAGTTATTAGTGGTGCTCAACACATGTGATCTGTTTATCACGACATTGTTTATTTTCACATTGAACTGATCTATACACGTTGACCATTCTGAAACTGAAACTTCTTATGGCCATTTCTGTTTTATGTTTGTGCAAAATGTAATGAAATTTGGTACATGTGTAGTTCGTTCGTTCCCTCAAAATGCCCATATGCCTCTGTAAACTTGTCTGAAATTGCCGGACCTGAAGGAGCTGAAAATTGGCATGTATTTTTTTCTGATGATGACAGTATATTTTCTCAAACTATTAAGTGTTTAGTATTTATGCAGAAAATATTTGAATATCATTGGTGATGCAACTTTTGTTCTGTGGTTGTCTTTGTTTTTGAAACTGATGACTACATATTAAGGTGAGCTACAATGCAATGGCACTATCTTGATATGAAGTATTTTAACTGTCTTGCCATCAAGTGATCAAGTCATGCTTATGTATTGATACTAGTGTAAGGGAAGTATATAATCATTTATACATCTAAAAGGGTGTTAAGGGCCATCAAAATCTTTCATGTTACTATAGTTATTATGAAAATATTGGGTTGTCCTTAATTAGTAAGTATCAGTAAGGAGTAGTATCGTTGCAAACCCTCCATGAGAATCGGATCAGATGACGATCAATGCTAAGCTTGCCTTACTAGATTTCCCATCTATCCCAAAGAAAAAAATTCGAGTCCTATGCCCCCTCCCTTATAGTCTGATGAGTGCAGTGGTACCCTGCCCCACACTATGATCACCTTCTCATGTCTTCTCTGTGTCAACAATAACAGGTGCCCCACTCCTGGCTGTGACGGCTCAGGTCATGTGACCGGCAATTATGCGTCACACCGGAGTCTGTCGGGGTGCCCGCGGGCGGCCAAGTTCAAGAAGACACTCGGATGCAAGGAAGGCGAGAAGAAAGAAATGGACGAACCACTTCGGTGAGCATTTTCTGTTTATCATGTCAGAGTAGTCACCACCTCAATATTCCTGAGCCCATAGCAGGAATTTGCTGATACATCATTACCATATATTCTGTTTTTACATCTCAGCACTTGGGCTGCAGCTATACACCTTCACAATACAATGCCAACATGATGTAATGAAGGGTAAAATACACTATGCTGCAACAGCTTTTAACAAATTAGAAACAAAAGCGTTTTGAATATGTTGGACAGTGACCAAATTGGTATCCAGCTGTTGAAGAAATGTTTGGAAATGTTTGAAATCGTCATGTATGGTATTGTGAATCAAAGTATTGTGATGCCTAGATGAATTGTTCCACCCTTCTCTGCATACAGGACTGAACACTCCAGTCTAGAGCTGCATGGGAGGCTGGAGTCTTGGCCTTGTGAAATATCACTAAAGTAGGGGTCTGTTAGAACAGTAATCTCCTTGATTATGCAATGTATCTATTATCAAACATACCTTGGACCCATTTGCCACCACAGATTTTTGAGTCGAGTTTGAATGGTACAATAAATAAATTTAAACTTAGAAGGAAACAATATAAGTCTTCAACCGATCTCAAGGTGTACATGGTGTGATATACCCTGTGTGTGAGCCTGTGTACCCTGAGCCGTCAGGCGTCACACCATGTGCCTGAGGGTTTGGTTGACAACAAATATATCATTCATTTATTCATACAGACCCGGAATAGATGTCCAAAGTTTCACCGAGTGAAAAGCTTTGATTCAACCGTTTTGACAGCTGGCAGACGATGCAAATGAAGAGTTACTTCCCTTTACCCCCATTTATTCGGATAAACATTGGTTCATTTCATTAAACGATACTTATGGGAGAAAAGCAACTTACCTAAGGCAGGTTCTGGTTGATTTCTCAGTGGGGTACAATTATTTTCCATGTTGCCCACTCCTTAACCAATGAGAAGCTAGTATTTAATGTGGGATAACGGGCAATATCACCAGGACTCAACTCAACGTTCCGTCTCACAACAGGCCTTCCCTTGAGAACATCTTTTCAGCCAAAAACTATGACAGACATTGTTTTTGATTAGATCTATCGTAGCTCCTTCAGTGAATGTAGGTCTGTCGACATTTTGATTGGTTGTTGATAAGTAAGTGACAGATGTCACTTCCAAAATGAGACTAGTGGCAAATGAGTCCAGGTCACCATGGCTGTATGTTCAGAGCTACAGATAAGCAGCCTTTTTGACTAAAATACCCCGCCCCCAATATTCAAAACCCAGTTACTTTCAATTAACTTGCTACAGAAACGCATGCATTAAATGAAAAACTCAAATGCATTAAAAGAGCCCGCGTAAATTCCCAATGAAGCTCTTTCAGCATGAAAACAAAGGAGCTAATTTCCGAAACACAATTACTAGCTAATTTACTTTCCAGGTCAAGCCTATATATTAAGAACAGTTATGTACATCTTAAACATTATTCAGTTTTTTTTAATCTTAAAATGTTCCCTAATTTGGGGAAAAAGAACATAGTGATGAATAGATGAGTGAAAAAATATTGGTTACCCAATGAAAAATATAATAACCCAATTAAAATAGAAACCCTGGAGTAAAAGCTCAATTGCTCAAAAAGTTATCTGGAGCTCTGATGTTTACACAATAGAGTGGAGGTATGATACAGTGGTAATTGGAGGATGGCTCAGGAGCTGCTGTGTGTGAATTCTGTTTGGATGGGTGAGCACGAGGAACACCAACTTGCACTTGTGACCATTCTGATTCTATACCCAGATGGTGTGGATCGTTGCTAATATCAACCTCTTGTTTGTAAAGGACAGGTTTCATTGGTTGTATGCTGTTGGGGTATTGATGGTATATGTAACTTGCTTAGCTAATGTTAATTATATATGTCTATATATGTACATAGTAATGAATAAAAAATATAGAATTGAGTAAAAGCTACTGCTCTGGCACTCATACAGTTTTGTGGAAGCTATTACTATTGAACAACATGAATAACAAGATGGAACATGATGCCCTCCAAGATTGTTGATGTTTTAATTTCCAATGGTCTTTGGAAATTTGATCCGGATAATATTTTCATGTCGCAATTTAGGGGATGTGAATTAGTTGCAAGTTGTTGGAGATGTGAATACCCTTACATCAGTCATGCACCTCTGTGTGTGGGGTGAAGGGGAGTAAGGTGGATGTTGGGTCAATGTATGTATGTGTATTGAGTCTGGGTGTCGGTGAATGTATGTATGTGTGTTGTGTCTGGGTGTGGGTGAATGTATGTATGTGTATTGAGTCTGGGTGTGGGTCAATGTATGTATGTGTATAAGGTGTGGGTCAATGTATGTATGTGTATAAGGTGTGGGTCAATGTATGTATATGGGTTGTGTTGTGTCTGGGTGTGGGTGAATGTATGTATGTGTATTGAGTCTGGGTGTGGGTGAATCTATGTAAGTGTATTGAGTCTGGGTGTGGGTGAATGTATGTATGTGTGTTGTGTCTGGGTGTGGGTGAGTGTGGGTATTTGTATTGAGTCTGGGTGTGGGTGAGTGTGGGTATTTGTATTGAGTCTGGGTGTGGTGTAGAGCCTGTTTACAAAACCTGCTGTTGCGTTGTAGATGCCCTGTGCCAGGGTGTGACGGGTCTGGTCATGTGACAGGCAAATATCTCTCTCATCGCAGGTACTGGTTGGTTGGTGTTGTGGTTGTCCCACACGGCATGGTTTAGTTCCTGTCTGCAGACAACTCCGTTTACTGTCGTGTTTGTGTTTCTGTGTCCACACTGGGTCCCCTGATGGTTGCCTCATTCAAATTCTCTCTGTGCAGTTACTGTTGTGTGGTACCGCTGTTTTCAGTTCTGTTTATGCACACTATGATGAACGTGAGTCCCACCGTGCTGTTATGATAGATTTACTGCACCTTGGTGTCTGAATATTACTAAATTTATTTTAGTTTCATACAGAAAGTATATTGTGTCAATAGTGTAGTGTGTAGGATTCTTCTTTTAATTCTATCAACCCTTAACCACAAAGTCCATCATCACCTGACTCCTCCCCAAGCCTATCACCTCATGACTCCTCTCACTAGCCCATCACCTCATGACTCCTCCTCCTGCCCATCACCTCATGACTCCTCCTCCTGCCCATCACCTCATGACTCCTCCCCAAGCCCATCACCTCATGACTCCACCCACTAGCCCATCACATTGTGACTCCTCCCACTAGCCCATCATCTCATGACTCCTCCCCCTGCTCATCACCGCATGACTCCTCTTCCTGCCCATCACCCCCTGACTCCTCCCACTGGCCCATCATCTCATGACTCCTCCAACTAGCCCATCACCTCATGACTCCTCCCCTGCCCATCACCTCCTGACTCCTCCCCTGCCCATCACCTCCTAGATCTCCCCAGACCACACCTCCTGACTCCTCCCCCAGCCAATTACCTCCTGACTCCTCCCACTAGCCCATCAGCTCATGACTCCTCCCCAAGCGCATCACCTCATGACTCCACCCACTAGCCCATCACCTACTCCTCTCCCTAACCATCTGACTCTCCCTCTTGACTCCTCTCCCTACCCATTACCTCATGACTTCTCCCCTGCCCATCACCTCCTGACTTGCCCTACCCATCACCTAATGACTCCTCCCACTAGCCCATCACCTCATGACTCCTTGTCCTACCCATAACCTCCTGACTCCTCCCCTACCCATCACCTCCTAGATCTCCCCAGACCACACCTCCTGACCCCTCCCCCAACCATTCACCTCTTGACTCCTCCCACTAGCCCATCAACTCATTACTCCTCCCCCTGCCCATCACTTCCTGATTCCTCCCCCTGCCCATCACATCCTGATTCCTTCCAAGGCCCGAGACTATCTGATTTCAGCCCTCTGTTCATCAACAACACTAACAACACCCCCCTGTTCATCAACAACACCTGACAACAACCCCCTGTCCATCAAGAACACCTGACAACACCCCTCTGTCCATCATCACCCCCCAACAACTCCCCTCTGTACATCATCACTCCCCGACAACACCTCTGTCCACCATCACACACACACACACCCCGACAACACACCTGTGGTCATCATCACACACCCCCCCCCCCCCCCCCCCCCCCAACAATACCCCCCTGTTTATAAACAACACCTGACAACACCCCTCTGTTCATCATCATCATCATCACCTAACAACACCCCTCTGTTCATCATCACCCCCGACAACACCCCTTTGTTCATCACCACCTGACAAAACCCCTCTGTTCATCATCACCTGACAACACCCCTTTATTCATCATCACCTCCGACAACACCCCTCTGTTCATCATCACCCCCGACAACACCCCTTTGTTCATCATCACCTGACAACACCCCTTTGTTCATCATCACCTGACAACACCCCTCTGTTCATCATCACCTCCGACAACACCCCTCTGTTCATCATCACCCCCAGACAACACCCCTCTGTTCATCATCACCCCCGACAACACCCCTCTGTTCATCATCACCCCCGACAACACCCCTCTGTTTATCATCACCCCCAACAACACTACCCTATACATAAACAACACCTGACAACATCCCTCTGTTCATCATCATCACCTAACAACACCCCTCTGTTCATAATCACCTGACAATACCCCTCTGTTCATCATCACCCCCCAACAACAGCCCCCTGTCCATCAACAACACCTGACAACACCCCTCTGTTCATCATCATCATCACCTAACAACACCCCTCTGTTCATCATCACCTGACAACACCCCTCTGTTCATCATCAACCCGACAACACCCCTTTGTTCATAATCACCTGACAATACCCCTCTGTTCATCATCACCCCCCAACAACAGCCCCCTGTCCATCAACAACACCTAACAACACCCCTCTGTTCATCATCACCTGACAACACCCCTCTGTTCATCATAAACCCCTGACAACACCCCTCTGTTCATCATCACCCCCAACAACACCCCTCTGTTCATCATCACCCGACAACACCCCTCTGTTCATCATCACCCCCAACAACACCCCTCTGTTCATCATCACCCCCAACAACACTACCCTATACATCAACAACCCCTGACTACTCTCCTGTTCATTATAAAAACCACATGACTCCTCACCCTATTCATCATCATCACATGACCCCTCCCTCTATCTGCCACCACCAGCAACAACACCACCCTATACATCAACAACACCCCCAACAACACCACCCTATACATCAACAACACCTAACTACTCTCCTCTGTTCATTATAAAAACCACATGACTCCTCACCTCACTCCTCCGCCACCACCAGACTCAAGAGAAAGTGTGTTTTTGATGACTGATGGTAATGTTATATGAATGATATTTGTCTTATCTACTAAACAATATGCTGAAGAAACCTGGCTGTCATGGCTGTTGTGTTGATAGATTCTGTTAATGAGTTCTGGAATTTCATAGCTGGTACATACAACTTTTATAAATTTTGAGGAGTAGAGTATTTACTGGCAAAATGGAGGTGCATCAAGTGTCTATGATTTATTTTTTATTATTATTTTAGTATTTGTTTCTGTAGTTAGGGTTGTGACAAGCCCTCTTTTTGCATGTTTCAGTGCTTCAGGATGCCCAATTGCTAACCGCCACAAGGTGCCACCACCAAGGCCGATGCTGCCGGGGATTGAGAACCAGGACCCACTGCTCATGATGGAAAAAACAAATAATTGCATTAAGATGGATATAAGGTAATCCTATTTCCTAACCTGTGAAGATTGGGTTAGAATGGGTGTTCAGCAACCCATGCTTGTCGTAAGAGGCAACTAAAGGGATCGGGTGGTCAGGCTAACTGACTTGGTTGATGCATATCATCTTATCCCAATTGTGCATATCGGTGCTCATGATATTAATCACTGGAATGTATGGACAAGACTTCACTATAGCTTGTATATATCAGTACCGCTGACAATAAAGATTATTGCTCACTCAACACACACCACTGCTCACAGAGCTCAGACCATTGCTCACACAACACAGACTGCTGTTCACACTGCAAAAACCATTGCTCACAGAGCACAGGCGGATGCTCACACAACACAGACCGCTGTTCACACTGCAAAGACTATTGCTCACACAACACAGACCGCTGTTCACACTGCAAAGACCATTGCTCACAGAGCACAGGCGGATGCTCACACAACACAGACCGCTGTTCACACTGCAAAGACTATTGCTCACACAACACAGACCGCTGTTCACACTGCAAAGACCATTGCTCACAGAGCACAGGCGGATGCTCACACAACACAGAGCATTGCTCACACAACACAGACCGCTGTTCACACTGCAAAGACCATTGCTCACAGAGCACAGGCGGATGCTCACACAACACAGACCGCTGTTCACACTGCAAAGACTATTGCTCACAGAGCACAGGCGGATGCTCACACAACACAGACCGCTGTTCACACTGCAAAGACCATTGCTCACAGAGCACAGGCAGATGCTCACACAACACAGACCGCTGTTCACACTGCAAAGACTATTGCTCACACAACACAGACCGCTGATCACACTGCGAAGACTATTGTTCACACAACACAGACCGCTGTTCACACTGCAAAGACCATTGGTCACACAACACAGGCGGATGCTCACACAACACAGAGCATTGCTCACACAACACAGACCGCTGTTCACACTGCAAAGACTATTGTTCACACAACACAGACCGCTGTTCACACTGCAATGACCATTGCTCCCACAACACATATCAATGTTCACACAGCACACAGATCAGTGGTCCAGCTTGATTACTGTCATGACTATGGTTATATGAAAACATAGGGTGTTCTTTAACCTCCTTTAAGTCGTATACATTGCTCTATGATACATTGCAGCTGTCCCACCTTGGGCTGTGATGGCTCTGGTCACTCCAACGGCAGCTTCCTCTCCCACCGCAGCTTATCCGGCTGTCCCCGTGCCACCCTCGCCATGAAGAAGGCTCGCCTCACCCCCCAGGAGCTCTCCATGCTGCAGCACAAGATCGCTCTCGGAGAAGGTAACATGTCTGCTACTTGCTAGAGGTCCACAAAGTGTGCATTTCCATTAAAGATTCTCTTTTCAGCAAATTAAATGTGATCTTAAGAGACTAGCTACCCTGGAAAGAGTGGGTTACATTTTATGTTGTTTCATGTGAGTGTTCATATACATCCGTGGGGATTCAAGGTTAATAGGTACCCAGTAAATATGCTGTGGATTTGGTGGTCATGCTTGGTTGGCTGTCATTATACCACCAATGTTGCTCTTGATAACACCCACTGATGTGTCTGGTTGAAACTTAATTATTTACAGGCCACTGTCATGTAGCTTAAATATCAAAACCACTCGCCTAACCATGAAGCAAGTTGTACCACAGGGCAGTCAGTACCATCGCAGGAATGTGCATATGAGCCTGTTGCCATGGACAGATAATATTCACATGTATTCTGTTTTTGTTTAGTGGACTTGGACACTGATGAGGAACTACGCCAACTTGATGAGGAGATTGAGATGTTGAAGTCAACGACAATCTCCTCGGAGCTGCAGATGACGAAGCTGCGAGCGGAGGTGACCTGTCTGGAGACTCGGCTGCACCAGAAAGAGGCGGAGAACGAGCTGCTGGATGACAAGAGCCACAGCATGCAGGAGTACCTGGCCTCACTCCGCAACAAGGTGGTCACATGTCTGCAGCGAGTGCCCCTCCCACCCCCCATGGAGCCGGTCTGTGATGACACACTTGATCTCTACATCGGCAAGATTCAGGATCTAGTAGCAGAACGTAATGGGGACTCTAATCTCTTGTTTAGTGCAATCAAAGCAGCCATGGCAGAGATAGAAGTGTGAATAGATGCTGTTTGCTTCTACTTGACGCAGCTAGCCTCCAGCCAGCTGTATACTGCATTGCAGTCTGCATAGTGCTGACTCGTCTTACTCAGCTGCTAGGTTCATCATTGACAGTGCTGTTCCACAGAGACAGAAGAACATTTGAGCATCTTGTCAGTCTTGGACGATGACGAGATATAACATGAAAGAAACATGACTAGAATTGTTATGAGAGAAGCAGTCTCAGTGATTTCACAAATTGAAAGAGCATTCGTGATTGTGTTGCATACATAGACAGTCTGTGGGCTGAAGAACAATCTGATTCTGTTGTAGGTGATGGTGAACAGACAGATAAACAGACATTCAGCTTTGTAGTGAATGTTCATTGGTGCTTGTAGGTCGCATCACCAGCACTGCACCATCTTTGTTACATATCCTGTGGCTGTATAAACACACATTGTGACATAGGTCAGGGGAGACAACTCTCCTGGGAAGACAAGAAACATATCATTGTTAAGTTATTATTTATGACATTGTTTTAATTTATGTCATTGTTTTAATTTATGTAATGTACGACATTCCTGTACATTTCAGTCATTCCATGTGTTCCTGTATTTATTCCTAACTTATTTCCTTGTTGAAAGTTGGAGCCATGTATACACTCTATACACTTGTTGATATTTGTACTCAACATTTCCCAAACTATTTATATGTTTTTTTCATGCTTTTTCCAAACAAAGCAATATGACTACGTACTAAAGTTCTGCTTGTGCTCATACTTAGATACAACTGATTGACCATGACCTTTTGACAAAGTCAAGGGCATAAGAATCACACAGCTTCCTGTCAGTACAAATGCTTGGGTCACTTGCTTTGATTGGAAAGAGTTGTCTACATGAGAACTTATTTTATTCCATTGTCACCGATGTTTGTTCCTAGTCTATGGACTTGTCATGCGTTTTTATGTCTTTTTCCCTTAAAGCCATTCTAGGTTTATTATTTACTTATGTGCAATATGGTATTTTCACAGCTTTTTTACTCCAGATCTTTTTGGATCTGTGTAGAGCGTTTTAACCTTTTATAAGAAGCTATGTTTATGTGGACTTGAGTGTGTTTGTTGTGGCGGCTCCCTTGGTTCACGGCGGCCGGAACATCGCACGCTCCCTCACAGCCTGCTTGCTGTCCGCCCCACAAAATCACACACGTGGAGAATTGCTAATAAAACATATACTGCCAACTTAAAGTGTCTCTTTTATGTAGTGTTGTCAGCTTCTGAAAAAACTGGCATCATTAATCACCAGGAACAAGGTATCCGACTCCGTGTGCTCATAACAACGCTGCAGCTAAACTATGGCTGGGTGTCCAGACCAAGGTCAAACTTGTGACTTTCTGCAGTCAACCCACTAGTCCCAAGCCTAAGCCTAGTTTTGTTCTGTACGCTCAGTTAAAAGTCCTTGCTGTTTCTGTGTGATGAACAAGTACACTATCCACTAGACCCCAAGCCCAGAAACTAGGATAGTATAGAGCAAGTTGATTTATTCATGCATCTTCACGGTATCTAAAACATGGGTTGTATGTCGAGATTCTCCTGGGTTCACAATGACAATTAACAATGCTGGGCAGTCGGGTATCCTAGTGGTTAAAGCGTTCGCTCGTCATGCCGAAGACAAGGGTTCGATTCCCGACATGGGTACAATGTGTGAAGCCCATTTCTGGTGTCCCCTGACGTGATGTTGCTGGAATATTGTTAAAAGTGGCGTAAAATCAAACTCACTCACTCACTAAACAATGCTACTTTACACTGGGAAGCATAAGTGATCAGGTATGATGCTGTTATCTGCAGTTCTGGGCTGGTCATGTTGATCCCTGGTAAAGTACAATATTATGTCAATTGCTGTGATATTGCTAAAAGTAAAAGTAGAATGGAAGTTTACTTTATAATGTCCAAGGTAAATTTAGCACCCAATAAATTCTTCAAAGCATACACTTGCTAAGGAATATTCAATCACAAGCTTTTATGGACTCTTTTTATATGCCAGTAAATCTGTACTGGAAATGTTTGGGTTAAGATTCATGCCTTCTCCAGATTTATGGTGGTATGTCTTGCTATGTGCCATACAAGGAAATGAGTGTTTTGTTTGTTGTTTGAAACCACACTCGTCAATATTCCAGATATATGACAGCGGTCTGTAAATAATCCAGTCTGGATCAGACAATCCAGTGATTGATATCATGAGCATAGATCTACATAATTTGGATACGATGACATGCATCAATCAAGTCAGCAAGTCTGACAACCCAGTCCTGTTGGCGGCCTCTTATCACAAGCATAGTCACCAGTTACGGCAAGCATGGATTACTGGAGACCTATTCTAACCCCGATCTTCATGGGTCAGAAAATGAGTTAATAATCACTGTGATACAACACCCATATCACTCCAGAAGATAACCTGATACACCTTCGTAAAACAGCAGCCTTATCATTGAGTGGTATTCATCAATAAAGCTGAACAAAACAGCATTAAATTTTGACAAAGCTTCCTGCCAGAAATGACTGGAATCACCAAACTGTAGTACAGAACAAGGTTTGTAGGTGGAATTTGTGACACAAGTACACTTCCATGTTTTATTTAATGTGATATTGATAAGAAAAGTATTTTTCTTGTTTTCATGCATTGTTGGGAAAGGGGTCATCTATTTCACAGTTGCACCAAAGAATGTTTTTCGTTCTCCCAGGATGTTCGAACATTATTATCATAAAGTGCCAAGCGTGTAGATGTTTGTTTACGGCTTTATTCCCATTATTGGCTCACATATCATGCTGAGTTTTGTAACCCACTGTTTTCCCACTGATCTACCAGGGCAGGTGATCAATGTTCAATGTTACGTCATGACTTCAGTTGTGTGCATGTTACACATGGTATTTGTTTTGCAAGCTTGGATCGAATTCCTGTTATACGACACATTGTATTGTTTCAATATAAGGTATCCCAATGTTTTCTTATTTTTTCTTGTATTTCTTGCATTGAGACAGTTTAGTTCGTTTTTGGTTGAAATTGTAAAACCTCGAGCTTGGGAAAAACCCTTACTCGCAGTTGTACATTTTCAACAAAAACATTGTAGTCGTGTTTTATCAATAACAGAAAAATACTGATATGATAGTAATGTAACTAAGTCCAAGACAACTGTTGTAGCCATAAGAACTCCATTTCTCTTGAAGGAAAACACTGTCATCAAGAACAACATCAAAGAGAATAATAGGATTTATTTTATCTCATATTTACAACTTCTAAGAAAACAGTTTATAAAGAGCACAAAATAAACATGATGGACAAAGGACACTTCCACCTTTGCATTGTCTGAAGTAATGTTGGCAGGTGACTGACCATAATTGTTCCACCAAGCACTCCTGTCACCGTACCAGGTAACTTCTTCTCCAACTGACCGATCCCTTACAGTCTCCATCTACGTCTACATGATCATGTACAGAGCAAGAATGGTATCCTTGTTCCCCCATCAGTGATAAAGAGGTACGATTGATAGTATTGAGAATTTACCATTGCTCCGGTTTACTCCACCAGAATTTAATATTGAATTTGAACAGAATGTTTAAAAAATGCATATTAATATATACTCTTTTGTCCCTGAATACCTGTTCTGAAACAGTGTAAGTCGTATGGACAACTTAAGGGCAAGGTGGTTTGAGTTTTTACTCTGATTCCACACAAGCAATTCAAATCAAGTCAAGAGACAATTGTAAATATGGTTACCATGGTGACAAAGAACACATTTGGTACTGAACACTAAATTCAACAACAAAGAAAACAAACTGAAATCCAAATAAAACAAACATGATATTCAAACAATGTACAAGATAAAGTCTGGGTAAGAGGACTTACAGACAGAAAAATGCTGAATGGTCTTTAATCTGCAAATGTTGAGTTATCTTCCTTTGTACACCAACAGAAGTGGTCCAAGGTCCTTGGCTTTTTGCTGTAGTATTCAAAGGACCCTCAAAACTTTTATTTTGAACATATGGACTACAGCAAGGATACCATGCCTTTCCTCCTTAACATTATATATATATATATTGGTGTATACATGTTGTTTTGTACATGCTGTAGAATATGTGTAAACATTTCGTTCCCACAATCACAAAGGTGTCCCAGCTTATGATTCAGACAGAACTTTCTCACCTGTGGACTAGCCAGAGTGCCACACCTGTACATCATGCAACCATAATGACTGCAAAACAAACTTCAGAAAATAATGACATGACAACTGATCTTGTGGATCTGCACAATTCGTGCAGCAGCAAGGGCGGATACAGCTTTTTTGAAAAGGGGGCGTGCACAATTAAGATCTATTTATTGTCTTTGGTGGTAATTTATACAGAAATAAAGATTTTTTTCGAAATAAAAAGGGGTGTGTGCGCACCCCAACACCCCCCCTCTGTATGCGCCCATGAGCAGGGGGGGGGGGGGGGGGGGGGGGGGGTTTCCTGGAATAGGAATTGAAATTTATATTACTCCCCCCAGACAATTTCTGGGGCAAACAAATGTGTGATTAATTTCTATGCAGTCAAAGATAGCTAATATATTTGTCTACAGCTTCATCAGTGATGTGCATGTCATACTTCATCGCAGTCCCGTCCAATGGAAATGGATTTTTCCGTTGCAAACGGAACTACTTCTTTCCCAAAACATGTCTTTCACAGCATTTTCTCAAGTTTCTTTAGCAACGCAGCCCAACACTATAGTATCCAGACAAACTTACAGGTGTGGGGTGTAAAACAACACTCACCCACTCACAACATTCCAGTGCAAATAGAATGAATGAAACCTCCTTTAAGTACAGCCGAGGTGATACTTCTTCCAGGAGCCAAAGGTTGCTGTTAAGTACATCATGACACTTTATATATATTTTACATCAGGTATATACAAGCATGGGTAAAACCTTTTTTAAAAAGAAAAGCCAGGGTGCCTTTTGTGATTTGAAAAATTTCATGAGGTGATATTGTTGAAATCACAAATGTGTTAATTATAACGTATTATGTTTACTTTAAGTATACCCGATCATCTTTCAAGTTTCAAATGTATGAATGACATGGAAGTGTGCACAATCCTGCATCTCTGGATCTGCATTCTTGACTGCACTCAAAACAGGGATTTATCTGGGAATCCAAACCAGGTGACTTTTCTAAAAGCTCTTATTTCCTTACTCCTGAGGTATTTCAACACTGCATTCAATGCAATATGTGAATGCAGCATAACATCCTCTTCCTTTTCTTTGGTCCTGTTAACAGTGAAATATGCATCACCTCTACCAAGCCATGAAATTTGCAAACATACTGACATGAATTAGGAAGTTTTTAATTCCAACTGGAAAATTTTACTGACATGTGCTGCAAGTGTTGATAAATCCCTATAACAACTGAACGTGCTGCAAGTGTTGATAAATCCCTATAACAACTGAACGGTCATATGAGGAGAAACATGCAGTGAAGATGAAATCAGGTGTCTGACTACAGTGATCACCTCGGTACACACATAATAGGGATGAAACGACACATCATGCCCTGGTGCATCGTGGGTTTTCATGCGACAATACAACACGTTTTTTCTGTATCGATACAGGACAAAAACACTTGCTAAAATAACTTACTCATTACTTGTAATGACAACCCCCACTCCAGTGCTTTTGTCAGTCAAATATCACAAAATGTGTTGTAATTAGCTCTTCAAAGTTCACAACTGAAAATAGATACTACAAACATGTGTCTACGGGTAGCTTTTTCTTTGGGACCTGCTCTGAAATATTTATAGTCAAGAAGTTTCCTCGTGATTTGATGTAAATATGGGCATCATTATGTGTATTGTATCTATGTATCGTGATACATATCGTATCATGACCTTGATGTGTCATTTCACCCCTAGCACATGCCATGTTCCCTTACTTCTTTCCCTCAGTAGCTTTCAAATAGATCTACCATCTAAAAATGTCCAATGTATCATGTTCTGATAAAGTTTATGTTCCAGTGTGACTCTCTGTGGCTAATGAACTGACTAGAATGTGTAAAATGGTGGTTGACCTTGCTTCAAGGTCATCTGCCTAACAAAATGATGAAGACAATATAAATATAACAAGGAAGAGCACTGAGAGAAGTCAACAAATTAAACATGCTAAATGTAAAGTTGCCCCAAATGGACATCTGGTGAGAAGTTGTGCTACTTTCCAATGACTCATGGTAAGTTGTGTGGAAAATAGTAAAAACAATCTGGCCTTGATCAGATCTGAGAAGCTAATCATGTTACACAATTATCAGACAATAATGCTCTGTACATAAACATTATTATTTAAAATTCTTAACCTTAACATATCACAGATATATCTTGTTGAATTTGTCCTGGAAGCCATTTGGTATATAGGATATGCCCCTCCTCCATTGTCAAGGATGTCAACACTTCCCCAACATTCCCAGAACGTGTTACATGATTACGGCCTGTAAATAACCATCCAGTCAAACCATGTCAATCTCACAGCCCACAGATAATATTACAGTGAATACCTGCACCAGTTAGCACTGAAAAGAAAGGTCAAGTCTTTATGGCAGGCCCTTCAACAAGCAGCAACTGAAGAATGTTACTGTATTTTTCAGAAAAAAGAAATATGCAAATAAATATTATGTGCATGTGCCTATTTATTAAAAAGTTTTAAAATAATAATAATAATTTATTCAGACAAAAAAAGTGACTGAAATGTTAATCATCATAGAGGAAATTAATTCAATTTCTGTGAGAACAATAACCTTAGTCGCAATGCAGTGAGCTGTCTCTATTGCTTGATTGGTAGGTTAAGTAAAGACGTATCGTGTTAATATGGCACATAGCAGTGTTGGAATATGGGGGACGTAGTGCATACATTGCTCTGGGAGTCTGCCACGATGGAAGTTCAGTTACATGAGTGTTCAAGACAGTAAGTTTGACAACCAAGATAGCTTGCTGGTACAATAAAATTCAACAAAAGAAAGTAGTAGGGCCGCAACTTTGAGATTTTTCATCTATTTTAATATTTGAGAAAATTGAGAGAGGGTGTCACAATAAGACGGGATAGATGGGTGTGGGTGTCATGTTAGATGGGTGTGGGTGGTGTGTTAGATGGGTGTTGGTCATGTGTTAGATGGGTGTGGGTGTCATGTTAGATGGGTGTGGGTCATGTGTTAGATGGGTGTGGGTCATGTGTTAGATGGGTGTGGGTGGTGTGTTAGATGGGTGTGGGTGGTGTGTTAGATGGGTGTGGGTGGTGTGTTAGATGGACGTGGGTCATGTGTTAGATGGGTGTGGGTGGTGTGTTAGATGGATGTGGGTGGTGTGTTAGATGGGTGTGGGTGGTGTGTTAGATGGGTGTTGGTGGGGTGTAAGATGGGTGTGGGTGGTGTGTTAGATGGATGTGGGTGTCATGTTAGATGGGGTTGGTGGGGTGTTAGATGGGTGTGGGTGGTGTTAGATGCCTGTGGGTGGTGTGTTAGTGTGATGGGGTTGTCCGAAAGGATGTTGGGGCTGAAAGTCTCAATCTGTATATAAGCCTTATCACAGAAGATAGAAATTGATGTCTGTGAAAAAGGGTGTGGCTGCGAGACTGAACTGGACTGGTGGGTATGGTTGTATTGTGAGTTGTTAGAGCAGGCATTTCACCTGCCCTGGTCAAGTAATAGAATCTATACATACATACAAGTCCAGTCTAACAACAAGAAAAAACAAAATTTGATGTCTACTCATTCAAGTCAAAAATGGCAAAATTTGATTTCCTTCTCCCCAAACCAAGCACTGAGACAACTAGCACAATCGTTTCAAACATGGCACTTATATTCAAAACATATGTACACAAATATTTACACGGTGAAATCCTCCCCTTATCTATCACAGACGATTGGTCAATTTATTCCACATGTCCTGACTAACAGGTACCAACACATGCTTGCTTTGCTTGTGGGTCTTTGTCACTGGGATGTCACACAAATGGAAGCTGAACTGTGACACTGGTCAAGTCACACATGTGAAATCTGGCTGTGACACTGGTCAAAACACACATGTGAAAGCTGGCCGTGACACAGGTCAAATCTCACATGTGAAATTTGGCTGTGACACTGGTCAGATCACACATGTGAGGGCTGGCCGTGACACTGGCCAAATCTCACATGTGAAATCTGGCTGTGACACTGGTCAAAACACACATGTGAATGCTGGCCGTGACACTAGTCAGATCACACATGTGAGGGCTGGCCGTGACACTGGTCAAATCACACATGTGAAAGCTGGCCGTGACACTGGTCAAATCACACATGTGAAAGCTGGCCGTGACACGGGTCAAATCTCACATGTGAAAGCTGGCCGTGACACTGGTCAAATCACACATGTGAAAGCTGGCCGTGACACGGGTCAAATCTCACATGTGAAAGCTGGCCGTGACACTAATCAGATCACAAATGTGAAAGCTGGCCGTGAATGGGTCAAATCTCACATGTGAAAGCTGGCCGTGACACTAATCAGATCACAAATGTGAAAGCTGGCCGTGAATGGGTCAAATCTCACATGTGAAAGCTGGCCATGACACTGGTCAAATCACACATGTGAAAGCTGGCTGTGACACTGGTCAAATCAAACATGTGAAAGCTGGCCATGACACTGGTTAAGTCACACATGTGAAAGCTGGCCGTGACACTGGTCAAATCTCACATGTGAAAGCTGGCCGTAACACGGGTCAAATCACACATGTGAAAGATGGCCGTGACACTGGTCAAATCACACATATGAAAGCTGGTGAAGTAAATCATGTGAAACCTGGCCGTGACACCGTTCAGGTAACATGTGAAAGCTGGCCGTGACACCGTTCAGGTAACATGTGAAAGCTGGCCGTGACACCGTTCAGGTAACATGTGAAACCTGGCTGTCATCTCATTTGAGTTATATCCATACAACTTGCAGTCCCTTACATCTGTCACAGTGCAATCAGATGATTGAGCTTGAACACTTTACCAACATTATCCATCAGCTGTTACAACCCTCAAACACCATGACTTGGTGGGCGTGGCTAGTTGCGGTAGTACATCAGGTATGTCTTCAGTGCAATAGGCAGCGGCAGCTGTCCTATCCTATCCCTCAATATCGTGCCCACCACTTCCCGTGGTCGTCCGTCCTCCTGTTCTGTGCAGTCCATGGGGTGGTTGGCGGAGCCCTCAAAGCTGCTGGCGGGAGAGGCCTTCTCACTGTTGTCATGTGACGTGTCAGCTTCCAGCGGGTCATCTCCTAGCGACCCGATGCCTGATGTTTCAGATGTATCAGCACTTGTGTTGGATGAACAGCGAATCTTGCGTGGGGGACTGAGTCCAGATTTTGCAACATCGCTCAACTGCAGCATTTCCACAATGTCAACACCTTCATCATCATCATCATCATCATTATCATCATCATCGTCGTTGTCAGAATCATCGGAGGAATGGGCATCGGCCAGAAAGCGGCCTATACCATGAAGTCTGCTGCTGCTGTTGGTGGTGGTCGTAGTAGAGCTGGCGTGGCTCCCTGAGGATGCAGCCCCGTTTTTAGTTGGGGCACTCTTTGCTTTGGCGGTCTTTACTTGCTGGTCTCCAGAGGCACCAGCCTCTGCTTCCCCCTCCCTCTCAGTCTCCCCCTCTGCCCCACCATCCTCCATCTGCTCACCATCTTCCTCCATGCCTTCTTCCTCCTCTTCCTCTTCCTCAGCATCAGCAACACTGCGTAGGAAGCGTCGCCTGCGAATCAACCGAACTGGGTCACCCCCCTCCTCATCATCACTGTCCTCAAATTGCCCAAGGATCATCATCCCCATGCTCATGGGCACAATATTGATACGTCTCTGTTTGCCTGCACGTTTCTTGACAGGTTCACGCTTCTTCTTGCGGACATTCTTGAGGTGAGGAAAGGAGGCTAGGATGTTTACACGCAGGATCTTCCTGATGGTGATGCGACATACTTCCTGCAGCATCGGCAGTGACACATCAGCTGCAACAACAAACATCAGCTGCAACAACAAATGTGAGCTGAAAAAATACAAACGTCAAACAAAAGGCTGGGCCACTCTGGACAGAAATCTCATTTGAGGGTTTCACTTTGGACAGAGATCTCATCTGAGCGTTTAAGACAGGACAGAGATCTCACTTGAGGGCTTAAGCCTGGACAGAAATCTCATCTGTAAATTTAAGCCAGGACAGAGACCTCATCTGAGGGTTTAAGCTAGGACAGAGATCTCATCTGAGGGTTTAAGACAGGACAGAGACCTCATCTGAGGGTTTAAGACAGGACAGAGATCTCATCTGCGGGTTTAAGCTAGGACAGAGACCTCATCTGAGGGTTTAAGCTAGGACAGAGACCTCATCTGAGGATTTAAGCTTGGACAGAGACCTCATCTGAGGGTTTAAGACAGGACAGAGACCTCATCTGAGGGTTTAAGAAAGGACAGAGATCTCATCTGAGGGTTTAAGACAGGACAGAGATCTCATCTAAGGGTTCATGCCAGGACAGAGATCTCATCTGAGGGATTTAGCTAGGACAGAGACCTCATCTGAGGGTTTAAGACAGGACAGAGATCTCATCTGAGGGTTCATGCCAGGACAGAGATCTCATCTGAGGGTTTAAGCTAGGACAGAGACCTCATCTGAGGGTTTAAGACAGGACAGAGACCTCATCTGAGGGTTTAAGACAGGACAGAGATCTCATCTGAGGGTTCATGCCAGGACAGAGATCTCATCTGAGGGTTTAAGCTAGGACAGAGACCTCATCTGAGGGTTTAAGACAGGACAGAGATCTCATCTGAGGGTTCATGCCAGGACAGAGATCTCATCTGAGGGTTTAAGACAGGACAGAGACCTCATCTGAGGGTTTAAGCTAGGACAGAGACCTCATCTGAGGGTTTAAGACAGGACAGAGATCTCATCTGAGTGTTTAAGACAGGACAGAGACCTCATCTGAGGGTTAAAGACAGGACAGAGACCTCATCTGAGGGTTCATGCCAGGACAGAGATCTCATCTGAGGGTTTAAGACAGGACAGAGATCTCATCTGAGGGTTTAAGACAGGACAGAGATCTCATCTGAGGGTTTAAGACAGGACAGAGACCTCATCTGAGGGTTTAAGACAGGACAGAGATTTCATCTGAGGGTTTAAGCCAGGACAGAGACCTCATCTGAGGCTTTCACCCTGGAAAGAGATTTCATCTGCAAAATGTCTTACTGCTGACTAGAGTTAAGGCTTCTTCCATCTAGGTTTCAACAGAAACAAAACTTTTGATTGTCCAAATGTTTTTAGACTACACTTACCCCAAAGTACCAGAGTTACAGAAGTTGCCAGAAGTTATTAGATTATACAAAACAGGTGTTGAGGATGCGCGTAAACCACCCAATTTGCCCTTAAACCAAACCATCTAAAACTTGGATACCAGATCTCATTGCCATAGTCTGAGTTCTTCTCTTAACATTTTGTGAAACCGTTTTTATACTTATGAATAATGAAACAGAAACATCTAACTGTGACATATTACTGATCAAGATAAGTTTATTGTATGTTATATTCATAAAAGAAACCTGGCCCTTTTCTGCAGGCTATCTTCTTCATTACAGCATGTCAAGCTCACTTTGGCAATACATATGATATAATATATACAGTTGATCATTTCTATCATTCCGTCTTCCTAATACTGTCCCTCTCAATTATAAACAAATGTTTGGTTATACCATCCAGTGATTAAATTCTAACAAAACTGTACATTCTTCTTAAACATTTTGAACAATGACAAACCAGTAATCGTTATGCCAAGCAGGTAGTTGCCTCAGTGGGTTAATACTGGAATTTTTCTGACCATGCTATCACAGAGGAGGTACTCACGGAGATCAATCATGTCATCCTCCTTTGATGGAGACACAAGGGTGGCAAAGGAAACAGGAAGGACGTTCTTTGTCTCCCATGTTGTCTCCGAAGTGCGGCGGATCTGTAGCAGCTGAGGGGAGACACAAACCCAAATACAGCAAGCTGATATTGTGCCTCGGTAACACATCCTGAAGCAATGACTCTTTGTGATTCTTAATCGCTGACCTCCTTATCACTGAGTACCATCACTCACTCTGAGTTTACATACAGTGAGGGAGTGAGTTGGGTTTAACGCCGCTTTTAACAGTATTCCAGTTATATCACGGTGTGTCAGCTTAATGTGGAAAGCCCAAAGTGATGCAGGTCTCAGACCTTTACCACTTCTGTGAAACCTACGAGCACGGGTATGGTGCTGACAAACCTAGAAACATAATCGGGGCGAACAGTCATAGGTTTCTGGCGTGCCCAAGGGACGCAACTCCTTATCGCGGCGCCTTAGACGACTGGGCAACCCCTGCCCCCCGAGTTTACAAACATGTCTCCTACCAAGTTTGAACTTTGTGTAGAAAGAAAAACATCTAAGTTTACAGCCTTTTCACAGGTTTGAAGCTGCAGCCCAAAAGGGAAAGTAACAGCAATGGAGATACAATGAAATTGTCCCAGCAACTTCTGGTGATGTGAGGATTGTGTCCTATGACCTACCTGATCATTCAGGGGCATAACCAGCACCCCCCCAACATTGATGAGATTCTTCATGTAGTTCTCGTGTTCCTTCGGACAGGCGGCTCCACAGTAGACGCGGTCATACTGACGGCAGCAGGAGTTGATCTGGAGGCAGTTCCCCACCACAAACATTGGCTCGCAGAAGTCAAACTCGTCAAAGGCATCACAGCTCTTCTTGAATTCCTCCAGCCTCTCCTGGGCATAGTCCACCACGTCCTCATAGAGCTCCACACCATGGTTCACACCATAAGGCCCTGAACACAATGCAGCACATGGGTGAGTGGGGTTGCGTACATCTCAACACTATACAGCCCTGAACACAACGCAGCACATGGGTGAGTGGGGTTGGGGATACATCTCAACACTATACAGCCCTGAACACAACGCAGCACATGGGTGAGTGGGGTTGGAGGTACATCTCAACACTATACAGCCCTGAACACAACGCAGCACATGGGTGAGTGGGGTTGGAGATACATCTCAACACTATACAGCCCTGAACACAACGCAGCACATGGGTGAGTGGGGTTGGAGGTACATCTCAACACTATACAGCCCTGAACACAACGCAGCACATGGGTGAGTGGGGTTGGGGGTACATCTCAACACTATACGGCCCTGAACACAACGCAGCAGATGGGTGAGTGGGGTTGGAGGTACATCTCAACACTATACGGCCCTGAACACAACGCAGCACATGGGTGAGTGGGGTTGGAGGTACATCTCAACACTATACAGCCCTGAACACAACGCAGTACATGGGTGAGTGGGGTTGGAGGTACATCTCAACACTATACGGCCCTGAACACATCGCAGTACATGGGTGAGTGGGGTTGGAGGTACATCTCAACACTATACGGCCCTGAACACATCGCAGTACATGGGTGAGTGGGGTTGGAGGTACATCTCAACACTATACGGCCCTGAACACATCGCAGTACATGGGTGAGTGGGGTTGGAGGTACATCTCAACACTATACAGCCCTGAACACAATGCAGCACATAGGTGAGTGGGGTTGGGGGTACGTCTCAACACTATACAGCCCTGAACACAATGCAGCACATGGGTGAGTGGGGTTGGGGGTACATCTCAACACTTTACGGCCCTGAACACAATGCAGCAAATGGGTGAGTGGGGTTGGAGGTACATCTCAACACTATACAGCCCTGAACACAATGCAGCACATAGGTGAGTGGGGTTGGGGGTACATCTCAACACTATACGGCCCTGAACACAACGCAGCACATGGGTGAGTGGGGTTGGGGATACATCTCAACACTATACGGTAGTAGTGGGAAGATAGACCAATGCATCGGTGGATTGCATTTTTTTACTTCTCAATACAAGTATTGATCACAATTGCACCCGAAGTAAAAAGCATTGATTCTTACTTTAAATGTATTCTTCAATAAATGTTACACCAAACATTAAATACTAGTGAAAATGAGAAGTGAAGACATAAATGGTTCCATCCATTGCACCATACATGATACTGCCAACTGTAAATCGTTAGTATGCTAGGTATTTGGCCATCCTGTCTATGGTAAAACAAGGCTCACGCACCACAGATAAAGTGCACATGCAAGTATCATGATACTTATCTGATCATGTGCAAGATATCATGATATTATCATGGAACACCACCTACAGATTACAGAGAGTTTGTTACTCAGGATATGTCTGGTCATGGCAAGGAACACTGCCTACAGATTACAGAGAGGATGTTACTCAGGATATGTCTGGTCATGGCAAGGAACACCACCTACAGATTACAGAGAGTATGTTACTCAGGATACGTCTGGTCATGGCAAGGAACACCACCTACAGATTACAAAGATGATGTTACCCGGGATGAGTCCGGTCACAGCAAAGAACACGACCTACAGATTACAGAGAGGGTGTTACCTAGGAAATGTCTGGTCATGGCAAGGAACACCACCTACAGATTACAGAGAGGGTGTTACCTAGGATATGTCTGGTCATGGCAAGGAACACCACCTACAGATTACAGAGAGGGTGTTACCTAGGATATGTCTGGTCATGGCAAGGAACACCACCTACAGATTACAGAGAGGGTGTTACCTAGGATATGTCTGGTCATGGCAAAGAACACCACCTACAGATTACAGAGAGGATGTTACCTAGGATATGTCTGGTCATGGCAAAGAACACCACCTACAGATTACAGAGAGGATGTTACCTAGGATATGTCTGGTCATGGCAAAGAACACCACCTACAGATTACAGAGAGGGTGTTACCTAGGATATGTCTGGTCATGGCAAGGAACACCATCTACAGATTACAGAGAGGATGTTACCTAGGATATGCCCGGTCATGGCATGGAACACCACCTACAGATTACAGAGAGGGTGTTACTCAGGATATGTCTGGTCATGGCATGGAACACCACCTACAGATTACAGAGAGGATGTTACCTACGATATGTCTGGTCATGGCAAGGTACACCACCTACAGATTCAAAGAGGGTGTTACCTAGGATATGTCTGGTCATGGCAAAGAACACCACCTACAGATTACAGAGAGGATGTTACATAGGATATGTCTGGTCATGGCAAAGAACACCATCTACAGATTACAGAGAGGATGTTACCTAGGATATGTCTGGTCATGGCAAGGAACACCACCTAAAGATTCAAAGAGGGTGTTACTCAGGATATGTCTGGTCATGGCAAAGAACACCACCTACAGATTACAGAGAGGATGTTACCTAGGATATGTCTGGTCATGGCAAGGAACACCACCTACAGATTCAAAGAGGGTGTTAACTAGGATATGTCTGGTCATGGCAAGGAACACCACCTACAGATTACAGAGAGGATGTTACATAGGATATGTCTGGTCATGGCAAAGAACACCACCTAAAGATTACAGAGTGGATGTTACCTAGGATATGTCTGGTCATGGCATGGAACACCACTTACAGATTACAGAGAAGGTGTTACCTAGGATATGTCTGGTCATGGCAAGGAACACCACCTACAGATTACAGAGAGGATGTTACCTAGGATACGTCTGGTCATGGCAAGGAACACCATCTACAGATTACAGAGAGGATGTTACCTAGGATATGTCCGGTCTTGGCATGGAACACCACCTACAGATTACAGAGAGGCTGTTACCTAGGATATGTCTGGTCATGGCATAGAAGACCACCTACAGATTACAGAGAGGATGTTACCTAGGATATGTCTGGTCATGGCAAGGAACACCACCTACAGATTACAGAGAGGATGTTACCTAGGATATGTCTGGTCATGGCAAAGAACACCACCTACAGATTACAGAGAGGATGTTACCTAGGATATGTCTGGTCATGGCAAAGAACACCACCTACAGATTACAGAGAGGCTGTTACCTAGGATATGTCTGGTCATGGCATGGAAGACCACCTACAGATTACAGAGAGGATGTTACCTAGGATATGTCTGGTCATGACAAGGAACACCACCTAAAGATTACAGAGAGGATGTTACCTAGGATATGTCTGGTCATGGCAAGGAACACCACCTACAGATTACAGAGAGGATGTTACCTAGGATACGTCTGGTCATGGCATGGAACACCACCTACAGATTACAGAGAGGGTGTTACCTAGGATATGTCTGGTCATGGCAAGGAACACCACCTACAGATTACAGAGAGGATGATACCTAGGATACGTCTGGTCATGGCAAGGAACACCATCTACAGATTACAGAGAGGATGTTACCTAGGATATGTCCGGTCTTGGCATGGAACACCACCTACAGATTACAGAGAGGCTGTTACCTAGGATATGTCTGGTCATGGCATGGAACACCACCTACAGATTACAGAGAGGATGTTACCTAGGATGTCTGGTCATGGCAAGGAACACCACCTACAGATTACAGAGAGGATGTTACTCAGGATATGTCTGGTCATGGCAAGTAACACCACCTACAGATTACAGAGTGTATGTTACTAGGATACGTCTGGTCATGGCAAGGAACACCACCTACTAATTTCAAAGATGATGTTACCCGGGATGAGTCGGTTCACAGCAAGGAACACCACCTACAGATTACAGAGAGGGTGTTACCTAGGATATGCCCGGTCATGGCATGGAACACCACCTACAGATTACAGAGAGGGTGTTACTCAGGTTATTTCTGGTCATGGCATGGAACACCACCTACAGATTACAGAGAGGATGTTACCTAGGATATGTCTGGTCATGGCAAGGAACACCACCTACAGATTCAAAGAGGGTGTTACCTAGGATATGTCTGGTCATGGCAAAGAACACCACCTACAGATTACAGAGAGGATGTGAGTGAGTGAGTGAGTGAGTATGGTTTTACGCCGCTTTTAGCAATATTCCAGCAATATCACGGCGGGGGACACCAGAAATAGGCTTCACCCAGAGAGGATGTTACATAGGATATGTCTGGTCATGGCAAAGAACACCACCTACAGATTACAGAGAGGATGTTACCTAGGATATGTCTGGTCATGGCATGGAACACCACCTACAGATTACAGAGAGGGTGTTACCTAGGATATGTCTGGTCATGGCAAGGAACACCACCTACAGATTACAGAGAGGATGTTACCTAGGATACGTCTGGTCATGGCAAGGAACACCACCTACAGATTACAGAGAGGGTGTTACCTAGGATATGTCCGGTCTTTGCATGGAACACCACCTACAGATTACAAAGAGGATGTTACCTAGGATATGTCTGGTCATGGCAAGGAACACCACCTACAGATTACAGAGAGGATGTTACCTAGGATATGTCTGGTCATGGCATGGAACACCACCTACAGATTACAGAGAGGGTGTTACCTAGGATATGTCTGGTCATGGCAAGGAACACCACCTACAGATTACAGAGAGGATGTTACCTAGGATACGTCTGGTCATGGCAAGGAACACCATCTACAGATTACAGAGAGGATGTTACCTAGGATATGTCCGGTCTTGGCATGGAACACCACCTACAGATTACAGAGAGGCTGTTACCTAGGATATGTCTGGTCATGGCATGGAAGACCACCTACAGATTACAGAGAGGATGTTACCTAGGATATGTCTGGTCATGGCAAGGAACACCACCTACAGATTACAGAGAGGATGTTACCTAGGATATGTCTGGTCATGGCAAAGAACACCACCTACAGATTACAGAGAGGATGTTACCTAGGATATGTCTGGTCATGGCAAAGAACACCACCCACAGATTACAGAGAGGCTGTTACCTAGGATA